AGTAGTCAGTTGGAGAGTTAGCGCTTAGCATACTGTGTATCAGCATCACATTTTGGACACCTCTTGTCACAACAATATTCCCATTTGAATGTGCACTGCCTTGTTACACAAAACATTAATGCTATTGTAGTGGCTGTGCTTCGATGACCAGTCACCCTCGTAACCGTTATCATATAATCCTCGACGGTGTTTGAAATCAGAAGGCAAAGAGAAGCAGCGACTACAGTTTTATTAGCAAATAACTCAGACCACAAAGCCGAGAGGCCGATGAATGAGTCAGCGAACCAAGAGTGTAGAGTGTTGAATGTGCATGTATATATATAAGGAAACGAATGGATCATCGAATCAATTAAGCAGTTAGTAATAAAGCTAGCGGAATGAATTTATGCGTAGGCCGTAAGCAATGTTCAAGCATACATATTTCATACAAACACAACAATAATAAAGGTACAATAATTTGTTATATTGCTGATGACTTTGTTCGCTAAATAAGGATCAAGTGAGAACTAAATAAACTACACGTGAGTTGCTATACTATCTCACACTATCGGGCAACGGGAAGAAACTTACCTCTTTTTAAACATGCATTGCTCCACGTTACTAAGTCCCGATAACTAAAGATGTCATCTAAGTAGAAACTTGTGTCAACCGACAAGTCTGTTGACGAATTATAATGAAATTCGTTTCGTGTTATTCGCTGTCATATTTATTCTCGATCGCTAACATAGCGGGCAGAAGTTGAAAAGCAGGTGTAAAAGAAGGAATACTCCGGAAACCTCCCTACATTGTTTTACTGAACAACATTATTATTCGTTTATTCTTTCTCTCCTTTTTGCAATTTTACTTTTATTCATTACCCTTCCAATTATGTTTTATGTTTCTCAACCTACGTTGTCTGAACCCTTATTATTCGGTCTTATTTTTGTATGGGTTTAGTGATATGATGACATAGTTTAATAAACATTCACATGAACTCCCTGTTTGCATTTTCATATTCTCGTGGTCATGGGACCTGATTTGATTGCTAAGATTAGTACACCATATACTGAATTATTTCTAAGCTCGAAATTAGTATACTTAGACCTTTTGTCATATTCATTATGTAAAGCTTCTCACTACTCGATAAACTCAATATAGGGCTGTAATGAATAGATTGTTATTTTTCAACGAACAACACTGTACCGTGTATTTTATCAGCCGAATGCCCACAAAACTGTACAAATTTTCCCAGTAAACGAATCACTTGGTTATCTGATGTCTACGAATAGTCAACCATACGCTGCCATTAGTATAATTATTTTGATTTCCTGGTGTCAGTAGCAGACTAGAACACCAACATTAAACATACTGCCACTTGGTTATAGTAGTAGACTACTATATCGCCTTCAATAAATAATAATCTTCACAGACACTACCACTCCTGAAAATTAAAAATAATTCAAAATTAGTAAAAGTCTCATTACGGGCCATTTCGGTCCCTAAAGATTTTTAAGTAATTTATCAAACGATAGTAAATCAACAATGTGACATTTAAAGTAGTATACTAATGCACTGAGTGTCCTGTAGATTCAAGACTAACACTCTATATTTTCGACTCATTAACTTCGCTTCGTTATTGGTCCTGATTTGATAAAATGGAGTGGGGTGTTGGACATAGCATGAGAGAGTTTGTATCCATTCTTGCTTTAGGACCACTTTACCCACGACGCTGTTGCTAACTAACATTTCGAGGTGAAGTAAGAACTGTGATGGTGATCTATTGCCAGATTTCTCTGCTTAGAATGATCTTGAGATTATTTGACCGTCGGAAAAAAAGATGGTTCGTTTTTTCACGCCTTAAAATGATGTACGATTGTGGCGTTAAGAGCTCAACATTGAGTGGCGGACATCCCGAGCAAAAAGGAAGGGAGAGTAGAACGTAAACGTTGGTAACGGATTCACGCAGGTTTCATATCGTGCCTCGTGGAGTAATGCTCCAGTTGAACAAACCACAACTCAAGGGCTTTACGATAAAACTATGGGAGTTTGTGGGGGAAGAATTTTAAATGACTGTCCCATCGTCCCTGTGACATCAGATAAAATGATAACTTGACTCTCACATCAAACAACCTGCTTTTACTAAGATATTGTGATGGTTTAGGGATCGAGTGCAGTATTACGGACAGATATTCGAAGCGATAGATACAGGTTAATTGTTCATTCAATAATTTCCGGCGTTGGTGGATAAAGGAGTACATTCCGTTACTGAAATTGAGGCTAAAATGGTTTTGCAAACACAGAAACTTAAAGGGAGGTAATGTGGTACTTGTGGCTAACTATACAACGACTTGTGGCTCACTGCCAATGAGACGGGTTGTTAAGTGCGAGATAGATGAAGATTGCCTGGTAAGGACAATGATGACAGAGGCTGTAAGTAGAGATGTGCGCAAGCTTTGCCTTCCAAGGGTAACCGAATAACTGTGGGTTGTTTGTTAGATTTATGGATATACAGGCTTACTGCTGTAAGTCCTATGCCTCCCACTGACATAGATTAGTCAGCTAAGGAAGCCATGACCGAATGTATTTAACGGTGTCTTAAAACAGCTGGAGAGGTTATTAGGGCCAGTTTAACGGAAAGAAAACGCTGAAAATCTCTCTACAACACTTTGCCGGACAGTAATCTCATTTATTTGTTTCTTCTCCTTGTTGCGTATTTTGACATTTATATAAATCTCTTTTAACGACACTTTGTGTTCTTCAGTCTTCCTCGTCTTAGTTTTTATTATGTGACTTTATATACAGACTTACCTTTCTTAATTTAGTTTTTCTGCTGCATGTGGCCGGATTATCAACAATAAGGTCGTGTTTGACTAAGCTCAGAATCACAGCGTGGTTCAGTGTGTGACTGTTTACCTTTGACTGTCTGCTTGTGAGGACTGCTTGGATCCTTTCAGATAGATGTCTGATCCCATGTTGTCGGCAACACTTTTTATTGATTTTAAAGTATTAGACTCTTGTGTATTAGCCATTTACTTTGTCGTTTAACACGCCTATTTGTGTTAGGAAAACCTTTGACTGTATTGCACAGACTGTACTGTTAGAGGTATTTTGTATTTTTGATATAAGTTGTTCTCTTTTTTAGATTAGAACCGTTTAAATTGGGCAAAGTGTTTGTGTTTTGATATAATTCAATACGAGCAACTCGAAAACACTGTGTACGCTATACAGTAGAACGTGTTCTGATCTAATCGGATAAATTTCGGTTACTTGGTACTGTTTTCATTCTGCATATTGGCATTTCTCTTCTTGCAAGTACAGTTAGAGAGTGAGATTAAAACTTTAACCCGTACTGATTCACTGGTCGCCAAACAACTGATATTAAAAATCGTGTTGCTGTGTGGTTTGTGGTTATATGTTGACAGGCGTGTATGGACATCGAAAACCTTGATATTAGATTTCATTAGATTTAATGATGCAACCGATTGTTACGAAAACGCTGAAACTAATGCTAACTGAAATGTGTTATATTCCGAAAAATACGAAAGTAATACTTTTCAACGGACCGTTAATTGATTTGAATACATGGTGGTATGACTTCTGAAGTGTGATGGAGTACGGTGATATTTTTCAGTATTACTGATGCTCTAGTTAAGGTATGCTTTTCTTTCACGAGTGTAACTTCTGAGCTACAGATTGTATCGTGTTCACACAATCTTCTCTATTATGTTGATCGACTTATTTGATTACTCTGTGTTGTCATAGGTAACCCAGGTGACGGTAAACTGTTTCACGTCTGACTAACTTAACTGTCTTGTCAGCAGAAAGAAGAACCGAGGCCGTTTTATTATTTTTTACCATATTTAGCCATTTAACGGGTCAGGGAAATGGTATACTTTGTCGTAGTAAAAGTTTTCTTCATTTAAGGGCTATGCTTATTCGTCAAGGTGTAGGTAAGCGCAAACAGATAACAAGAAGATGAGTTCTTTACGAACTGGTTTTAGTAAGCTTCTTCTCAAGTCGAATAAATGCAAAATGGTCCTTTAAAAACGTTTGGATGATTTTAAGTCACACTCATTTTCATTGAAACTCAGCTTGACCTATTTTTTAGAGAGCTTCTGAATAACCACATCGATCAAAACTAAAACCGTTAATCTGGTGAGACAGCCAGAAATAATCACATGTAAAGTTCACGTGATTAGGTAAGGGACTGCTTTCTTTTTGAAGAGAAAAGATACAAGCGTCTGATCGGTGTGGTTTCCTCAGGGGTTCAATAATAAAAACATACAAACGAAAGTGACGCAGAAGTGTTTTTAACCGGAGAAATCTTTTCTTACTCCTCATATTTTGTTTGAATTATTAGAGCTTGTATATAAAACTATAGTGTAGCAATACCAGTTTACGAACGCAGTGCAAAACAACAATTGCAGTATTATATGTCTATTCGCTTTCTAGAATTACTTGCCTCTACAGCGTGTCGTGTGACAAGGGTTATAAGAGAGCTATTCGTTATATTCGTCATGTTTTAGTCGATTATTGGGAACGAATAAATCAGGTAAAAAATGGAATACGAAACCTCTTGAATATGTTTCATAGTAGTTTAATTCACTAGCATATACAGTAGTAATAAACAAAGCAAGATTGGCCTGGGTGAGCACAACTGAAATAATGGTTGTATTGGAATAACACCAGATTTAGACCTCTTTATATTTGATTTGAATTAGAATAGAAATAACACTGACAGTAGAATAAACAGCAATTGGATTGTAGTGAAATAAATCCAAGATTACATGAGACTGGTCTAATCTGCACTTCATCGGAATGCTAGAGAGACCCAATTAAGGAATTAAGGTCAAGTAACTGGAACTTTTAAATGTATCATAAAATGCATTATCGTTTATACGAGCGAAAGTCGATACATCACCTTTGGGAAGAAAAGAGAACATGAACAAACTTTCTGCATATAACTTTCTAGAATATAATGTGATATAATCCGGGTAATCCATGTTATCACTGATGGAATCACTGTTACCCTATTTTAAAATTATGGACCCGTAAAACTAATTATCACAAAACGATCTTGAAACCAAAACGACATAGGTTCAAAGATGTCACAGATATTCAGGATTTGACAACGCTCTTGTCCGTAACACTGTTATGATCGGAGGATACCAGGCCAGTCGAATAATAAGTCAAGAATGGAGTTCAAATTTATATTTAGACAGTTGCCGATATGTTGTGAAACGTTTGTTCTAAACTGGCTAGTAATTACAGTGGATGTGTAGCATAGCATATCCAGTTGTGACCTGGTTTATATATGTGACCGAGTGACTTCAGCTAGGGAGTGTCCAGTAAAAGCCAAGATCACTGTCTGAGAGCTGGAGATTTATTCCATACTAAAGACACGTTTCAATGCTTTGTAAGCATTTATTCAAGGAATCCAAAACAAATTGTGACATGGAACCCATTGAGAAGAGAATGGACTTTCGTGCATATAGTTAAAGTGGAGATCGGCAAATTTTAAATCATTGTTTAATCTTTACTTTAAGTTACATCTAAGAGAACATCCATTTTGGATAAGATAGGAAAGAAACAGGTGGTAACTTTGGTCTCGCTAAACCAAAACAGGAATATACACCTTATCATATCAAGGAAACTTATTAAAGTAGACTGTATGAACAAATGATATCGTCGAGTCGCTAAAGTCTGTTATGAAGAACGATGTATATTGTACAGCTGTCTTAATTTGTTTTATCCTGTCAACGTTTCGAGTACATGTTGACCGTGCTTATTTCAATAGTAATTTATCCAACAACAATAAGAGATGTCGGAGGTTAGTTGATATTTTGTACTATTACCTTCCAAGCCAATAAGAGTTTTGTTGACAGGTGCAGCTGGGCAAATAGGATATTCACTCGCCGGGATGGTTGCTCGTGGTGATATGTTCGGACCTGATCAAGTTAGAGATGTTCTTTTCTAACAACTGCAGGAAGTTATCTTACATCTGTTCGATCTTGAACAAATGGTAGAGTCTCTTAAAGGACTTGAAATGGAACTTCAGGATTGTGGATTTCGACTTTTAAAGAGTGTGGTTGTGACACATAAACCAGAAGTAGCATTCAATCAAATTGATGCTGCACTTATGGTTGGGGCTATGCCTAGGAGAGAAGGGATGGAGCGTAAAGATTTGCTTAATGCTAATGTGAAAATTTTCAAGGAGCAAGGGCAGGCTCTGGACAAATATGCCAAGAAGACTGTCAAAGTGGTTGTTGTGGGTAATCCTGCTAACACAAATGCACTCGCACTGATGAAGAACGCTCCTTCCATTCCTAAAGAAAACTTTAGTGCGCTCACAAGACTTGACCACAATCGTGCTCAGTCATTTGTTAGTCTAGGTTCCTCTTAATTTTTTCCATAGATAGCTAAACGTTTGGGAGTTCCATGCGATTCTGTAAAAAATTGTATTATATGGGGCAACCACAGCAATACGCAGTTTGTCGATGTGAGTCATGCTGTTGTAAAGCAAGATGGGAAGGAGATTCCTGTCGCTACCGCAATTAATGATGATAACTGGATAAAAAACGAATTCCTAAGCGCTATCCAGAAGCGCGGGGCTGCTGTTATAGCAGCCAGGAAACTAAGTAGTGCACTGTCTGCTGCTAAGTCTGTCTCAGACCATATGCACGACTGGTGGCTTGGAACGAAGGAGGTATGTTCCCAGTTAAACTTATTCTGTTTTAAGGGCGAGTGGGTATCGATGTCTGTAATCAGTGATGGTTCTTATGATGCTCCAAAAGATGTTATATTTAGTTTTCCTGTCCAAATCAAGAATGGCAAATGGACCATCGTCCAGGGTTTAAAACTTGATGAGTGGGCCAAAGGCAAGTTCTCCATAACAGCAGAAGAGCTCAAGGAGGAACGCATTGCGGCAGGGCTTGATTAATGACTTCCTGACTGTTGTTACTGCCAGTATTCTCACCACTGTAGTAACTACTTTTTGTAGTTCTTGTTATTGATCTTACATTTGCTAAAATTATGATAATTTTTTGCATTTCGTTGGTCGTTTTTAAAAGTAGTTCATAGGTAGATCACTACCAAGCTCTTTGTAGAATCATTGCTTCGACTTATTTGGGTGTACCGTAAACTGAAAATAACTAATCTCAGTATTTATACTTCCAACCATTCTACACACTGTTATATATCTCTAGGATGAAGAATACAGTTTTGTATTAGCTGCTGATTTGACTTATTAGTTCATAAATGATCTAAGTGAATAGGAAAATATGCTATTCTGATTTTTTCCGTTAATTGAATAGACTAGGCGATTTTGTTCAGGCGAGTTTTAAAGGAGGGTAGTGATTTTCGTACTGTGAACTCTTCTTGCTATGTGTTTATTACAACAAAACTATAGTTGACAAACTCTAACGGGAATTGTTTTGCTCCAAGTTCAGATCTTCATACGTTTAGATGGTTTGGCTATGATTTTTGTTCTTGAAATCTGTCAGGGTTCTAGGTATATTTCTGTCGTTTTTTTCTGACAGTTTGTCAGATTTAAGATTTTGTTTTCAGAATAGTAGACACGTTGAATCCGCTACTTTTTTCTGAGTTTAATCGACCGTACTCATTGATGCTGTCAATCTATCTGCTTCCCTGTGTAATAGTTGTGATGTGTAAAGACGTAACCGTTCAACGTCTGCTGCGTACAAACGATGCTCAAAGGCAGGTTGTTAGTGGTTACGCATTTTCTGTTGCTAGCATCCGTCAGTATTGTTTGGTGACTAATAACACTACTTCGGTCCTCAAACTGAAACAGATGATACAATGGTTAAATTTTCGGTTGAGTCATTGGGATTTGTCTGACTTCAAACAAAGTACATTTGATTATCCAGTTATTCAATTTAGTAGCCACATCAAAAGATTGAATAATAAAATCCAGTCAGCAATATGAACTAGGCAATACCATAAATTGTACCCTAGTTACCCGTTAGTGTATTACAGTCAGCTTTTTCCAAAAATTATGAACATATGGGTTTTATTGCCGTAGATGATATATCACGTAATTCACCACCCACGTTACACGTAGTACTGTCAACAAATCAGCCCTAGTTAGCATATGCCTGTACAGTTTTTATTTAATCCAGATTGACTAAAGCAGCTGTAAGTTTTAGGAAACACTAGGAAATGTAATCCGATAGTTTAGGTGAAAATGAAACCTAAAATGTCGAGAATTTGATTGAAGTTGATACAGACGTAAAGCGTCGGAGTGTACTTGCCTGCTTGTTTGACAGTTGGTGGTGTTTCGGTATTGTGGTCAAGGAATTGCATTCTAGATGTCACCGTCAAACTGTAGAGTTTGCCAGATAGACATACCGTGGGCGTTAAATTCTAGGGGATTTAGTGACTGAGATAAACGTATTAAATAGTGCTGTAAGTAATTAGGGAAATATTATGTGATCAGACTCAATCAGTTGTGTTTTAGGGTTTACTACTATACTACGAAAATACAAACACAACTCTGATTACCTTACGGTTATGATTTTATTTCTAACTAAATATTTTGCCAAAAACGAACAAATGGAAAAAGGTCTCGTAAACTTCTGAACAAAGAGAGTTGTGCAGTAGGAAAAAAATTACAATGATCTTTACTCAAGAGATGAAAGAGATGAAAGTATTTTGATTAAAACTAAATAATTTCTTTAGAGTTCTTTGAATGTCTTCAACGAATTCATATCTGATTATACGGTAAGAAGAAACAAAAAGAAGTAAATATAGTACCAAAGGAAGTAATCCGTAAGATTTCGATAATATTAACCAATTAGACAAATCAGAATGCTGAGTAGTCAAATGTACCGTTTTGATATTGTGTAGGCGATACTCAACACTACGCCAACATTAATTCTGTTGGTCGCTACACTTTGAAACTCATCTTTTCATGAATAATACAGTTTGTATCGCGCAATGATCAGGGTCAAAATAACAACTCATGAAGGGATATAGTTAGGAAAAGTGGGACTTTCTAATACTCTTATATTTTGCAGATATATGGTTGGCTCGTCCATCATTTTTAGCGGAAAGATACATTTTCTGTTATGTGTAATTAGTTTAAGATTGCTTTCCCAGAAAATGAATTCACTTGTGAAATAAACGAATAAGTACTTTATACTCTTAAGTATTTTGGTATTAAGAAAACTAGATGGTCATAGTCGAGCGTTGTACGCTAAATACGCAGTTATCTTTCGGTTGGCAAAAAAATTTCAAATAATTTTTCTTCAGTCAATACGAAAAAGGTTCGATTTTCTGGGCTAGCAGTAAATACAATGGTGTTATTTCAGACGAATATGAAACCTTATATAGTGGGGGAGTTTGTGGACGTTTCTTCAGCTAAAGTTGTTCCATGGAAAATTACTTACAAGTACTTGTAAGTATATTACCGACCCTAACTCAGTTATTGATACATGTATCACGAACTAGATCTTACAGACATTATTCTATTTATCGGGCATTAAGATATCTCGATGTATATCAAAGATAACCATTGTCCTTGTACTCCTAAAAAAACAAGATTAACCTTTTGGAAAAAGATAGACTGCTAAACGTATGACTCATTGCACTAATGAATAGTCAAGAAAGTTTAGTGTGTAGATTTGTGGTATTGAAGTGACGAATTGTGTATGCATTTGAAGGAGAAATATATCTCAGAGACCGTGTTGACAGTCGAAACATCCCACTAGTCAACAGTAAGAAGATTCCGTTTGTTCCAGATGAAATAGCGAAATAGTAGACGCTATTGGTGCAGTCGAAGTACTTTGTAATTGAAACCGGGATTATATTAAGGGTGATTTTCTTTAAAAAATCCGAGTATTCTGTCGTTGGAAGCCACTCGTCTAATGTTATTCCATCAATCAAAGGATACCATCAACAGCTCAGCTAACGCATTTTACGGATACCATACGGACATAATATTTATTTGAAATCAGCATTCGCTATTAGTATAGAATTTTTGCCATTTAAGGAACTAAACAGTTTAACGGAAAAATTCAGTGGGTAAATATCAAAGCAGATGTACTTGCAGAACTTGCGTCAATGGTGTTTTATCAATCTTCAATAATTTCAACATGTATATATATCTGAGCTGCTTAGTGGTGCCCGAGGATTTGTCCCCATGTTGTGATTGGAGGTACATACAATAAGTATTGTTCGATAAACTGGATATCCTACATATCTAAAAACAGCGATCATCTACTACCAGGATAGTATAGCTGATCAGCTGTTCATCAAGACACTATAAGTAGAGAATTTAGCATTTTGATTCTTACTGTCTAGACGAAAAAGTACGTCACTATCCATTCCAAAGAACACAACAACAAAGGCATTGTATAGACATAGCAATATCTGCATCTGGACATGCTTTCCGTTTTAACAAGATGTTAATTATCTGATACCCTCAAGTATGCTCTTTTACACATGTCCAACTTCTCAAAGGAAATGCTAATCATTTGTAAGTTTTAGAACATTCCAATATTCCGATACAAAATGGTCCACCACTGTCTAATTGCTTCATATAGGTATATCATCTCAAACTTATTCAAACAAGTTATTTGATTTGTCTGTTAACATTTAACATATTCCCAGTGGATTATAAAACATTAATAGCAACCTTCATTATCTGAATAAAAACCTTACTAGGTTTGAAGAAAAACTACTGAATCATTCATTAATGATTAATACATGTTCAAATGTATTCACAAATACAACTTGAAACTTACTTAATTTTCTTCGTTTCTTAGAGAGCAATAGAATATAAGTTTAAAATTTTAACTAATATAAAATGTGGGAAAGAAAATGCGTATATATTAATGATTTGAAGATGTCGAGTGATCACGGACTTTGCAATGGATATTCTGAATTCTCACTTTATATATATATATATATATATATATATATATATGTATATACATAGTTCTCTTGAACTTCTGTCTTTGAACTAAAACTTACATTTGAAAATATCACATAGTTCCTGGAATTTTCAGTATTGACCCTGGACAATAACCTTCTTCATCAAACTTATTCTGAACTTTATACCATTTTCCATTCTTTTCTAAAATTTTTACCCATTCACCATTTTCTACTGTTAATTCTCTTTCAGAGCTTGCTTCAAACGACTCAATAACTTGGACAAGTCTATAGAATAAGTATATTGACAATTGAAATACTGATTGGTTAACAAATTAAAGTTCTTGAATGTGGAATTAAATCATTCTTTATCGAAAGTCTAAATTCAACCTAATTTTTTACGTTTAACACGAACAAAGTTTACTGACATTTGGAAATGTAGCAAAAATTAAATCCTTCCCTCAAAATGTATTGCAAATTATATGTATCATTTATCTCGGTGTTTCGACCCTTATAGTATCAGATCAGCAAGCGAGATATTTCAACATCTAGTGTTGAAGTCACAGGTTTTCTAGAAGAATTATTATTATTCACCTCGACATGCGATGCTCAATGGTATAGGAGTAGGTTGGAAGAAAGCTAGGGGCGGCCAGACCAAAACATGGCACAAGTCCATGAAGTCACTGACAAGTGGACTGAGCCATGTTGGTAGGTGTAGACTACCTGGTTTGGGACCGCCAGATGATAGTAAACAGTGGTTAGAGACCCTGAATGACATGACTCAAAATCGTTTGCAATGGCTCAGGTGCATACACTCTTTGTGTTCTTCCAAATTCTAATCTTCTGAATTCTTCATGTCCTTTTTTTCTCTTTCCAAATTTATTTCATTGGATTATACACCTTGAATAACATGTTCAAACCCTAATTTTTCCGATTACTGTTTATACCTTCACTACCTCTACCACTACGGGATTTGAATCGACAATTCTATTTGTGTGCTAATGTGGTATGACAAATCGAACTAATGTACGTACGTACGTACGAAGTTCTACGTTGTTCTGACTGAGTGAATCGCCAATTTCTGTCGTCAGATGCTAAACACTTGTGTTCGTTTTCTTTTCAGAGCTAACTATTTACGAATAAGTTTAATGTATTAATTCTAAGTTGTCACACTGAACAACATATTTTGTTGGCTGATCAAAGATGCATTCATTTTGTTACACCATATCATGTAACATCACTTCCATATTCTAGTTAATTAGATCAGAAGAAGTACACTGTCTGCATTCACATGCATAGGTACATTTAAATAAGCAATGAGAACTCAAATAAGATAAACAATAAAGATTTGATTTAATAAAGGGTGATGGGAAGGATATAGTATGTTTGTAAAGGTTGCATGTTGAATAATTAAAGTGGAAGTTCGAACATTTTTTTTGAAAAGATAAAAGTGGGGCAAGTATAGAGGCTAATTCATCTCTGTGGCAGTGGAATGTGAATCGTCATTTCTGTATATGCTTAGATTTTCTGGTTCGCCTAGCATTGGCATGGTAATGGATTCACTGATATGCTTTATTCCATTTTTCCTTTTCTACTTCCGAAAACGTTTTAAAATTTATGTTTCGTCTACTGAACCTGTAACATTAACACAAACGTTCTTCATCCGTCCTATCATCTTTTATCCAATCAAGATAACGCTTTTCTTTTATCAATTTTAGTCAAGTTTCCATTTCTTTTCATTGATTATTAATATAGATAGGCTGAATATTGTAGGACTTCGAAAAGACTTTAGACCTTTAAACGATTTAGTCCTTCGATCAGTTACGTTTTCTCATACCATCATCAAACATCATTGTTCTAAATATAGAATAAGTGGAGTGTGGCTAGCAGTGAAATCGAGGACTCGCGCCTCATCTCATCTAGGAGTCGTCAGCTGAATGTACCTGGACTCCAGAGTAGATGATCGCCCCGGGACTCGAACTCAATATCGTCCGCCTCAAGCAGCATCTTATTATTCAATTAAGCATCGAGTTCAGGTAGCTACTCAGTTTTGCAACAGGTATGAATTTTATTTTACTTTAAATGGATTGGATTATCCCGTTTTTAATATTTTTAACTGAAAGTTGATCAGTTTTGGTTATTATATGGGTATCCTGTATGGATTGCCTCTATATAAGCACTGATGCAAGTTAGTGTAGAATAGATGGAAAAAGTTATATCGCGGGAATCCCAAGAGGATGCAGATATACCAACCAAGATTGATCAACTTTAATAAAAATAATTATTGTTTAGACTGTCTAACCAATGGTCGCTACAAATAACGAAGCTATTTATCCATAATAACAACTATGTTCAGTTTCAGATACTAACCCGTTCCTAAGGCCAGGGACTGATAATAAGTACAAAGTTTATTTCCTCCTTATTAAAAGGGAGACATTAACTGGTACTCTTGGAGTATCAATATTATCTCTCCGTTTCAATTGTATTTATACAAATCTTACCACTCTGTACTGCTTAGTACTATCTAACACTGAAAAATTAAATCTCTGGCTTTTACAAACTCTTTTCTAGAGTGTTTTGTTTTCATAGCTTTGTACAAGGTTTTGTTATGGAGCAAATCGGACTTAAATTATTCTACTCGCGGCGAGAATGTCCTTAAAGTTCACCCAAACTTATTTTACAAATCCTATAAACTTTGAACCAAGGTCTCTCTATTAGACTAGAAAGCACTTTTGGAGTTTAGCTTTATAATAATTGCTTATGTAGTCAGTTATTTGCTTCCAAAGATATGAGCCAGTCAGTCGCAACGTAGAACATGTACGTAGGCACATCGGTTCAAGTTGTCATGCGCCGTTAGCACATAGAGATGAAGTTGTCGGGACAAATTACAGTATAGTACAGGTAGTAACAATATCAGTGGGAATTGGAAAGACTAGACATTGAAGATACTTTTCGAAAAGAAAATACAAACTAGTAAAGTAAAAAACAAAGAGAAGGTATAAGGAATTAAGAACCTCAGAATTTTGGGAGAAGACAAATAATGGATATGCCTTCTCCATTGCAAACGATTTTGAGCCATGCCATTCAAAGTCCAACCATTGGTTACGATAATCCTGCGGACCCCAACCGGGTAGTCTATACCTACTAACATGGCTAAGTCCAACTGTTAACGACTTCATTGACTGATGCCATGTTTGAGTTTGACCGCACTTAGCTTTCTTCCAGCCCGCTTCTGCACCAAAAAACATCGCCCGTCGAGGTAGGCGGTGGTCAGGCATACGTAGCACACGTCCCGATCACCTCAGTTGATGAAGAGTTACTACCTCATCAATCGATTTCCTATCCTTGTACCTAGTACTCTATTCCAAACTCAGACATTGCTTACTCCGTAGTCCCGAAGTACATGAGCAATGCTTCATAGACACATATGATCGGATACCAGTAACCTACAAATATCCTCCATTCTTGATAACCATATTTCACGCCTCTAAAGTAGAACGGAAAAAACTGCTGCACAGTAAACTCGCTCATTGGTTGAGCGACGGATATCTCGAATACGCCACATGTAACTCATGGTGACAAAAGCCAGTCAAGCTTTCTGAATACATACCGAGATTTCGCCAAACACCAGATCATCAGTACTGGTGAAACTCCCAAGGTAAGTGAGGCGATCAGTCCGTTCAACTACTTCACTCCCTATCACTAATTCAGGGGATGAAGTAAGCTAATCCTGAGGTAACATTTTACATATGGAGGGAGAGAACCGCATTCCAATCATGCTTGTATTGTTGCTAAATTTGTAGTCTGAAGACTCTGAATATTTTTCAGCGTCTTCACTAAACAGAACTATATCATCTGCGCATTTTGAGTCAACGAGTGAATCTCCTGGTAGAAGATCAATCCCTGAAAATTCAAGCAATGAGTGCTATCTTTAAAAGTATGTTTATGACATAGTTAAGTAAAAATGCAGAAAGCGAATAATCTTGATGAACATCGCTTTAGGTAACAAATTCCATAAAAGGCTAGTCTGTTGACTCTCTTGTCTTCTCAGTATTTTAAACCACTTATAACTATGTTTCTTGTCAATACTAGACACAACTATTATAGCAAAATAAAATTGTACAGGCAACAATGAGTTTTGTGGAGATTATTTCTTTAAACAAGGTGCACAGCATTAATTATCTATATTTGGGACATATAACGTGCATATTTCATGTTCCTCTTGATGACAAGTACAGGTGTATTTTTACACTACTTTTCTATTGATTGTCTTTTCACCTACACAATTTAAGGATGAACAACTCAAATGATCTTCTAACAGTTATTATCAATTGAAATGAAATTAAGTATCTATGATGGCATTGAGTTTGTAAATGTGTATTTTAACTATTCAGTTGTTTACGATTGTTTTTTTCTATTATTATCCATACCACTGTTTACATGAGTGGTTTATTACTAAGAAATTTTGTCTATATTTTTACTTTTGATGAAAGAAACTTAATAGTTCCATCAAGAAAGATTAGTTACTTGTCATTCTTCGAATACATGTAATTTGTCATTTTGCTGGAGTAGATATCAGCTATGATATAACAGTTATGTTTGTACGAGTGGTATACATTTTTTAGCTTCTATTATTTATGGTATGACCTATAAATAGTATTCACGTAAGTATTTATATGTAGTTAGTTAGTCTTGAAGTGGCAGTTTTTGACACTCATTGATGTCAGCTAGTGAAAAACGATTCGCTAGGTTGGATTGGTTCCACAACTGATTTAAATGAATCATGAAAACTGTTGTCCTATTGTGTATATCTGTGTTCTCACTTACTTGGTTTTGTCACGTGGTGTTCTAGAAGATTGATTCACATTAAAATTACTGCCTGGCGGGAGCATATATCTTGTCTGAAACAAAAGAAAGAAATCAAGACTATATAAAAGATACTGGTGAAGACAAAATATTTATCTCCAAGATCTATACGTCTTCGTAAACCAGATTCAACAATAAAATTGTTATTTTATTTGGCTAATATACATAACTGAACATTAAATAGTGCACATGTTAGCAATGTTTATTGACCGTTCAGTATTCATATTTGAATTACATATTAGTTAATAAACAAACCGTGGTTCGCCAACTAACTTAGGATTATGAGATTATCATAATGGTTGTTTTTGTAGAGACGGTGTAAATTACCTTATGGAGTTTAGGTCATTTTCTGGCCTTCAATAAATCTGACAAGAGAATCTTATCCGGTCAGTGAATTCGCAAATCGATTAATCTATAATAGTAGTGACTTTTATTGGTCAATTATGTGCCAGTGTTATAGTCGGAATATTTATGTCCATTAAATAAATATTACTTGTTTATATAGTTTATTAAACAATAACCTAAAACATTAATATTATCATACGGTTGTGTTGTGATAATCATTCAAACTAGGTTAACATATAATCTCATATATTTTACCGATGAATTTATTTTTAAATAATAAAAAAACGTCGGAATTAATAGTTGCTAACACTCACTATTACCATCTACATAAAGACAGTCTCTCCAGTAAAATCGAATTGTGGCTAACAGTGAGGTCTAGAACTTACGTTTTGTTTTATATGGGGCTGGTCTACTGAATATCACTGTATCTAAAGTACTGATTTTCACAATGAGATTCAAATTCACTACTTTCGTCTTCAAACGCTATTTCATTGTCTGCTGAGCTACTGAATCGATATAGCTACTAACTTATCAAATTGGTTGAATTCATGTGTATTTTCCTCTAGTTGATCTTCAGAATAAATTTTTATAAATACATATATTTGTGAGATGGTAGAGAACATTCGTAGCTCAGGTGGATGATTTGGACTTCTATCTGAAGTTTGTGCTGATGATGTCGTTCAGAAGAACGATGAAAGCTCCGCGACCAAACCATCCAGCTCAGAGAACAAAACTCCATCAACAACATATAATTGTTTTTTTGTACATTCTTGGTTTTCACATATTAATACAATAGAATAACGTAACTTTTGTATTAAATCGGTTTTAATTATTCCATTAGTTTATTAAATAAATCTTATTTACTGATACATTTTAATTAATTCCTTGTTAGTAAAGAATAGCTTTAGATGGTTGGAGGTAGTCAACAGGAAACCCAGTACTTCCACATGATCATGAATCACATATTTCCTAACAGTTAGTAATGTACTCAATAGTATATCCTTACAAATTTGGAGATTACTTGTTAGCCATTATCAGTCATACGTTATCTACAATTAGTAACACAGAAGCAACCAATATTTGTTCAGTTTACTTTAGACAACAGGAATTTATATGTAAAGAAACCATGTTTAATTATAGTGTAAATATCGACAAATAACCGCTCGTAGCTCCTCTAGGGTCACTGCCGGTCCCAAGCCCGAGTAAAGGAGAAGGGTTGAGCATGGGATCGGCAACCCCATCCCGTAGAAAACAACCTTGCTAAAAAAACGCTAATCAGAATAAGTATCAACAAAGAATAAGTAGTATTAATCGAAAGATTTACTGCAAGATAAAATAATGAACTGAAACATAATTGATCCATTCAACGTTTAACAAATGTAAACGTTAGTATTTGTCATTCTATAATTCATAATAATATCCCATGCATTTTATAATTCATATCAAATATAATTAACTCTAGAAGTTGATTTCAGGAAAAGTCATTTCTATCTTTTGCATTCATTATCAGACATTTTATATGCATGCTTTTGTTAATGTCATATCAGTTGCATTGTATTTACGAAATAAGTTAAATTATCTTCTCAGTTAGACTAAGATTTTTAATCTTTAAAAATGTTGTACTTTATTACTATAAACCAGATGATCAACCTTGTATTGATAAGTATCTTGGCTAGAAATGTTTTTTTTGCACTCCATTAGCCAATGGACACACATTTCATCATCGATAACAGCATGATAATACGATAACGTTTTCACATCGATGTATTAACCCTTTTAGATGATAAGTTCTTTTACACAACTTAATTATTTGAAAAAAAGTTAAACTGGCTGACATTAAGTGACTTTTATCAGTTTTTACATCTGAATAAAATATCGTTTAAATGATGGGATAATTCTAAGTGATACATTATATTGACTTCAAATGAAGTTGTTTATTGATAATGTCAGAGTAGATACCGTCCTCAGTATGATGTATTGCAAAGCAAGTAAACTTTCTCTAAGAATTTTTATTGATCTTCTATACCTCATGAAAGCATTTTCAATGTATACTTAATCAGAAGTTACGCATTAGGATAGAGTAACAAGAGCTTTTAGGTTAACTGATGTTTCATTCCCAATCTATTTCTAAACACACTCCTTAGGTAGCTCATTATTTATAATCACATCTCTACTTATATTGTAGTTAATTAATTTGGCTATGGTTGACTTGATTTGAGCCAAACAAGGTATACCTTATTGATACCATTTCGATACCTTAACCCTATATATTATAGTCCTGAGCTTTATAAGGATTCGTTTTAAAACACATTATATACAATCTAATCTTCGTGTTTATTATCCTGAACGTCAAGTCATTTTATTTAACAGTGAAGGACTCACTGAACGTATCCAACTACATTTTTTGAATTATTCAAACTCGTTTTTTTCGAAACATAACTACCGAAGAATGAACTGGAAGATATTAGTTGGTAAAACTAATAAATAAGATAACTACTTATTGAAAATATTAACTTTTAAAGATGTTGAAAAGTGTTAAATAATGTAGTGACGACGTGCAATCAATAAATACAATTAACAGACACTAAAATGAATTTCTCTAGCTAAATAATATATTCAATCAAACTGACCTGTTATTGGTCAGTGATTGGATATAGACATATCCGTCTGAATCGAATGTAAGAGACTATCTAATATACTCTAGTATTCATTACACTTTTATTTCACATATTGACTATTCTGTATTTCGTGTACATAAACTCTTGTTGTAGTCTATATCTGGTTCTCAATCAATCAGTATATGTGCATTAGTTTTCGTTATAATAAACTAGTGAGGAAGCTGAGATGTTAACGAATTGAGTATAATTAGAAAAACAAAAACAGATTTCCGTTTTTTTTTTTCAAATGAACCAAAATACTTTCATGTTTCTTTAAATAATGCCTTGAATGCTTGATCTAGTTTTCATTACAGTTTATTCAGAATATATTATTCTTCCTGAAGATTTTACATATACATTTTAAGAGTATTAGAAAAAAGTTTTGGAAATACATTGGGTTATATTAGGGGGTTATGTAATCAGTTTACATCTCAAGAATGTCATAAGTTTTTAAGTTATGTGTTGAATATTTACAATAGTATGGTGTAAAAAAAATCTTCGTGTTTATGATAGGTCAATCAATTTATTATATTTAAGTCTGATAATCTATATACACACTGATGGCTATTTATTTTTTAGAATATGAGGAGTGTAAGCCAAATGATAAGGCTAGCATTTCAAAATTTTATACATTCAGTTGACCACTAAATGTTATCAATAGTTCTATTCTTATCTTCAAAATATACCAGTAAACGGAATAATTAAATAAACAGATGAAAATTCAACAGCCAAGCAAACTCTTACCTCTTGTCTATCAATCACATTTGGAGAGTTGTATTTAAACAATGATGGTTCGTATTCATGTGGAACCACCGTGAATCTGTTCTCAAAGTTGGGTATATAAACGCGATCTTCGTAAGGAGAGTCCTTCCTGGAAAAACGTTATATATATAGTGTTTAGATTGAAGCTTAAATTTGAAGAGGTTAATTTTTTTCTGGACATTGTTCAATATCACCATTTATATTAAACAACATCTAAATATTTAAATGTAATCAATGGGAACAGTTTAAAGTGAAAAATGAAATGATTGTTCTTATCTATCTATTATCATCTTATCTAATACTCATATGAAACATTAACGATAAAATCACTGGTTGGATAATTGCATGTAGTTTTAAGAATAATTCTACATGATTCCGATGGTAAACGTTTAGATGTTAATTTGAAAAGTATCCGCTTTTGTTCTCAGTTTACAAATACAGATAGTATAGGAAATGTTTTACAAACACTTTTAGATTGCACGCCAATTTTCAGTAACAATCATTTTGAAGCGAAGTGAAGGTAAGATTTTATAAAGGAAGATTCATTATTTGACTACATTTGCTCCATAAATTTTGACTGAACACTCGTAACAGGAATGTTAATGGTGTAAAGCGAAAAATGCAAAATGTGTGATCAGAGACGATATCATTTTAAATATAAAATGAATGACGGAATTCAAAAGAATATAGTGATAATGTGGTGTATGTCACTTATGTTGACAGACATAAGTAGTATGTAACACTGATTCGAAGTGGAATGCCTAGCAGCAGAAGGTTGAGAAGATAAAATTTCAGCAAACAGGAATATAAGCTGAGAGTAACTATAATAACAACAAGAATAAAGGAATATTAAGTTTTTAAGAGACAACTGATGGTAGATGTGCAAATTACGTATTTAATGTACCGTTTTCATATTTCATGAAGACACTATGTAATTTTGCATTAAATAAATAAATTGGTTTTATCCACCTGTCTCCGTTCACCGAAATATGTCTTGTGAACGTAGAGTAATCATTAAAACGTAATATACGTTAAACATGGTCAGATAGTACAAGAAAGTGATGTAACTATAATATCATTTGTATTTTAAAAGGGTAGATTTCACACGTTCATCATGAGAACCGACAATGAACGGTTTTAGCACTCGAGGTTATGCTTGGTTTTTTACATCAATTTCGGCGGCTGCTTAGGATTTTAATTCCATTATTTATAATAGTATCTAAGCTTCACTATTAGGATATTATTTCACTATTGGTAACAATGTTTTATATAAACGAGGTTCAAGAATCAGGAATTTACGCCGATTAATGAATGAATGACAACTAACTGTGTACTGCGAAGCTACTATCTTATCAAAAATACTAATTTTAAGGTGACGAGTAAGATCCATTAGTATAAGAGGTATGGCAGCTGTGTCAAAAGAAATGATAAGCGGAAGATTCTTGTGTTACACAAAATATAAACAGGTCACGAATATATCTCAAACTACCAAGTAATACACAATCGATATAGACTCACAAATCACTGTGTGTAAAGATTAAAATAACATATAGTATGTCGAAATACTTCACCTTTCATAAGTAGGGTTAAATAACTTTCAAGTAGGTTCACTACTTATTTTATTACTTTCGAGTTTTAAAAAGAATTTGGAACGAATTATGAAAGTAATAACTGGTTGCATTTTATTTTCCTTACACTTATAGAGTTGTATTTTTGTGATCTGTAAACTTAATTACATATTATCTTTTAATTAGTGTTGGATGTTGATCACTGGGATCTATTAAAATTTTTCTCTAAAAAAATTAGGTTCTCCTTCAATTAGCTAAAGCAGTACTATCAGAAACTCAGGGTTATCAGTAGCTGAGGTTTCGCGTAATTAAAAACAACATATACAATATTTAACAGTAGCCTACTGTGAAAACGTTATCACTTTTATGATGAGTAATAACTGACCCTTAAATGTTAATTTTATGTGTTAATAAGTGACCTAAGAAATTTGAACGTGCCAATGATTTATGTCTGGAATAAATGTTATTTTTGTTGGAAATATCACAACTGATTGATCACTGGGTGGTGATCAATGTCGTGCATGTCTAGTCCTTATTAGTGCAGATCAAATGCTATCGATTATGTTGCAATGTGGTCACCAGTCTAGGTGACTCGACACTGCGGGCACTATGTACTGAGATTTAGATGGTGGTTGGAGGTAGTCAACAGGAAACCCTGGACCTGGATTTCGTGCTACTTGGCACTCGTCAGCAAGGTGTACCTGTAATCTTGAGGGAACTGGTGCTCCCTGGAGGATTCAATCTCGTATCACCCAGCTTCACAGTCAGAGACGTTACCACTGAGCTACCCGAGCCGTGACTAACCTCCTGTAGGACTGAGATGTAATCACAATTGATTGATCACTGAGTGGTGATCAATGTCATGCTTTTCTAGTCCTTATTGTTGGAAATTGTTGGAAATATGATTTATTTAAGTGTTTAATCTGGTTATTTGAAACCACTCATTTTTACTGGCTAATAATTCCGTCTTCTGATTACCGTTTACTGGGGTTCGGCGTTGATAACTTGGGCTTTATAATCAATCATTATTCATCCATAACAAGTCTAGTTATGTATTACATAATCAACGCAATTCATACAAAATTTCCTTTATTATAATATTCAGCCTTTGTGTATTTACTTTTAACTTATTATTCAATAATATCCAGGGGTATGATTAGTTGAGTATGATTGCTGAATGTATGAGTTTTTAAATAATAGAAACAATATTCTATTGAAAGGTATCTCAATGAAAAACGAAAGGAAATTTTACAGTGCAAATCTATCTTCAGTGTTCAGTCGTTGTGATAGGAGATAACTAATTCATAATACAAATTACTAGATTCAGTATACTTATATTCAATCAAATTTACATTAAATACATTTCTGATTTTAGTCACAGTAAAATTTGTTCAAGTGTAATATACTTTAAAAATAAAATAGAAAAAATAACAATATCCGATTGATAAGTAAAAAAATGTGAATACTCAGAATCTTTCGTGTGTAACTTACTGGAATAACAGTAAAACAAAAAAAGGTTGCAAAATGATATGGCAAGCCAATCAGAAATAGCTTAAGGAAAAGGTCAATCGATAGAAATCACAAGTGACCTGAAAGACAAATACATTTCATTGGCTAAGAAAATGGGTCGATTTCCTAGGGATAGAATGGTATATATATATATATATGAATGAGTATTTGTGTATCTTAGTAGTACAATACACTTTCTGATTCACTCTTGTGTTCTCGCTCAAGCAGCTGGGGGGGGGGGAAGGTTAGTTCATAGATCTTAAGTCCGACTCACTCGTCCGCGTCGTGCCTCCTGGATAATGAGACGAACGACTCATGAACTACCGTGAGCGGTAACCCGGGTGGTAGTCAGTCAGTCAGCTACAACGTACGACCAGGCACATATGTGCATCGGTCCAGGTTGCCATACCGCATCAGCACAACGAGATGAACACCGGATTCATAGCAGTGGTTAGGTCAAAGGTGGTAATATATAAGAGAAAGATTGTATATAGAGATATAGTACAAGAAGAAAGAATTGGTTCGTAGAAAGGAAGATATGAAGTGATTTTAATCTATTAGTTTAAGGGAAGACAGGGAGTGTATACACCGATGCCATTGTGATCGACTCTGAGCCATATCACCAAAAGTCTCCAACCATTGGTTACGAAAGTCACGCGGACCCCAACCAAGTAGTCTGCATCTACCAACATAGCTCAGACTAGAAGTTAGTGACTTAAAGCACTGATGCCACGTTTTGGTTTGGCCGCCCCTAACTTTCTTCCAACCATCTCCAATACCGGATAGCATTGCACGACGTGGTAATCGGTGTTCAGGCATACGTAACACGTGGCCCAACCATCTCAGTCGATGAAGATTCATAACCTCATCAACTGATTTACCATCATTCCCTAATACCCTGCGTCTAACCTCACTATTACTTACCCGGTGATCCCAGCAGATGCCAGCAATATTTCTAAGGCATCTGTGGTCAAATACTAATACCTTACGAGTGTCTTCTACTCTTAAAGGCCATGTTTCGCTGCCGTAAATTAAAACAGAACGGACTTCTGCGCAGTATACTCGTCCTTTTATTGATAGACGGATATCTCGCCTTCGCCATAGGTGACGCAAGTTGGCAAAAGCCAAACGAGCTTTTCGAAACCGTGCTGAGATTTCGTCAGACACCAAGCCATTAGGGCTGATCAGACTTCCAAGATAAGTGAAGTTGTCAACGCGTCCGACTACTTCACTCCCTATCCTTAGTTCAGGTGTTGACGCAGACCAGTCCTGAAGCAACAACTTGCATTTAGAGGGAGAGAAGCGCATTCCAAACATTCTGGCATTGTTGCTTAGTGCTACCAGAAGACTCTGCATTTTGTCAGCGTCTTCACCAAACAGGACTATGTCATCTGCGTATTCTAAGTCGATAAGTGAACCTCCTGGAAAAAGATCAATACCCGAGATTTCAGTCGACGAGAATGTTATTTCCATCAATAGATCTATGATGAAGTTAGACAAAAATGGGGAAAGTGGACAGCCTTGACGGACACCACTTGAGGTTGCAAAAGTAGATGACAGTTCGCCATAAGTTCTGACTCGACTAGTAGTGTTCGAGTAAAGAGCCTTTACAAGGTTTATGTACTTCTGAGGTACGCCTTTCAATGACAGACACTGCCACAGAATCTCGCGATCTACAGAGTCAAATGCTGCTTTTAAGTCGAGAAAGACCACCATTGTCGGACGCCGATAGGTATGCCTGTGTTCTAGAACCTGACGAATGGTGAATATGTGGTCGATGCAGCCACGACCAGGTCTGAAGCCAGCTTGAGTCTCTCGTGTTTGCAGTTCACGAGTCTTAGTTAGGCGTCTGATAATTATCGAAGCTAGTATTTTAGATATTATATTAGTCAAACTAATCCCTCTGTGGTTGTCACAGGATGATTTTGACCCTTTCTTATATATTGGGACGATAAGTGATTGTGACCAGTTAGATGGGATAACGTCTAACTCCCAGATCTTAGCTAAAATATTAGTCAACCTAATCGCTAAAATTAGACCACCATCCTTAAAGATCTCTGGAGCCAATCCATCTGGACCAGCTGCCCTTCCTCGCTTCAGATTAACTATAGCCTTTTGAACTTCAGCAAGAGTTGGGGGACCTACTTCAATGTTCCATTCACACTCTCTGGGAATGGAGGGTGGTGGAGATTGGGCTAATCACCCACTCTTGCCTATACCCACCAGTCGATTACGAAACCCACAGTGAAACATAGCATGTCGTGTATCAGTATCTGGTTTCAGACACAACCTGTCATAACACAAACAAAACTAATTAAAATATAATGAGATTCTCACTTACTACATATTATGATCTCGTAGTTCTTTGAAAAAACACACCCTTATTTATTGTTAAATACCCAACTGGTCGTCTATATTATCTACAATTATTTTTCTAAATATTTAATATGAAATTTTTGTAAAATTATTCAATAGTTCTGCATTTAATAACTTAATTTTCGTATAATAACATTGATCATTTTTAGCTTAGTTTGACACTTTGGAAGTAAAAACTGAACTGTCTGATTACTTTATTACTAATAAGTTTTAAACATTATCTATCGGGTATTTGATAAAATTTCAAGTCAAATATTGATATATTCTAAAATGATTTAATAATTATCCATTGTCATGTTGTTTACGTATTAAAGTCGAAACTTTTCGGACATCACAATCTATTGTGAATGACCTACAGCATTAATCAGTATATAACACATGGCTTAGAGTATCTTGTGAGTGGATTTGTTTCATATGAAAGTCACCCACAGATCAACTGATGGAAGCTGATTTTATGAAGATCAACTACTAATACGGTTGAGTTTTTTTTACCTTGTTGTCATTTTCTTTTCAGAACAGATATCAACCCCACTGATTATATATTTATTTGTTATAATGGATTGATAGTAAAATTGTTAATCTATTTATAATGGGATAACGGACAGAACTTTCAAAACTATTGCTTCATTCTCGACCAAATGTATCCGCACATATTTTTCATATATACCCATAATCCCAGGCGTTACTTGTCATCCCAAGGATATAATAACGATTTCTAAGAAAAATCATAAGTTACTAATTATGGAAGCCGAGGTCTTAATATCTGGATCACATGCTTAGTTATTCAACTACCTTGGTACATTCCATGCATCTCCAAGATTGCGCCATAGTCTTTCATATTCATTTGTCAAGTTCGATTGAATAAAAAGCACAACATAATCTGGTAATAGTGGATAAATAGTTGATTGAGCAATGCTTGATCTATTTGTTTTAGGGTTTCGTGTAGCATCAACTCCATATCTAGAATAAAAGATGAATAAACAAATACAATGAATACACATCATTACCAATATGCATTTTTCAAACCTTTGAAAAGAACTTCTAAATTGAAATGTGTACATTTGTTGGTTCACGGCAATTTAATTCAGTTTACACGAGGCTGTACCCTACAATTTAATATAAATTTCTGTTGAATGGTGTCTAATTTGAGCTTAAAATAATAAAATAAAAATGTAATTACAGTTAGGTTGATCCCAGTTTGTAAACAATTTCATTTTATTTAGCAGCTAATCAATGCATCTAACAAAAGTGATATCAATTCAGTTTAAACTATAGAAAAGATGATGATTTAATAGTTTTATTGAATTAGCTACATGTTTATTAGTATGCATCGTAGTTATAAATTTAATAAGTAATAAACAAAACCCTAGTAAGACAGTTATGGATAGGTTAAACACTGATACAAACGCAAATTAGCGTAACGAGCCACATAATCATACCCAGGTGATAAAATGGCTCGTTCCAGTCATATTCATTTGATGCTTGATGTGATTTCTTTCATAGTGTGGTTACTGGCTAGTGGTTCTATAATTTTCGAACGATTATTTTAGACTAAATTATATCGATAAAGTAACGTTAAAAACGCTCCTATTTTAGTTATTTTGATTATAAGGTTTATGCTAGCGTCTTTTGAATTTCCATAAATAAAACTATAAAATGAAGGCGGGTTTATCAATAATGCAGCATTAGTAACAGGTAGTTGAGCTGTTTCGATTGTTCAAACAATCCTATTTAGAGTATCAATAAACTTCAGATAAGGTAAATCATATTAGTCGTAATCGATCGTGTTTTTATCCACTTAACTTTCTAAAAAGTAATTATTAATTGTTAATGAATGATGTACTTATTTACTTACTTTAAAAATTCAAATAATTGTCTAGCCAAGTGAGCAGAATTCGGATCTACAAGATAGTCTTGAAGTCTTGCCAATAGAATGCATGCAAATTTGAGTTTTTCAAAGAAATCAACAGCACATTTTTTCACAGGTTCATCTAACTCACTGACCAAAGCTGAATAATGTACAGAGTAAAAAATTTTAATTATTAGAGAAACTATGATTTATAACAATTGAATAAAGTTTTAGAAATATATTTACTCCAGCTTGAAAAATTCCGGACATCGTTCACTTTGGCTGAGTGAATATAATAAGGTTGTTCTTTTTAGTGTATAGGAAGAATATGATTTAGTCACTCAACAACTAGTTTACATAATAGATCTAATCACTTTTAATAAGTTTAGCTGTTATTTCATTGTCACCTACCCTTTTCTATTTGTATTTACACATTTCATCATCGTCATCATCAAGAGTAAATGAAAATGAATCTATGCTCCGCACGTCTAATTTTATTTGAGTTTTTCTTTGTCAGCGGTAGTTACAACCACTTTCTGTAGTGGACCTAATTATTTGAATTTAGTCGTCTAATCCTTCGTAAGTTGACTGTGAGGAAATTAGGCTGTACATTTACTCTCGTTGTATTTTGTTTGTTTACTTGTCCTGTGAGCAACTCTTGTTAACTTTTCTGGACAGTTTGTAGCGAATTTAATAAATCCCTTAGAAAAAACATTCATAGTTGAACGATAGAAATCTTATTTGACGTACAATTAAAATGATCATACTTCAAGAAGTGCAATGATTTGTTTTATTTACAATGATTAAAATTTTATAAATTGGAGTATGAACTATAAGTAGTTATATTAATGTAATAGAGAATCCCGATCTATAATTATTAAAGTAAGGCAGTTGTGAAGATTCTTAAATTCAATAGTTTACATCACAAACACACGTCAGATAGACAACCAGTGGAAACCAGGAAACACCGGACAGCTATTTCAACCCAGTATTATATTCATGAACAATGTGCACCTACAACCCCACTAGGGGCCGCTAGCTGTAAAATTTGAAGGTCCTATGTTCAGTCCACGGTAAGGTCTTGGGCATCCCTTACTAAGGAGTTTCATGCTACAATGAAACATATCAACTGACTCTTGGTTTTTAATAGTTGTTTTACAAGGGTCTATAATTATGAAACTAACTAGTAAAATACCAAGTCTTATAACAGGCTACCAGTTTCGAAATACATAATTCTACTTCTTTATTGAAAAGACGTATTATAATAATTTAATTACAGTACTATTACAAAAATAGTTCTTTAAGGAAAATAACTTATTGTTCAGATTAAATACATTTTCAGACTCAATAAAAGGAATGAGCTATTCGCTTGAATTAATCGGCTTTGTATTCTAAATACGCAATTTCAAATTCGCCTTATGGAATACATACCTTTCTAAAGGAATAATTAAGAAAATTTGCCAAGGACATATTGGATGTTTAAATATATGCTAAATTTTTCAAAGAACTGAAAGAAAAACATTTTCTTTAATAAAAACGTTGATAATTACATTCGATAGTCATTAGCGATTTATTAAGAAATACAACCTTTGATGACAGAATACTTTGTCGATGACTTTCAGGGAACCTTAAACTAACCTCGAGAAGGAAAATTTCAGTTTAACTTAATCACAGTACAGTCGATGTAAATGAATAATTTATGAAAAATGCTTTAAAAAAATTAGAATATGTTAATAGGTCTTACAGGATTGATAAATTTATTAAAGTTCTCAGCTGGATGTTCGATTTTAAGATAATAGCGTGTGGTATATAAAAACTCATTTATATGACTCCATATCATTCAAACTTTGGAGCTTTATATATTTTAAGGGTGTTCCTCAAACTGAACCACATAGCTTTAATCTTAATAATGGTATAAACACGTTCTTTTAGGTCCAAAAAACGATGCTTATTTACTACTACCTGATGATTATAATAGAATCTGTGATAACACCTTTGAAATCCCCAATCGTCTACGCATAATGTTGTCTAGAATTGAGAATACCTTGTGTTAATGAGTAGTAATGTGGATTCATCCGATTACAAATGTATCGTAAGTGATCTTTTTATAACGTTCTATGTCATACACCAAAAAAACTATTAATAAGATTGAAAAGCTTCTATTTATTTATATATTCAACTTCAACATTCTAACGTCTACTTTAATTTCTTTTTCTAAAAACTATTTCGTCTATTCTTCAAAAACCTCAAAGGAACAGGGTTGAATTTAATAGCGCTAAGAGTGGATGTTCTTACAATAAAGGTACCAGTCAGTTGCTGGAAATTGAGCCTCATCATTCAGAACAGCTCCTAGTGTAACCGATTTTTCAAAAATCTATTGAACAACGAACACTACGATTTACTTATATGGGGGTTTTGAACGCGTGAACAATGCACCAATCCATAAAGATTTCTTCTATCCAATGAATATTACTATGCATAACTTTTATCTCTTAGTTCCTTCCATTCTCTGTCAGTTATCTGATGTCTATCACCATACACAAAAGCACTTTTTTAAAGCAATATGATTTCTTGTAAATTGTGTACTATAACATAATTATAAAATACAATCCTAAATTAGTATTCTTGTATGAAATATATGCTGTGATCTTGAAATCGCTATCTGCTATCTAACTAGTTTACCAACAAAGTATACTTTTACCGAATATGATTTTCAAATATTTGATTAAACTAACATTTATAAGCAAAGATGGATGGTGGCTAGCTGTGGAATTCAGGACTCGCGTTTCGTCCTACTTGGGGCTCATCTGGGTTTGAGTCCCAGAGTGAACATCAACTCTGGGATTCAGGTACATCCAGCTGACGCGCGTCCTGGATTTCACTGCCAGCCACTATCTTTCTGTGCCTAGAATGCTTAAGACTTAAGTCAATATCAAGGCAATACGCACAGGATGCACATGTGCCAATAAGAGACTGATCAATTGCAGTCTTCAACCTGAATTGAAAGATTCAAGCAAACAATACCAAGTAAACTAACATTTATTTTGATAGTATTAACGACTTTAATTAAATTAACTTGATCATATACAGTTATAGCAGTAAATATTCACAAGAGCAGCAAATCGATTACTTTGTGATAAATATCACCGATTACCAAGTATGTATGCAGTTCATAGTTAGTCACATACATACTTGGTAATCGGTGATAGTTATCACAAAGTAATCGATTTGCTGCTCTTGTGAATATTTACTGTTATAACTGTATATGATCAAGTTAATTTTATTAAAGTCGTTTTTTACAAAAAGTTTATAAACTGAATATACTTACTAGAATTTTGATTTACACTAATACTTGAAACTCGACTTTTTGATTTACTCGATGTAGCAACAGATGGTGCTGATTTAGAGAACTGTCGAGTTGTTCTGCTTTTCAAAATTTTGTAATTTGATTCAATGTCATCAAAACAGTGATTAAGCAGTGCAACCTCTAAGTCAATCCACTCACGATCTGTTTAAGAAAAAGTATAAACCAATAGAAAAATTACATAAGTTTGATTCAGATTACTTTTTTTAACAGTATAAATCTAAGGTGTCATTCTCAAATGAGACAATAAATGAGTCAAATCTAAACATTTTAACAAACGACATTATCATTATTCTGTTTTGGTCATCTGATAAAAATAGTCTCTTAAAACATTAAATTACTTTTAAAATGAAGCTGTCCTGAAATAGTTCTGAAAAAAATTGTTCCTCCAAAACTTAACATTGCTTGGTTATACCGCAGATATGTGGTATTCAAACAACAGAACATCAAACTTAACATATATTTTATGTAAATCCAAATAATCTTTCATATGGTAAACAGTCTTTGATTATGAAGTTAGAATAACTAGGGATGTTCGTATCAAAAGATGACCTTAGATTATTATCAAGGCATACTGGTAAACATTAGGAATATTTCATATATGAAATAAAACCTGTATGATGGTTCAAGTTGAGTGATAGAAAAACTTGGATGAATCTTCATCCAGGCTAGTATTTACCATAAAAATGTATCTATGATCTTGAAATACCTAATCTTCATAGAGTGTAAACTCACAAGATGTTTTATCATAGTCCAAACCGAGACTAACGTCATATGTATGACTGAATATATTGTGTAGTAATTAGTATCATGCTATCTAATCTTTATAACTCATCGAATTCTGGCTATGGAGTTTCAGTAAAACTAATAGTTAGATTAAATTGACTTCATTATAGTCCTCGTTGAATGTTAAGGGATTTGGATTTTGGGAGGGTAATTCAAGAATCAAAGTTTTTAGCTTTCCTTTTTTAGATTAAATTTTAATCTTAATAAGCACTCTATCAGTGCTGATTAATCCATTATCAAGGTTCCCAACTTATGAATGTTCATTTGGTAATGAAAACTAATCGAGAATTGGTGGCAGTTAACCTCCTGATAGGAATGAGTTGAAGATGCTATTAAGCACACTTAGATGTTTTACTTACACTAAGTAAGCAACAGAATAACTTAAAATCAGTATATAATAAAGCATTTATTATGTCTTTGTAAATAAAGAATGAACCTATGTGTGTAATGTATAAACGAATTTAGATATAGTCACTATAATTCCACATTGTACAGATTAATTTGTAATTTGAAACTGTAGACAATCGCATTTGATTCTCCTGTTATATAATAGTACGATTATTTTCACAGGGCAAGTTTTTTTCTATTCAATATATATTTTTATTAATGTAATAAAATATTCAATTAAATTAATAATGAGTCCATTTCAATCTCTTCATTTCTTAGATACACATATCACATTATGCGACGATGGAGAAGATTCGCAGTTCAAATAGATACTTTTAGCGCCGTTGAGTTCTCTGTGCTAGATGGCATAATTACAGAAGTTCCACTGTCGCTATGGAAAATATCACCAGTACTTACTTCTACATTTAGTTCAAAGTACTCAACAATACCAAAAACATTAATTCGTGATAATTTAGTTTCACAGGTTTTTATTTAACAGTTATTATTATTTTGAACAACATATTATTTTGATATCGTCTTAGTAAATATTTAGATCATTTACTAGTTTCAATGATTTTTCAGATGTTTCAGAGACATTTGAATCATTATTGTGATTAGTATGATTGTCAATATTATTAGGATTACTACATTGTTATTCTGATAGGTTTTCTCATTTCATCTATTATATTAACAACAAATTATACATGATCTTTTTGAGCGAGTATGTCATTATCATTTTTGACTATTTCATTCCTATATAAATTGAACTTGTATGAATAAGAGATGAATATATCAATGGTTAAGATCATGAGTCAGTTGAAGCTAGACCAACATGGGAAACCTGGAAGTACTGGACGGCCGTTTCATCCTATTGTGGGACGCCTCGGCAGTGCGCATTCACGACTTCGCACCCAGCGAGATTCGAACCCAGGACCTACTGGTTTCGCGCGAGAGCACTTAACCATTAGACCACTGAGCTGGCATCCAACGGTGTTAATGTCTAACTTCAACTAATCCACGGAATTGAGCGACATATCCACCATTGTCCTCAGTGAGTTACTATCTCACAAGAGACCTGGTTGAACTCCACTGGTCACTACTTCTCACTAGAATATTTAATTAACTATAACAAAAAGAGTGATTTACCTTACCTATATTTCTGACAAAATCGTTTTAGTGAATTATTATATTCACAACTTATCAGTGACCTTCTATATGATATAAAGTCACTTGTTTAAACATGTATTTTGTTCTTATTTAACAAGATCAAGATTGAAACATTGATATGGAGTTAGTGCTTGTGAATAAAATAAGTAGGATTCAGAGAATAAGTCTACTGTAGAACATTCTTTTTTAATAACCCTATTTATAGTAGAAAACCTAGTTGTTAGGGGACATTAAATTTTCTATTTTCTTTGATATTAAATTCATTTTTCTCTTTGTTTTAATGTCATTGAACAAATAGATATGATTTTTTATAATTTAAACCACGAACAGATTTAAGCTAGATCACCATTGGCACCAGGAAGCAGTGGATGTCTAGTTTGTGATCTAAACTATGATGATTCTACAATCTCCACAAGTCCCATTATATATTGAAAATAAATATCCTTGAAAGTTATTTTCAGCTCTTTTATGATGCTTCTAATATACATTTTAAAGTCACAGCAAAATGAATTGTACCAATTAAACAAGGTCAAAGAGTTAGTATATAATCAGCTCGACACTTCAGTATTGATGAAAAGTGGATATGGTTTGCTTTTTTGTCAAGTTAATAAAGATAACAGCCAATCCGATAATGAAAAGCACAAAAATATTTTGAGATGATGGAGAATATTTGTAGCTAAAAATTGGTTCTCCAATTTCATACCAAATTATTGCTTAATATACTTCATTAAATTGATGAACTTAGTAAGATATCAGTAAAATATAATTAATAAAATATAGGAATAATTGTTAATTGTAATTTTTTAACTAGTTTCCTTACTGATTTGTGATTCACTATATACACTATCCTCTTTGGTAATCATTGGTGGAAGTTGAATTCCACTTGAACTTGTTTGTAATGGTATCCTTAGATTTGGTTCAGATGGAGCCCTGGAGATTAGCATGGAGTCATTTATGCTGTTAGAAGAAATAGAAAAGAAAATATAAAAAGAAAGAAGTTTCATTGACACTTGAAACATATTTATTTTACAGAAGTTATTTTGCATAAAAATAGAGCAATCGAGATGAAGGCATGAAAATATGAAAGATATCGAAAGTAAAAAAACGTCTATACGTTGTAACACGTTTAAGCAATCTGCGTGTTAACATATATAACAACTGATCTGTCTACTTTATCAACCACACATTTACAATGTCATAATCTGAAGTTTTCCACTAGTCTATAACCCATACCAATTCAGCATGAAAGTCATTATAATATTCACTCTTTGTTTAACTGATTTTAATGATCTTGTTTTGTGGCACCATTGCTTTTTATTACGTCGTTGCCAAATGGATGCCCTTTCGTCTCTAATTAATTAAGTTTGATTACAAAAATACAAAAACTCACATCTGAATATTTTTGATACATTTTTTAAAATTATTACGCACATACTTTCTTCACTTTCCAAGTTATTAAAAATAAATTTATATGTTATAAGCACAAATATACTTCACCATCAAAAGGTTTCACTGACAAATAAGTTAAAGTTTTCATATAAAGTCATTAATTTATGTGCCATATCGTTTCAAATGCAGCAAATAAGAACCAGGGGATAAAAATGGATTCGTGGAATTTTTGTAAAACTATTTAAACGATTGTGTTCGAATAGCAGTTAACAAACATATTACATAGTCACTTTGATGGAGTTTTGTTCTCTGAGCTGGATGGTTTGGTCATGGAGCTTTCATCGTTCTTTTGAACAACATAATCAGAACAAACTTCAGATAGAAGTGAAGTGTTCAAATTTCTCCACATATGGTTCACAGCTTCTCATGTACACCTCGATGTTGATTGGTTCTTGTTGATCTTAAACTTGTCATTGTTTACTTTTTTATTTTGGTTGTATCTCCCATTGGTTTGATTTTTGTTCCCATGTTTGTGCATAATTTTCCTGATTGGTTGATACATTAGATCGATTTCAATGTGCTTGTTTATTGCAATAAACAAGCTCCACGACCAAACCATCCAACTGAGAGAACAAAACTCCATCAAAAGCATCCACCTGAGCTACAAATCTTCACCATCTCACTGTCTTGATTATATTGACAACTGAAGTCTGATATGATGGTGGACGGTGGCGCAATTTCATGGATTATTTGAAGTTAAACATTAACACCGTTGAATATCGACTCAGTGGTCTAGAGGTTAAGCGTTCGCGCGCGATATTGATAGGTCTTGGTTTCGAATCTCCCGGGGCGAGATCATGGGTACGCACTGCTGAGAAGTTTTATGCTAGGATGAAACGGCCATTCAGTGCTTCCAGGTTTTTCATGGTAGTCTAGCTTCAATTGACTCATGAATCCAATTAATAAATTACTACAATCTCCACAAAACCTCTCTCGGATATGATGTATTTATTAAATTACAACAAAATATGAAGATAACATATGACTATATTTCATGCCCAAATTCTATTTATCAGTGCATATGAAAGTTGCTTAACTGATTTATAGATTCAAATAATCAGTAAATATATGTGACCTTTTCCATTCCATTTCATTAACTCACAAACTATAATTACCTTGTAATGTTTATTCTGTACACAAAAAAAATGTTTATCAATAAAGTCTATAATATTAAAAAAATGCTCATATTGGAGAATAAATAACATTCACCCTTTTCATTATAGCGCCAGAAAAAGTTTGATTAAAATCTCTCCTTCTTTTAACATTATAATAATCAAACTATAAAGGTACACTTACTCTTGATCATATGAATCATTGTCTAGAGCTCCAGCTCTCAGTAAAACATTGACAATTGTTTGAGCAGGACAAGTTAAAACCTACATGGTAATATACAGAAAGTAGAACTATACAAATGTAGATCTATAATTTTGAAACAATGTAGTAATAATTCTGTTACTATTCATATTTATTTATTTGAAATAATAAAGTTTGATCATTAAGAATGTTAAAAACTGTCATTTCTACTCCCAGTTTGGTAGGACATAGTATGAGATTTATAAAATGTATGAGAACAATATAGTGAGAATGGAAGATACAAATCAACCGACAGCTTTAACAGGCATGTCCCAAAGGAAAATGATCCATTATCTTTCATTAGAAATCACTTTCATGAAAGTAAAACAAAATTCCACTAGGCTAGACAAATTGAAACCTTGTCAAATTACAACTAATATAACATATGGTGAGACATCAGTGAGACGACAAAGAACATTATTTTTAAACATGTATATAATTCGGTAATGAGAACTTTTTTGTCCTTGTCCAAATTTATAGAGAGATCAAATTATTTGATAAATTATTTCTTTTTACTGAGCAGTGAATTTTCTTTTTATTTAGAAAACCTACCAGTAGCTTAAAGATTACAAACAAGCACAAATAGCACTATGTTAATACAGTACATAACCAACTGGATATACTAGTTTTCTCTTTGTGTTCGAAACCTTAATAATGTCTTTTCTGCCGAAAGTCCACGACTAATGTAACACTAAATAACATGTTTTCAAAGAAGATGTATGAGCAGTATGAGTAGTCTAAGCTCAGTCTGTGATGCATACTATAAAGTAAGTTTCAAAAACGAAAATGATGAATTAGAAAACTCTTATTAAAAAGGTAAGCGATAAAACCAGTTGTTAGAATGAAAAGTGTGCTTCAGATCAACTTCTCATTACAATGGAAGATCTCTTAATTAAGCTTAGGCATCATGAGGTTAACATCAGCCTGTCAATCATAATTTTACACTTCTTAGGTTCTTCACTAATGACATATTATTTATGAAGCATCAATCTCCTCTGTATCAAGTAACCTAGTGAGTTCTGTTGAACTGATGTAAAGAAATTGTACAGATTAACTATCAAAAATATTTCTCAATGCATTAGATAACAACTCCAAGTATGACTCTACAAACTACAGAATAAAAATTTAAAATCATCTCTTTTATTATTTGTAATTAGTCATAACCAAATAACATCAGACCTATAGTTTAATGTCATTTATGAAATAAGCCTCGATCTACATAAATCTTTATATTCACATCTTGTGAATGACCTAGTTGAACAAAATCTAAGGTCAAATGTTTATGCTTGTAAACAGCTTTTGTGACTGATGTTAGCGCCATGGTTGTAGTTTACTTATAAACCTTTAATATTTTTGTCTCTATTTCTTCTTACATTTAAGTTATGTGGAATTCCATCTTGTAGAACCAATTTTCTTGAAATTATTATGATTAGACTATCGTCTTTGATAAAATTCTTCTTTTATTTATCGTGACTTTTGCCAACCTACTCAGTGAAGGAATAACACAGTTATTTTTTTAATCAAATTTATTTGTGTATTTGACCTTTAATTTTCTATAATTCTGATAGTTTCAGGCGGCTTTATTGATTTTACTTTTAAACCTTCATGTTAGTAAACATATATGTTACCATACTAACTATTCTATAAAAGATATACAACTGTGTCCTTTTTGGATGGGGGAAAACTCCCTTCTTATAAACCTGTTTTTGTAAATATGTGTTCAACTATTTAGTGAGTCATCCTCGCATATATATATATATATATATATTGTAAGGGTTCCAGTTTCGTGATATTATTCGTTGTAAGGTGTTAAGTCAGAGAAACCATCTAAATATTAAATAATTTAAAAACAGAAACATTTCGTCAATTTAAATTCTCATTCATATTTTTAAACAACTAAATAAAGACATAATTTGTTAAGTTACTTGAAATAAATGTATTTCATTGCGTCTTGGACGTCCATCATCCATTGAACCAGCTTTGATAGTGAATGTGAGTAGATTGTTTACTGGACACACATCTGGAGGAGTTATTCGATACCGAGGATAGAGTATACGACCAATACGAAAACGTTCAACTTCAGCCTTTGTAAATAAATGAACAAATTGAGTGTTTAAGGTTTTTTATAAAATAAGGCCACAAGTATATTCTCTTCAATGTAATCAACATCTGTATATTAGTATACGCTTTACTTACAGGAAGTATAATTTTCCTTACAAATTGTCTTTGGTTAGATTTGTTAAACACAGTGTTAGTGATATGTCAAGGAGGAATTATTCATAATAACATATGTTAGTTTATTGAATAAGTGTGAAAGACAAATGGAATTTTTAAAGGTTTATGGTCGATTAGCAGGAAATGTTTGTAATGCTATTCAGGCACAAAACTTTCAGTTTTTTATTCATATAGATACACGATCATTATTGAATATCTATTAGTCTTATAATCTAATCTCAACATGTCCCATTACACTAAAAAGTAGATGGCAAATCTTTGAAATTCATCTATTGACTTCCTCACTTTACTTATGATTGAATAATTGATTCAATAAGAAAGGTAATGTTTATTAATTAAATGTAATATAAATTATCTGATACTTATTTAATTAAAGTGATTTTTGTGTAATTTTTGTAAACAATAATGTTATTCAATTGACTATTTTCGTATTTTTTGATAAATGAAGAAATTCAATAGGTAAACTGCCTGTCTCGTCAATTGTGGGTGAAACCAATTGATCGATCGATTCATTTTCACTGGTTAAGATCATGAGTCAGTTGAAGCTAGACCACCATGGAAAACCTGGAAGCACTGGACGGCCGTTTCATCCTATTGTGGGACTCCTCAGCAGTGCGATCCATTTTCATCAAACTAATACTAAGATATCATACTCTTGAAGTTATTATAAAAAGTTAAGAAAAATATGAATTTCACATTTTCTTTTAGAGAAAATCAAGTGTTTGAAACATTTTTTAAATATTTCCTGTTCAAGTACAAAAGTATCATGTAATATAAATAGTTTTATAATGAGATTATAAATAATGCCGTTTTCTTTCTCAATGTTAATTTAGTATTTACTGACAAGATGAATAGGATTCTTTCGATATTAATAACATATTTCACTTCAAAAAGCTTGTTTGTGTTTCTACTCAGCATTTCGTTAAAAAAGTACTAGCATAATACCATAAATACGCTTTAATAATAACGTGCTAATTGGAATAGGTAAGGTTTTTCAAAGTGTATACCGATTATCTTTAGTGATTGAACGAGAAGTACTTCACTATATTGTTGATGAATTACAATAGGTAGTATTCGGTTAGAAAAAATGTTTTTATATTCTTGAAAATTGTATGAATTGCCTAAGAAAATAATAAAATACAAACAATCAGTTTTTGATTGATTTGTATTGGTTGTTTGAATCTTCCAATTGATGTTTAAGACTGCAATTAATCAGTCTATTTTCGGCATATGTGTATCATTTGTAGATTGTATCGATATTCTGAATATGTCATATTGATTACGAGAAGATATGGGCATCTGAACTCAAGATTGCTTTTGAAGCGGTCATCAGTGGGTTCGAGTCCCTCGGTGAACATGAACTCAGGGATGCAATTATATCCAGTTGACGAGTCCAAAACAGGATGAAATGCCCGTCTTAGATTCTAATGCTTGTCGCCCATTCATCTCTGTCTATAATCCGTATCTGATTGCTTATAATCATAGTGTACATGTTGAAAGTGAAGTATAGGTACGAGCCAATCGGAATCACGAAAATGATTTATGAGATTTTGTTTGAAATTTGAAATTTCATGACATTGATCTTACATAACATAAAGTATGAAGCAGAAATAACTTTGTATAAGGCTTGAAACCGTTCGGATTACAATGAAAAAATTTCTTTTTGTCATTAGAGAGTAGAAAATATGGTGGTTAAAGATTTCTATGTAGATTGTGTATGACAAGAAATCAGTCTTATCTCTGAACCAAAATCCCAAACTCTTAATTCTAACCCCAACCTTAAACCTTAAAACATTGACTTTTAAATTTATTAACCCTAAAATCTGACCAGAAACAACTTAGGGACTCCTAAAAATCTTTCTCAGTCCTTATAATCGTTTGAGAACACATATGCTCTATATTATTATGGAAGATTTACGAGTAGAACAACCCATTAAAGACTTGACTAGAACCATTTATTATGTGAAATTTGTGTACCATTTAAATATAATGGTTTTTCTTCAGAAATCATCCATTTACAATCATTATTTTTTGATCAACTGTCCATAGGCAAATATTTATCGCTGTCATCTTGAGCTGGTCCCTTTACCATACTCTTGGAAAAAGAATATGGGATTGTCAGTAAATATGTAGAAAATAGTACCTTAGTTCATTCAAATAATTTTGGTTTGGTTTTATCTCTAAAATTTATACACTTATGACAGAAGTTTCAGTAATTTATCAAGAATAAATCTGCTTGTAAAGCTAAAAGATATGAGACAAATTTTAAATTAATGGTAAACTGTTCATGTAATTTGCAATGAAAATGTTGAGATTTCAGTTTAGTAACAACACAAAATGTACAAAACGAATTGAATAAAGTATCTTTTAATCGTTAAATTTCTAATAGGGACATTGTAGTTTTCTTTTAAATCCATGAGATTAATGTTGCATAATAATAATGAAGCAGATTTAAGTATCACAGTTATTATATTTTTAGGCAGTATCCTGCAAAGCTATCTTTGTCACTATCTATGTACTTCAATTCAGATAATGAAACTAGAATTCATTGTTAACGCCGCTGATCAAAGTAACAAGATGATTTTTCCAAATATTACTTTGTGTATTTCATAAAGAAACTTACTTATTGCAGCAACTCTTAGAATAAATTAATCAAGCTTATTTACTTCCAATGTTTGTTCTCTATTGATCGTATCATATTCAGGGATAGTAAGAAAACATCACACTTGTATGATTAAATCGTTTGTTTTCGAAAGCGAAAGATTAGGTAATCTCTGTGTATGACAATACAACCCGCTCTCATTTGCATCTCAGTACTTTTCCGTTAAACACTAATAGTAACATAAGTTATGTGGTAACATACGGCAATTTTATAGTTTTAACTTTCTTAATAAAGAATGTAAATCGTAAATATCTACGTAAATCATGAATCATAGACATATGGCAGTTTAAAAATTTCCACGTCTATTTATTTAGATATGATAACGATATTTTAAAATGTTGGTTTCAACTAAAAAGGGATATATTTACTTCTGAACAAATGTAATTGTGCCAGTGTAATTGCATTAGTGAGAAATAAAATGTTTTTTTTTACAAAGCGTCTTTGAAAATCTAATAAAATTACAAAATATGACTGATTTCAATAGGTATTTTAATAGTAAAGCATATAATAGTAGACTTACATCTCCATTACGTGGATCACTTAGAATGAGATATGGTTCATCATTATTATCATCGATTGACATGTTAAAACTGCGTACATATGTGTAACACCCTTGCATCAGTAGTTCAACAGCAGTTTGTGTATTTGGTAATACATTTTTAGGAGTAACTTCAAATGTTCTCAAATGTTGTACTTTATACGTTTTTACATGTCTGGAATTGTTTCTATTTCCATTCATCTTGTTATGTATTTCTGGAAAGATATTTGAAAGTTTACTTTTATATATAATTTCAATATTCTTGTGATACATGAAATGATAAAGTGAAAAATTGTAATCAAGGTAAAGCTCTAAATAAGCTTTTCATATTCCATGGGATGCCACATTTATCACCTCACAATAAAAAGTACGTTGAATAGGTGAAGATGTTATACTATGTACATTTAATAATTAGTTTATTTTATTAAATCTTATTTGTTAACAGTACAGCAGTGAACAGAACACGGGTAGGTACAATCGAATTATATTTAGCACAAAATTACAGAGTTACTTGGTAAAATAGAAAAACCATACTATAATACTTTATTTGCAAAATGTTCAATAATTGTCTCGAACTTCATTGTTCTTCCATTTCTATACTAATTGCTTTCTATTCCCGCTCTTCCTTCCTTGATCTTCCCCATCTTCTGCTGCCAGACATTACATTCCTGACTCGCGTCATATACTACTTATATCAATATAAGTAGCACACACCACAATACAACTGATCTCATTCTTGTCGACAACTATCAGATGATCATCAATAAAGTACTGACTTTTATTAAGTTTTCAAGATAAACTTATGATAATATTATATAATTGAAAGGATCAGTACTTATGTATGAAAGAATCAAAGATCATATTTAATACTAAATAATTATCATTTATGTCGATATATTTCTGATATTGTTTTCAAGATTTAGTGTTATTGTTTAATTGTATTCAAATGAAAAACGTAGCATTTTGTTAAAGAGGAAGAAAGTATTTGTAAAATCTCAGTGAAAGAATTTGAAGTAAATCCAAAGTCGAATAATTTTGATGTTTGATTATATTTCCCTGAAAAAGCCTGGATCAGATTGCCAGGCGAAATGTTAGATTTACTTCAAATTCAAATACTTTCTTCTTCTTTAATGTCTCAAATCAACTCGCGCCCAAATACTATGAAACTATTCGATCAAATTTAGACGAAAGTTCTTATGTGACATTTTGTTGATGTAATTGATGAACTAATAATTTTAGTGTTTATTATTGTCGGTATAAATATGATTACATCTGTTCATTGTAAACATTTTTAATAGAACGACAACTCAGAAATGAATCAATGTATCACCAAATACCTATTCTCAATTTAGTATATTTTTAATTCCTTAAGTTTTCGATTTTACACAGACATTCTACGATGCTATCAATGATTTCTATTTCATTCCTGAATTCTTTAAGTCTCACTAGTCATTTTTTCACGTTTACGCCCACTGCATAGTCTGAAAATCCTATGTTCAACCCCTGGCTGGATTTTTAATGAATACTGCAGAAATGCTCCAAACTACGATGAAATAACCATCCAACTCTTCTTGATTTTTAACAGCTACTTAACTACAGTCAACCTGTGAAGCAGGTAATCTTCATCTTAAAAAAATCTCAAATTTCTTTTCGAAATTAATTATCAATAAAATATTTACAAATTGTGATAGTATTGTTAATTAGTGACACTTGATACTGAGTTGTAAAATTAATCGATGTATTTTTATCCCCTAACTTTACACAATGATTATTTAGTTCTTTTTGTAGATGCTACTTAAAATGTTGAAGTAGTATACAAAACAAATTTGCACATTAGTTGACATCCATTTTATTGTAAATTAAGTCTCACGTTCAATAAAAAAGGAACTGTGCATTAAAAAAATATTTTTAGTTTTCAGCTATTGATTATATATTTTTAGTGTGAGTAATTTTACTCTAAGTATACTAGACTGAGACACTTCTGAAATAGTTGTTAGATCAATACTTTAAGAATGTGACGTATTGATTACTTGCTTAATGTAACTAAACGTTAACCCTAAAAAAACAACAATCAGATCTTAAAATTTTAATGAAGATCATGCGTTATATAGAATGATGCATATTTTATAGTTACTACTTATTTTCCATGAAAATAAGTTATCTATGCGAAGCATAAAAATGATTAGAAAAGTATTTTGGCATAAATCATAAAGCTACTTTAAAGATACCGTTATCACAGACTACTAACCTAATTCTAATTTTGATGCGGATTAATACTCTAGTACAATTAATGAAAGTGCACATAGAACAAACAAAAGTTTTAGTCTATAGAAATATTTCTCTGCCATTGGAATAATCTATTGTTGTGTACACATGTCCTGGCTTCGAGTCCAGAACACGGGCTCGTGTACCAGCAATGCTAAGGAGTCCCATACTAGGACAAAACGGCCGTACAGTGCTTCCAGGTTTTCAATGGTAGTCAAACGCTAATCAGTTTATGATACTTGGTATAATAACTATTATAGACTAGTAAAGAAACGTTACTGATGAGATCAAAACAGAAGAAATTAGTATTACACTGTTAAGAGGTCTATAAATCAACATAGCTACTCTGAAACATTGGTTTCACACATCAGCAAAACTCAAGTCACCACTCCTTAATCCATAAGAAAACTTCTAGGCTATATGTATTCTGAACTGAGACAAGCGAACTGTTGTTTACACAATCATTAATGAGGTAGTAAATTTATTTTGCAAAAAATTTTTATTACACTCATAGTATTGCCATTCTCACCACTTTTGAAGGGACTGTGTATTAGTTATCACGGATTGTTTGAAAATGATTACCAACATTACGTGTCATTTACCAATGTTTACAGTCCCTTAACATGGTATAAGTTGACTACTCGATTTATAGTAGCATCTCTAATCGTCAGTAAGAAAAATTCCAGTAACAGGAAATTTCAGTAGATTAGTTTACTTGCCTTGTATTTGCATATGGGTTGCAGCCAATGGTAAAGGCTGGACTTATTAAGGTCTGATATTACAGTTATCCGATAGACGGTCAAAATGGGTAGATCAAGGTTACCCCCTACCTCTGGTAATATAAGCGAGTCTGATACAGAAATCTTTCTCATACGGAAAGTGTCTTTAAATTATAGCTTAAATGATAAATATGTGTCGAGAAAATACTATATATAAGAACTGTCATATCAACCTGCGGGGTATTAAACCTATAGTGAAAGTTAGACTTATTATTCCGTAATGAGATTGAAGTTTTCCTTATAAAATTCGCGACGGTAAATGAAGCATCAACCACAGATTTTATCTTAAAATTAAAAGGAGTGGTTAGCATTTAAATGTTTGTAATAGTTTTTATTTCATAAAGAATCCTACATAACCCATAAAGACCAGATCGTAGCTGTAATAATAATTGGCCACCCCACTAGAGGGTTTCTTGGTGTGTCACGTTTTGAAGATAAACTAAATGGAATAGTCAAATCTATAGGAAATGGCAGTATAAATTTCCGTGAGTTTATAGTATTCAACTAAGTAATTGAACGTGATTTTTGCCCAGGAAGACCTCAACGAATACATGTATGGGTAAAGATAAACTAGACAAAGTATGGTATTAAGTGATAATAAAAATACGATATTCATAAACACATAAATCAGCTTCAGAGTAGAAAATATACCGGTCATTAATCACAGGTTAAATCACTAAATGTGGTAGTTAAACAGGAGAATGAACCACAGGTAGATTTCAGAAAAAAGCGATCACACTAAAAAGAGACGACTGTTCTACATGACGGCAAAGACAAAAGCTCATGTTCAGTCTTCGAGAGGAAGATAATGTGACCATCTCAGGTGGCTTGTGAGATTATCCAAGGAATGTGAATGGTGAAATACCTTGAATATCATTTCATATTGTAATGTGCATTTTTTTCCCTTTATACCTTCAGATAATAAGATTTTGTTCTGGTCTGTTATCTGGCTCTCTAGTGAAAATTCGGATTACTTAGAGCAAGTATCGCACGTGGTTAAGTCGATACAAGATCATAACACTAATCCTTGTTATAAGTATTTTATTTATTTATTTTCATTTAATTCATCTTCAGATGAACTATTAAGTCAGCTTTTCTTTTTTACAAAACTTTGTCTTTATCGGTCGCTCACGTTGATAACCGACGATGATTAGTATTGGCATATATTCGTCCGGAAAGGTGTAACTCGATATTGCTAACTATTCATAAGGTACTATTAAAGTTAGATGGGTTGTAATGTTGGTTGTGTTCAAAATTTAAATTAAGCTTTCATACATATAAGTTGTAAGTAATCTAAAGTTCATCCTAAAATGAAATGCAAGTGAAATTCTTTGACTGCCTCCTCGAAAAATGAACTATGAAAAAACTACATGAAAACAACATAATCATTAAAAAGATTACACTTTTAGGAACGTATCGATAAATATTTTAAAACAGAAAACGTTCGTGTCAAAGACTATATACTTGGATAAAAGCTTATTTCTCACATCTTGAATTTAAAAGGGATGAGGTTGTTGAACTGATTAACCATAAGACTATAGATTAGTTATCTAGCATTAAGGTTTGTTAACTGCTCCTTTACACAGACGTAAGAATTTTGGTTCTCTTTCCTAAATACCCCCGACTGTACAGACCAATTAACATTCATATACAGAGATAGAACTGAGAAACAGGTACATATTCATATCTCTGACGATATCCCAATGAAATTGAGATTAAAATATATCACTGATCTAAACGGTGTAATACTATAAAGATTTATTTACTATATAACTTCTGTAAATATAACTAATTTCTATGACCTTAGCAATCAATATAGTTGTAGAATAACTGGATATTCGGACCCGACTGATACAACCATCTTTTAAAAAATTTCCTACCAAAATTTAAAATTGATATATATTATTTAAAATTCGACAACAACAAGAAGACAGATAACTAGAAAGTATCATCGCCCTGAAGGTTCCTTCAGTGTTTCATTATATATACAAGTAGCTACTTACTATTCAAAGACAGTAAAGTGAGGATACTAATTTGAAGGCAATTTTCATTTTTGGTGACAACTGGGAAGCCATTAAGAACTGAGTAATTCTTGATACTCAATTGGTTGTCATGTAAAGTTCATTGTAAGTATTCTTATTGTATTTTATATGAGGTTAAACATATGAATTTCACACATCACAAAAAAGATCATTATATTATCACGAATTCTGTCGAAACTAACTCTTTCTAACTTAATAGAAATTTTGCTTGTCTTCCTCTTCTAGTAATAAACGACTGAATATTGTATACCCAAATATTCTTAATGAAATGTTTGCAGTGTTTAGTGAGGAATCTCACTTACTAAAATCATTTATATAAGGGAAAAAGTGACTGTTCACCTATGATTTCGAACGAAATTTGAAAAATGACTGAAGTTAGTAAATATTAAAAATTATTCTGAAATAAATTGTCTTCAGAGTGAAACGTGCATTCCTATATGCGAAAATTATTTCACCATACTTGTACGAACTTGTTGTTTTGTAAGTATAATATGATGAGAACAAATTATTTTTCGATACGTTTTTGGACTTTTTTCATCTAGGTGATATCAGTCTGAGGTGATAATTACCTTGAAAAAAAGTTTATAATTAAAAGTCGTATGATTAACTAACTGTCATGAATTCATTTAGTGTTGTTTTATTTTTATCGTCGCATTGTTATTTAGGACTGCAACTGATCAGTATCCTATTAGCATGTATGCATCCTGTAGGGATTGTCTCGATATTGCCATAATTCACAAGCATTTTAAACAAAAACGGATAGTGGCAAGCAGTGGAATCCAGGACGCGAGGTTTCATCCTGTTCAGAACTTGTCAACTGGATGTACCTGTACTTCAGAGTTGATGTTCACTCCGGGACTCAAATCCAATACCATTCGCTTCAAACGACATCGCGTTATCCACTCGGCTCTGACATGCAGGCACATCCAGCTGACGAGTCACAAATAGGACGAAACGCACGTCCTGAATTTCATTGCTAGCCACTATTCATATTTGCCTAAAATAACTGTCATAAAGTTTTCCTATTCAAACACTGTTTTAAATGTTGATTATCAATATTATTGGGAACTTTCATTGAGTTGATACTCTGGTTTTACCAAATAATTTAGTATAGCACTGATTTTATAATTAACTATTTATAGATAAATAAGCTCAGTAATGAATAGAGTTCAATCTGTGAAAATTTCTAGAAATCTTCACAAAACACATTCTGATAATAATAGAGAAAACATTTATTCATATACTAGAATCAGATTTTCTCTTCTAATTATAGTCCATAACTGAGTCGTTCATTAACATATTTTTAATTATTGGATATTTTGCTAATAGAAATTGATGAATAAAACTTCATTAAAAACCAGTTAACTTCATTGTTTTGTACAAATAGATATGTTATTGATGTAAATGGTGAGTTCTTTGTTTTTTTTACATTGAATTCATTTAAAATTACAGAAATACATAATTATCATTGAACAGTGAATGAAGCTAATATTTAGAAAAAAGATATATTTACATTTTTAAGTAGTATATTCAGTTTACTCATATTCAATTATCATAATTACTTTGGAAACGGGTTTTAATGTTTTAGAGTTACATAAATAATTATAGACTATTTACCATTTACTACAAAAACATTGAATTTGTATTATGATACAAAGAATAAATTATGTCAACAGCAAGTTCAATTAAAAATTTATTAAATTCAGTATTATGAGTATCACGAAGTGAGCTATGTCAGACATTTATTAGAAACAGGGAGATACTGAATAGCTGTTTCATTTTAGTATGAAACTTTTCATCTATGACCGTAAGAGGGATCTAATCATCAACCTTCAGTTACACTGCAGATACTTAACTTTGAGACCATTGAATTTGGACCCTATGATGCAATGGTGGATATACACTGCTAAGGGGTCCTATATTAGGAAGAAACAATTATTCAGTGCATCCTGGTTTCCAACAAATATCTAACTGTAGTTGATTCATGATTTCAATAACATTCAACGATCTTCACAAATCTCTTTTTACGAAAAAAACCAATATTATTTATTAAAAAAAATAGATTAACACATTTTAATTGAAATGACAAATAATTCTAGGTGAATTTCATAGATTTTTCTATGGATAACTAAAGGATAACTAAAATAACATGAACTGACAAATTTCCAAATGATCTTTGATCTACTCATAATCATTATTAACTTTATACTATTTTGAAGAGATATGCAAAGAAGCAAAGAAAATCACTTTTATTATTATTATTATTATTACAGAATACTCAATACATACTTCTTTAGGTCATTTGAATTCTTATATAAATATGTATATTTGACAATTTTATTTAGTTAAAATATAAATGAATCATTAGTTACATTAAATCTTTATAATTTTATGATACATTTAGTACTCAGCAGAATACCATAGCAATTAATTATTAAAGAATTGATAAATTAATAAAATACAATCAGAATTGATCTATCCATAACCTTTCATTAGTTTATATTGATAAAATGTTAACCATTATATAACAGGGCTGTTTATTGAGTTGAATTTTAAAAATTTCATCATAGTTAACTTGTTTTGTAGTAATGGTAATAATAATAATAATAATAATAATGCAATAAAGTATCCTTTCTCTCAGCAACAAAATGATTTGTAATCAATAAATGTTAACTTATTAAAATAAGGTGAATATTTTGAAATGAATTTATTGTATTATTAGTAACGATAGAATTTGTTAAGAATACAAAACTGACTCAAGTTAATTAGTTATCCTTTTAGATTTATTTAATCATTGTGATAAATTCTATTTCTATCATTATTTAAGGTGAATATTATTATTCATTTTTACCTAACTTGATTTATTATACAAGACAGTAATAATTGATAGTGTATAGTTAATCATGTTATGGTTCCATATTACATCAGATATATATATATATAATTCACTATTGTAAATTTTCATCAATTCTCTATGAGATTTGATCTCATAATTGTGTTATGTTTACCAATTGTATAATTTAGTCTTATAATTGTAAATATTGATTAAAAGTAAGTTAAATTCAATGATCTCCAACATATTAACAAGTAATTCATAATTACTAATAATTAATGATTTTGTGTATCTTCTAAGAAGATCAAACATGCTGTATATTGTTATCATTTCACTGTATACAATTCATTAATTATAATTCTGATACATATCGGTAATTTTAAACCAAGTATTCTACTTGTTTTAATTTAATAGAATTATTTACAGTCATTGAAAAGAGTAGGATATTCGGTGAAGTTAAATAATAATTTTATCTTTTGATAGGATTTGTGATATTTCCGGGCATGATAATATTCTTATTAAAAAAATGTTATCTAATCTTTATCATTCGATGTTATTAAAAATTATTCAGTAAAGATATAGCATAGTGACAGCCAGGAGTCAATCCATCAGAATTAAGATAACTCCTTATGTACTCTGAGCGAAATTTAAACTTGTTTGTTATTATTAATCAGAGGAATATTGAGAATGATGGATTCTTAAAATGTTCAGAATCAGTAGAAGTATCTGTGATGCAGTTGAAATGTGAGTTTAACATGGTGGTTAAGCTAAATGACAGAACATACCTGTTACTAAAGGAAATCGTGTGTTAAAGTGCTTAATGTAGTTCATTAGGAAGTTAGAGATCCTTAATGAAGTCAGATAATATTCTTTCTTTCTAAATGTTTCTTGAAATCTCAACCCTAGGTTTCTTAAATTTGTCAACGGAACGGTGAAAAATTTTACTTTATCACTGATGTCATTTAGTGATGAAAATTCCAACCCTTATTTGTAAACCTAACTCAAAGGTCTAGCCTCACTCTAAATGCGTAACCCTAATTTTTTGAAATTATAACCGATGTCAATGTAGTGATGATAACTCTATGGAGTAATAACCGTAACTCTGAATACTATCTCAACACTTATTATGTAACCTTGACCTTTTTTCTTTAGTACAGAAAATAATTTGGCATGTGAAATTTCATAATTCACATCAAAGCTATTATTCCACTACTATTTAATTACTTTACATTGTCAACTGTTATGTAACTATGCAGTATTTTCTGGTTGACTGATAGACTGCTCATTGTGCTCAATATATTATACTTTCACCAATTAATCCTTCAAGAAAACAATGGAGACAGTAATAACGTTTTGTTATAAAGCAAATTAGGAAAACAATTATTTTATTACTACTGTTATTTAGTGTTTACGTGCTAAAAGGGACATTTATACAGAATAAAGTTTATATCTTGACTGATTTCATTTTATTTGTTACGCTCTAATTTTACCCATTACATTTACAGTTTATGATTGATGTTTATAATACTTAACGACCTAATTTTATTCATAGACTTATTCTAAATGAAGACAGAAATACTACAGATCATCATGGTTTTTTACATTTTCAAACGATGAATAAGAAACTTTCTATAACAGTCATAAAAAAATATTTGTACTCATCATAGATCTTTCATTATAGAATAACAAAATAATAGAGAATTATGCAACTTACCTTAAATCCAATTATGATCAAACTAACTTTCTCTTTATCTTTTGGCTTTAAGTAAAGAGTTTATATTATAAATACACTGTATGATATAAATACTTAAATTATATTGGTCAACAACTACATACCCAATTATGTGTTGTTGTTGTTGTTTGTTTCTTTTGAGAAAAAAAATGCTGACTTTAAAACACAATTCAATACAGTGATTTTGTTTAAGATTTCTTAAACTAAATGAGTAGGCGTTATGTACATAGTTTTATTGTTAATTAAATAATATAGTTAAAAGAGTTCTTTCCAATTACATCTTAAATGAATTTACATTTTAAATGATTAACTATGTATTAATTAACTGACTAACATTTTAATAATAATAAATTTTAAATAGTTGAGATCATGAGTCAGTTGAAGCTAGACCACTATGGAAAACTTGGGAGTACTAGACGGCCGTTTTGTCCTATTGTGGGACTCCTCAACAATGCGCATCCTCGTGAAATTCGGACCCCTTTTGATATTATTTAACATATGCTCACTAGTGATTAACTTTAAGAGGTATTTCCTGGAGTTCTAGTAAGAAGCAGTGACTAATGGAGGTCAACTGGGTCAGTTGTGAGATAGGAACTCACTGATGATAATAGTGGATGTGTCACTCAATTTCGTGGATTGGTTGAAGTTAGACATTAACAACGTTGAATGCCAGCTCAGTGGTCTAGTGGTTAAGCGCTCGCGCGCGAGACTGATAGGTCTAGGGTTCGAATCTTGCGAGGTGGGATCGTGGATGCTATATACTGTATATACTATAATATCTACAGAAACCCCTTTTTATAATAATAACTTCGTAAATTATTAAATTTCTATGCTAAACAAAAATAGTATTATAGTCATTAACCAATTATTGAGAATAAATTGTAAAATCATCTGATAATTCAATTTTAATTATTATCCTGAAGAAGTCTAGACTAGTTTCCTGGACGAAACGTTGGAATTATTTAAAAACTCAACCGCTGAGATTACTTCAAATATAATATTCATATATAATTTTTGTCTTTTTATTTATCGGTTATATGATAAAACTTTGAGTGATAATTTTATCATAATTTTTATATGACTAGAAGTGAAGTTTAGGTTGCGAATTTCGTCTTGTTTCGAGACTTATCAGTTGGGTGTACTTAGATTCTAATGGTAATGTTCATACCGAGGCTCGAAATCAATACCTTTCATTTCACTATATTTGAAGAGATTACGAGTTCACCTAATCGAAGAACGGAAACGAAAAATCTGTGACACAATGACAGATAAGCTAGCTATTCCAACGCGTCCCAAGCTCAGCTAACTAGATAGATAAGTCTAAGTTCGGAAGAGGGAAATATATTCTACAGGCAGCCAGAAGCACAAACAACAACAAGAAGCATAAAAATGTATTTGGGAAACGATACAAAATAACATACTAAAAGAGATAAAGAACCAATGGCATTTAAATTCCTGCCAAGTGGGAAATGCGGCATGAAGGTAAAAACGAAAACAAGAAATTCAATTTTTTAAAATAGAATTGCAGATATAAAATATTTACCGAGTGAGTCCTGGGGATCTAACATCGTCAACACATTTTAGACATCGAGTGATTATTCACTGATCTATTGAGTTTAGATAGCTATTAGCTTCTTTTATAGATATAAAAGTATTAGAAAAAGATTAAAAGTTCCCTTCTTTAAAAGAATATCAAACACGCTAAAAACTTTTGACTAAAGGCTATATTGAATCAGTCAGCTGATCAATTGATCAATTTTAGGCGACAGTATTGCTAACAAAACTTTATGGTACATTAAATAAGGGGTTTTTGTTTTAAGAATTATAAAATTTGTCATTTCTTATTCAATCTAAAATCACAATGTTCTGAACTGAAACTCAATATATTATTTAGCCATATTATTTGTATCGTTCATAATGTTGGATATAGTGACAGTTTATTCCTAGGAGATCAGTCTTATTTGTCCTGCATTCAATTACTACTTACCAATTCGGTTTTCACTCACACTCTACCTAAGATATATTATTTAGCAATTGTTTTACCTTTATAATTGACTTCTTATAATTTATTAGATGTTCTGATTATTTGGACTTATTCCCTTTATTTTAGTTGGACACTAATATGGTCTTCTTTTATAAGTTGATATAAATTGACGATTTGAAAGTGATTCTTCTTGGTATAAAAAGCGGTATACAGAAAGCAAATGTTGAAAACTTGCTGTTCATCGTATGAATTGCCGGTCATCACGGTCCATTTTCAATCTTATATTATGCTTTACCTATTGTCTCATATTCTATGTGAGAAATCCCTAGCGGAAAATTATTAAAACAATAGTATTCATTTTAATGTACGAGAACTCTTCTATTTACTTACAAACATTGCATACAATAATCTGTCTACAGCTTAGCAGTTTTCTCTGTCAAATGGTTTAGGGACAACTTTATTCGAACGTTAAATAGTCTCATTAATTTATTTAATCTAAGTAATCTGGAAGAACTATGGTTGTATATTGGTAGTTTCTAAATTAAATATTCTTTGACAAAGTTCAAATAAACTTTTCAAACCCTGGATAATCCGAACTCATTTAGTGAATATAACTTTACCAGAAGTGTTGTATTGTCAATACAACGATTACCTACGATATCTAAGAATTGAACTTTAGAGGATCAGGAGTCGATTTGTAAAGATTCTTATTTCAGTTCATAAGAGACTTACAGGTCAAGAAGAAATTAATCAAGTACGTGATTCCAATTTGAATTCGGATAATTTTCCTAATTCAGAATTGCATATAAATAATGTGAATTAAAATGTGAACACCAAACGATTAAGAAGGTCAGATAGAATTATTAATTAGCCGATAGTTCGTGATATTTATGTAAAGAGATATTCAACTTATGATGGGCACACTGAATGACTATTTAAATTGTTGTACATCTTGTATGTTCAATAGCTAATTATTTCTATTTGTAATATATTTTGAAAATATACAATTCTCCTGATTTTAATATTAAACTTCACGATTGATTGATCACTGGGCGGTGATCAGTGTCATGTGTGTCGAGTCCTTCTTAGTACAGATCGAATGTTATCGACCAAGTTGCAATGTGGTCACTAGTCTAGGTGACTCGACCTTGCGTGCACTACATCGAGATAAGATGGTGGTTAGAAACTCCGCCTGTGGCTCTTCCAGAGTTACTGCCGGTCCCAAGCCCGGGTAAAGGAGGAGGGTTGGGCACGGGGTGAGCGTCCCCATCCGGTAGAAAACTAATTCGCTAAAAAAACGCTTACCAGAAAAAATAATTCAAACCATTTAAACTCTGCCCTGAAAGTTATAAGGCCTTCATTTAGAAGAATTATGACGCTTCATTGTGAAAGCCGAGTTCCTTCGGAAGTCACGAGGCCGATGCCCCTTCTAACAATCAGAGCAAAAAGTTTTATAGGTACATGAGGCGAGGATTGGCAAAGCAAGGACAGCATTCCTACAGTTGAAGAACATATGGAACTCAAAACAACTTTCAACCAATACCAAAGTCACAATCTTCAATACGAACGTCGAGGCAGTTCTACTGTACGGAGCTGAAACTTGGAGAACTACAACAACCATCATCAAGAAGGTGCAAGTATTTATAAATAGTTATCTACACAAAATACTCAACATCCATTGACCGGATACCATCAGCAACAGCCTTTTGTGAGAGAGAACAAACCAACTTCCAGCTGAAGAAGAAATTAGGAAAAGATGATGGAAATGGATAGGACATACACTACGCAAATCGTCAAACTGCATCACGAGGCAAGCCCTGACTTGCGATCCTGAAGGAAGGCAGAAAAGAGGAAGGCTAAAGAACACATTACATCGGGAAATAAAAGCAGATATGGAAAAGATGAATAACAACTGGAAGGAGCTGGAAAGGAATACTTGGGACAGGGTTGGATGGCGAATGCTTGTGAGCGGCCTATGTTCCTTCACGAGGAGTAACAGGCGTAAGTAAGTAAGGTGGTTGGAGGTAGTCAACAGGAATCCATGGACCCGGGTTTCGTGCTACTTGGCACGCTGTCCTACAGGAGGTCGGTCGCGGCCCGGATTGCTCAATGGTTATGTCTTTGACTGTTAAGCTGAGTGACACGAAATCGAATCCGTCAGGGAGCACCTTTTCCCTCAAGATTACAGGTACATCTTGCCGACTAATGCCAATTAGAACGAAACCCGGGTCCAGCGTTTGCTGTTGACTACCTCCAACTACCATCTTATCTCAATATTAAACTTCTTCAGTACTCGTGATTGTGTATCATTTAAGTGAGCTCACTTTATAACTAATTCTCATTACAATTCAGTTACCACAAATGAAGATAACTATCAAAACAGGAGAACCTTTCTCGGTTATGTATTAGGCTTCGAGTAATCTACTAAAAAGTGAAAAATTACACTTATATGTATCAAAAGAAATTGTTGTTAACTTTAGGAAACGAAAATTATATATATAAATGAGATACGTTCAACCGGGTTATTTACTCTAGGCTACAAAAGGGTCATTATTAATCAATTTGATCTTGCCAATACACATTATAAACATTACCCTATCCCTTTTATTTATATCTTCATCAAGCGTCAACTATAACATTGGAGAGACTATAATTTGTGGACAAACCAATCTGATTTAAGATAAGTCTTGGATTTTGGTGAGAAATTCATTCATCCATATGACTAGATAGCATTTTGGAATTAAACCTGATGTCGATTTGAAATGAAAACACCAATTCTAATTTTGAACACTAACATCCAACTGTAAATTCAAATCTTAATTCTTCACCCTAATTTTCAATGTTTATTTATTCTTAGTAAGTAGGTGAACTTTCTCAAAGTCACTAATCCTTCAATTAAGAATTATCGATAAATTATACTCTTACCAATATTGTAATCATTATAATTAGTATTATAGAATATTTCTTTTAATATGTATACAAATTTGCATACAATTTATTAATTAAAACGCATCACCTTGACATACATAGAAAAATATCATTTCTTCTAGCTCTACTAATAATGTATTTGTTGGTACTAAAGACTATATAGACGTGAAATTCATTGTTTTCAGTTTCTAACTTACTAATTAAACTGGAACTTGTATAAGCATACTATAAGATTTCATCGAATTTAATATAAGATTTATACATAGATACTACAGAATATAAAGTTATCTAAAACATCCATTCATTCAAATATTCTTTGTTTTGTTTTGTATATTAACACTATATTAAGTTTAGTTAAATATGAATGACATTGATTTAACCTTATTCTTTCTCCAGATATTCTTCAATAAACTGATAAATATTACTGTTGGCAATTTTATAAGTACTAAATTGTATTAAATTGATTTGATTATTCATAATTCCATTAAGATAGTTAAGGCTTAGATACTAGTTACTTTATAACATCATCTACTTGAGAATATTGCTGCAATTCTTAATAAATACTGGTGATGTATATCTAGATTTAAGTGTCTTGGATAGTTAACTGATTGAAATAGGCTAAGATAAGATTCTAAATGATTAGAGACACTTACAAATTCACATTTTTCCCCAAAATCCATTCAAAGTTACATTAGTTAGTAAGTAAATAACAATAATATTCTCGTTCTAAGAACAATCTTTTATTATTTTAACAAACTGTTTGAACAGTCAATTCATTCAAACAGGGTAGTGACAAAGAGTTCTAGCATTGATGTAATTTTGTTACGAGAATTTAGGTAATTTTTGTTTCATTTAATCTTATGCTAGTCGAACAGGTAATTTGGAAGCTCAGTATGATGTACTTTATGCTGTTTGAACTATTAAATGAATTCATAAACGCTTGGCTGGAATGCAATTCACTATAATTATAGATGATAAGGCTCTAAAGTTTATTTGTAACCCTGAAAAGTTTTAAGTACGTTCATCAATTGCTATGGTTCAACAACGGAGTACTGTCCTCAGTACTCATGAAATTCGATACAGAAGTGATAAGAAATTTTAGCACAAAGGTTATATATCTGAATATGCGTTACAAGATAAACTTGTATATATTCCAAATTATTTGTTAGTGAACTCATTACCGTTAAACTATTCAAAGCCTATTGGAGGAACTCATAGATACCTTGAGTGTATTTTGTCTACTAAGCAAAGCTTAGAACTCTCATCTAAGACTCAAATTCTATGTGTATTTTGCTAAATATGACGAATTATCCATCCATTCTGATAGTAATGTGTTCAAGCAACAGTGTCATTATCATGCCCTCATTATGTAATTTAAGAATCAAGAATCTTCATTGTGGACATCTGAGTGTTGATAAATAATTTCCAATAGGGTTTACATGTTGGCGCCCAAAACGTTGATTAAAATATGAATCGTACATCAAATAACTGTGAAATATCATGAGTATAAAAGTTATCTACTTAGGTTGAATTTTCAGTCATTTCAATCCATGGCTTTATAAGGAATTGATACAGTTTACTGCGGTCCCTTTCTTTCGATTTGACAGGCTAACAACATGAAACCGGGGGAAATTTAATTACGTAATGATCTACAAAGAACAAACAATCATATTTTGAAGAATAATGTAAAATATTCAAATGTAGATAAAACGAGATGTTTACGTACTAATAGTACACGTAATACGTTTCGATCAATGTATATAGGAAAAATGTTGTTTCACAAAGATCATAATCAGACGTTCATTAACAATACCAATGACGGTACTTTGTGTATATGACTAAATAATTATAAAATATGGTTTAATTATTTACTCATTCGGTTACATTCAGAAGTATTGTTGAATATTTTTATAATTCTGTTTAAACTTTGTGTCGTCAAAAAGTGGAAAAGATAAAAGGATAATCAAGCCCGTACAAGGTATTCACATACACAGTTATTTACATTGACCTCTTCACACCACCTCGATTTGTGTTTTTATACTGCTTATTGATCGGATTAACTGAATTTAAAATAATTTCACGCGCTTGTTCGTTTACTATAGTCTTCAGTTGCTGCGTCACAAATAATGGCCATACATCAGTCTAAGGATATAAGAAATCAAAAAAATATTCAGTATATAAGACTAATAGTTTTTCTTCCTATTGAAACTCAATAAGAATAACTTTAGATTATTATAAGAAATCAAATTTAGTTAATAAATACATTTCATCCATGAGACTTTGAACTAATTTTGTATTAGGTTGATTAGTTAGCTAAGCGAGTACAAGTACTGTTTTGTGGCTGCACGATACGTAAAAGCTCCAAGTGTAAGTAGGCTTTGTTAGTGAGTGCAAGTTATTCACCTAGCCAAGATCACGAAGCATAAGTCCCAGTTTGGGTCAGTCCAGTATCCATCAATTGCAAACACTGTGATTTAGTCTTTCGTTTAGAGCTACGTGACCATTTTTACTCTGAATATCTGTTAGGCCAAGCTTTAGGAAGTATATACTGTGATTGAATAGGACTGGAGATTAAAATAGACATACTATTACTTTTTTCAAAATAAGTTTCGTCTATGGAGAAGTTCTCAATGCGTCACTCAGTAGTAATGTAGTTTGTTTATTTATCTTCTGTGTCTGGTTAGTCATAACTTGGTTTTCCCTAATATACTGTTAAGTATAGTGACTTAGATCCAAATTAATAAAAACCATGACTTTCTCATTAGGATTCTTAGTTTCTTGATTTCTAAGCTAACTCGCATCTAACAATCATAACTTTACACCATAAAGATTTTTCTGTCAACTCTAATCTAGTTACTCATATGTTTGAATCATACGTGATATGAAAAGTTAGGATTAATTGAATTAAACACTGATTGCCCAACGTTTTAGTTGAAAGAAATACATTACTTTAAGTAGATTAGCCGTCAAAAGCGAATATGTACATTTAATTTATTACGCTTGATGGTAGTCTGTTGACGATTATCACTCTTAAGAATTTTGTCTACTCCAGATATGTATAGGTTTTCATTTAAAATAATTACCTTTGATGAAATTTGATAGATACGAAGTTTAATATGAACTTCCTGTCTTGCTTTGGCCGAACTCAAAGCATTTAAATACAACTATCCCAATGAATAGCAAGGAGGAGCAGAATATTCTTTAATTATGTGTCTGATAAAGATGTTTACATCTGAGTTTTGAAGAGGGCTTTAATTACTGATAATACTATGTGTTTATCTCGCAACACTACTTACTGAATGTATTCAAGAAATAAAGACCAGTGGGTTTCGACTCAGTGATTAAATGACATCATATTTGAAATGTAGAATAACTACGGGACAAATGTTTGTAGTTTTAAGTCAAACTGTCAATGGTGAAAAGATCACTGAAAACCGGAAGGCTCTGTACAACTTTGTTCTAGTGTGAGACTGCTCACCATCACATCAGCAAACATATCCAGGAACTTCAGACGATGCAACGAGCCTTTGACCTTTATATATATTTTGACATTTCCATAAGGAAAAAATGAATTATCTTTTTTCCCACAGATATAATATGATTTTTAGCCGCTCTTTTCTATCAGTGTCATATATTATATGTCACTTCTTAATAGTGACTCAATTTAGCTTCCTGAGAAACAAGACTGTCAACTAGGTTGCTAGAACTCCCCTTGGTATAAATCTTTTAGACAACTTTGCCACATTTTATGAATTATTTACCTGAAGCTTCGATCTTCTCAAGTTCCGAACTAAACTATTCATATAAATATCAATATAGTTGTAGTTCTGTATATTCTTTTTTTAAAATAGTCAATTTTTTTAATCAGATCACGTTGAAAGTTAAAGTAAAAGTACTTACTGTGTTTTGATATAAACTGCATTTATTAGTTGATTTATGCTTCGACTTTAGTGATCGCTTTATCGGTTTGAATTCACAATCTGTAGGAAGCTTCGGACTAGCGATAATTATTAATAGTTGTTCATTCATTCTAATATTTTCACGATCCAGTGGAATATATTTGAGAGAGGCTTTCATATTATGAATTAAACGTTCTGAACAATAGCTTACACTTTCAAACCATCTGTTATAATTTATGTCGATAGGTAAATCGATTACCTGAGAAAAATAGAAACAGTAATATTTATTTATGTTGATAGAGAATGTTGTAGATATATGACATTAACTAGATTAGTTTCATGTTATTATTCAAATAAACTTATTACTGGCTTTAAATAAGTAGTCTAATTTCAGTGTAAGCCTATACTAGAATGATAACAATATTTTAGGAAAAACTATACTAACGAAGGGAAAGTAACCGCTAATAATTTCACAATGAATAAATTATTTTCTAATAAGAATTTCTAGTAAACACCTTGAGGACTTCTTCGTTTTTGGCATATTTTTTATTACTTCTTCGATAGAACTATTTATTGTGAATCAAGCTCCGTTGTTTTTTTCCCTAATTCATCAACTTAATGTATAAAAAAACATGAAATTTTATGATATTTAAAAGTGATTAGACTGGAATTATTTTAAAAGTTGGTTAAAAAACATAATTGGATAACGGAAAGCTTAAAACCACTTGATTATTGGCGTAAAAATTTGCTAACTTGATCTAAGTCCTAAGGTATATTTAAAAGATTTTGTTTAGATTATTTCAAACAAAATTCAATCTGCTTACGTCCCACTGAATATTGAAACCAGCATCTAATAAATCTCTAAACAAAGAGTTCATTTCGATAGCAGATTGTTCACACTGTTCGTCATTAAATTTACCAATCCAATTTCGAAGTTTTTTGATTATCAGTAATTTCCCTTCTGCTTTTTCAAGATGCTTAAAAGCGTGTTCGAAGAATTCTTTCTTCAGACCAACACATTCATAAATAATGATCTTATCATATACATTCAACTTCAATATTTTCAAATCATTTGAATGATGACTTTGATATTTATTGTTTGCTAAATACTTTGATATCTTCTCTTTACTAGGATCTAATGAAATTCTTTCAATGAAACATACAGAATCCGTTTCATTTAACTCGCCATAAAAGTGAATAATCTCAACAATTTCCCTAGCGTATACTTGCCAAGATCCCATTATTAATATTCCTCATAAGTAAAGTGAATTCCTTTTTAATTCAAAGTAAAAAAAAGAATTCAGTTAGAGAATATTGTTTATCATCAGCTTTTTAAATGCATCTTTATTGATTGACTAATAGTTTATCTTAGTAAAGCTAATGATAATCAGTTCATATGATAAATTTGATCACGTTATTTTAGTACACCTATTGTAATGGGATCTGTTTGTTTTCTTGAAAAAAACATCTAATGAACCGAAAAGTTTAATTTTATAATATAAATATCTAATATTACGAAATGTTAGAATAAGAAAGTCAGGAAACTATTCTTTACGGATTCCCAACGTTTAGAGACGAGAAACAAAGTATGCGGGAGACTATAATTTATGGAAGAACCAATCAGGCATAAGATAATGAGTCACAAATTTTGGTGCGAAATTCATTCATACATTTGGTTAAATAGAGTTTCGACATTATGGCTGATGTCAGTTCGTGATGGAAACCCTAAATCTAATTTTCAACCCTAACTATCAACTGTAAATGAAAATTCTCACTGCTTTATTACCTTCATTTAGTCCTAATCAGTAGAAGTCCACTCTTAAGGTCACTTCAGCGTCGCTCAAAGGTCGTCCGTAAATTAGAGTCTCACCAAGTAGGCATGAGCTTAGAGTCAGGAAAGAATTGGGATCAGTCGTTCGCAATAAACCACCGTGTTTTAACTATGATCATCATCAATCAACAGGAGAACCAGTCTACAAATCAAGGCTGTCTCAAATGATTTAATTATTAATTTGAGGTGTGACAATCAATCTAGTGATAGTGTTAAACGTCATTTAAAAATAAAGCAAAACAATTGAGAGTATATTGAAACCAGTGGAGTAGTGATTAGATCATTTAAATATAATGCTTTCGTGAACACTATATTTACATTACATTTGCTATTCTCATACTCCATGATCAAAGATAAACAAATGAAATAAGAACTATAACATAAATGTTCCCGAATATGTATTTTGTAGCTGTTTCCGTGTAGACAGAGGTTACTCTGTGCACTAGAAAAGCATAAAGAGTACAGATAATGAAAAGACTAGGAAAACAGAACAGTAGAAATAGTGGGTCGATGATCCAGGGGTAATTAAAATAGGCTTACTTCGTAAATGATTTTCACTATTATTAACATTTGTTACAATAATTCCCATAATTTGTGTAATTACCATCATTGACTTTAAAATTGTTGTTTAAAAAAACATAATCTTTGATCTTCCGTTCCTTCTTTTCGAATCTCCCATATCATGCCAAATTTATTATCGCTTACAAATACACTGCTGCACACATGAGCTTCTTGTTTTTAATTACTCACTGTTACGACAACAGAATTCTAATATATTAGCTGTCTACGTTTACAGATCACAGTAATATCATAATTGCACACTTTATTTGGATATACATCCTGGATTATGTTAATTATGGTTGAAATGACTAACTATTTATAATTGTGGATCACAAGATCATAAGAAACTCGGATACGGATATTTCTGACAATTTAAGTATGTTCAGTAACATATGGTGTCCTAAAATGAGTATAAAATTATGCGCATTTGACGCATCTTTGCTAAATACCATAATAATTCCGTGTTTCCTGAGATTAATTAGTTCGTCTGTGATAAAATTCCTCAAGAAATGTGTTGTGTGCTTTTAAAGTGTGGCTAGCTCATGTTATTCCATACAAACTGTTGAAACAATATTACCTTCACCAACTACATATGATGTTTAATTGCCTTACAAGAAATTACAATACTTTACTTGGTACCATAATTTAACTCTGCTTTAGCTCGTGCTTATAATCAAAAAAGTGTCACCTGATTTTGAGAAAAAGACAGCAATTGTGCACAACGTGCAAACGAATAATTGATATTTGTAACTAATGTCAAGTGAACACATTTAGCTCTTCAAAAGTTATTCCAGGCCCCAAGTCCGCGTATGGAGTCAGAAACACCATTCCACAGAAAACGACCTTGGTGAAACACTTTTGCAGAATATTTCTAACACCAAATGATGCTTACATTTAAAATACGAATCTGGGTCGAATTCATGTTTCACTGGAGCCTATTAATGAGGTGTTCACAGTTTCAAATGACTTAATTTCTGTCTTATTCATATTTACTCTGTTCATATGCAGTTAATATATTTAAATTTGACGGAACTAAATAGTTTAAAGTAATTTCCCATTTATAGACTAGTAATAATTTAATAATGTGGACATTTTTGTGCACAAAATGGAGTCAATTAAAACACTAATGATAATATCTATCTTCTTCAAATAACTTGACCTGTAGCTCTTCTACGGCTACTGCCGGTCCCAAGACCGGGTGGAGGAGGAGGTTTGAGTATGGCTTTAATCACACCGTTCCGCAGAAAACAACCTTGCTAGAAAACACCAACCAGAAAAAATCATTGAAACTACCTAAACTTTGTCCTGCAAATACAATGATTTTCTTTTAAAAGAATCATGGTGCTCCATGGTGAACGATGGGAATCTATGGAAGTCATGTGACCGATGTTCCTTCTAACAACCAGAGCAACAATTAATATAAGTACATGGAATGTTCGGACAATGTGTGAGACCAGGAGGACCATTCAAACATTTACGGAAATGAGGAAATGCAAATTGTCGGTGCTCGGAATAGGTGAAACCCATTAGACCCAAGCTGGACAGAAAAGGTTGGATTCATCAGAGATGCTGGTGTACTCTGGTCACAGACAAGAAAATGATCCACACACTCAGGGAGTTGCTCTGATGCTGTCCAAAGAAGCACACGAAACACTTGTAGAATGGGAATCTCATGGATCCAGCATTATCAAAGCATCCTTCAAAATAAGGGAGAAGGGAATCACAATGAATGTTATTCAGTGCTATGCACCCATCAATGATAACGATGAAGACGATAAAGATCAGTTTTACGAGAGGCTGCAATCAATTATAGAGAAGTTTACAAGAAAGAGCCCAATCATCCTAATGGGTAACCTAAAAGCCAATGTCGGAACGGACAACGCCGAATATGTCATTGGGATGACATGGAACGACTGGGAGAAAGGAACGAGAATGCAGAGAGATTTGCTAATTTATGTGCATTCAACGAAATGGTTATAAGTGGCACTATATTTCCCCACAAACACATGCAGAAAGCTATATGGGTCTCATCGGATCACACTACACAGAACCAGATCGATCACATTTGCATCACTAAAATATTCAGAAGGTCAGTGGAAGATGTGAGAACCAAGTGAGCAGCTGACATAGCTTCAGTTCATCACCAAGTGGTCGCCAGGATGAAACTGAAGCTAAATAAGCTCTGGATAACTGGAGAAACAGCACTACAAAGGTTCATTACAGCCTTCCTTCAGCATACCTATGAACTCAATGAATTCAAGTTAATCCTCAACAACAGGTTACAAAGCGTAAAAGATATACTCACAGATGAAGACACTAATATGAAGGATAATTGGATATGGATGAAAGAAGCACTAGCTTCACTTTGACAGGAGGTTCTGAGAAGATCATTGACCGCAACAAACATCATCATAAGGAATTGATCTTTATCAAAAATCTGAACAGGAGTCAAGAAAAGAAGAACAAGAAGGCAGCAATTAACAGCAGTCGAACAAGAGCAGAGGAAGTCAAGTCATGAGCTAAATATACAGAGGCAAATTATCAAGTGAAGAGGGGATTAGAGCCGACAAGCAGAAATACGTGGAAGGGCTGCGAGAGAAGTAAATAGGAAACAACAATACGACACGTGAAAGAAACTGGGAGGGAAATAAAGTAAATCAGAGAGACCAGTCAATGACAAAGAAGGTAAGCCAATCACTGAGATTCAAGAACAAAGAAATAGATGGGTTGGACATTTTGAGGAGCTCTTGAATAAACTCGCTCCATTTACTCCACCGGAAATCTAAATAGCAAACGCAGACTTTCTAATAAATTTCGCTCCACTTGCGATAGGAGAAATCAGCACGGTCATCAGACGAATCAAGAGCGAGAAAGCAGCAGTCGAAGTATTAAAGTCAGACACAGAAGTAACTGCAAACATGCTCCACATTTTATTAATGAAGATTTGGGAGAAGGAACAAGTGACGACTGATCGGAAAGATGGACATCTCTACAAGATATCAGAGAAAAGAGATCTGAGCAAACGTGGAAAATTCAGAAGCATTACACCAATATCAGTACCAGGAAATGTTTTCAACGGAGTGTTGCTGAACCGAATGAAAGATTCAGTAGACGCCCGACTTCAAGATATTGTAATGATCGGTTGTGTAGAGATCAAATTGCGACACTATGGATCAATGTTGAGCATTCAACTCATCGGAACTCGTCACTATACATCAACTTCATTGACTATGAGAAGGCGTTTGACAGTGTTGACGGGAGAAGTTTATGTAACCTTAGACACTATAACGTGCCTGAAAAGGTGGTTAGCATCATATGGAATTTATACGATTTGGACTTTGCACAGGACCTGGCTCTTTTATCCCATATACACCAACAAATCTGGATGAAGACAACCAGTGTATCAGAAGACTTTGCATCAGTAGGATTCAACATACGCAAGGGAAAAACCAAGATCCTGAACTAGAACAAAGAGAACACCAACTCCATCACACCTAGTGGAAAAACTCTGGAGGATGCGGAATCTTCCACGTACCTGGACAGCGTCATCGATGAATAAGGAAGATCCAATAAGGACATAAAAGAAAGAATTGACAAAACAAGGACAACATTCCTACAATTGAAGAACATATGGAACTCAAAAACAACTGTCAACCAACATCAAAGTCAGATCGCTCAATACGAACGTCAAACGAGTTCTACTGTATGGAGCTGAATCTTGGAGAACTAATACAATCATCATCGAAAAGGTACAAGTATTTGTAAATAACTACATACACAAGATACTGAATGTCCGTTGGCCGGATACCATCAGCAACAGCCTACTGTAGGAGAGAAAAGCCAGTTTCCACTTGAAGAGGGAATCGGGAAAAGATGTTGGGGGATAATAGGACGTACATTACGGAAATCATTAGATTCGATCAGAAACTTGGAGTTTTGAAGGGGGCAGGGTAGGAGGAAGACCGAAGAACACATCGCGTCGGGAACATAAAGCGGACAATAAGCGAATGAATATCAACGAGAAAGAACTGGAAACGATTGTACAGGACAGAGCTTGGTGGCAAACACCTGTGGGCGGCCTATATTACTTGACGAGGAGTAACAGGAGTAAGACCAGCTATTTGGCGACACTGTTTCTTCAAAATAAGTAGCCCTGTAATTCATCGACATTGATGTTGATTTCATTAGGTTTACTGGACACCCCTTGTCAAATGGCGCTCATTTCGAACAAAGTCCGATGTTTTCGTGGTCTTTGCGTATCATTATTGTATTTGTTAAGATCACTAGAAATGATAAGTTCATTTACACAGCAGAACATTATAAATTATGATCAGAACAACTACTAAAATCATTTCTGCCGAAAATTACTGAGCTCAATAATGGAATGACAGAACTATCAGAGAGATGACTGATTGAAAAGCAACGGCAAGACTATAATTTATGGACGAACTAACGAAAATGAAGATGGCAATTCTTGGATTCTGGCATGAAATTCATTTATTCAAATGGTAAAATAGCATTTTAGCAATAATTCACGCGAATTTATGAGCTGCTTCTGACCCTAACAGATAGGTGGATTTCTCAAGATCACTTGAGTGGCGCTTCAAAGTCACGCATAAATAATTTTCTAACCCTATATCACTTCTAATAACCTAATTACCATCCACTTTTAGATATGAAACACCACTTCGCCGTTGATCTAATACACATCGTGATGACGAAACTCTACGGTGACGTGGAGTCTTAGATAAGAGGATTGTGTTTTTATTGTCCGTAATCACTGTGAACCTCCATTATTGCCAAAAGCTTTCATGTGCAAAAACTGCTCATCAACTGACAGAGAGTTGTATATAAGTGACGTGCTTCTTTAGTCAGATGCATAGGACTTAGTTAAACGGATTTCAGACTTAAGGAAACCCGAAGATGCATAATTTATACATAAGTTATGTTCGTTAGTACGAAACTTGGTAATGGAGACACACTTTAACCTAAGTTCATAACCACAGTTACGTAATGGCTCTTACTGTCAAACATACAACTGTGGTCATAAATGCGCAGTGTGAATTTTATTCAAGAAATGCATTTTTGCACTGAAATGTGCTCGGGACAAAATTAAGGTAGCGTATTCTAATCATTCCAAATCTGTAGGTAATCCATGACAAAGTGTTGTTTTAGTTGGTATTGTGATGCTCTGAATATGAAGATAAGCAATCGACATTCAGTGAACAGTTTATTATAAGTAATGCTTGCCACAAGATGTAATGTCGTTACCGTAGATTATTCTTGCAAAGAAAGGACTTGTACAAATCATGACTTTGGTATTTACTGTCTACTGGTAACCTTGATATCACAGCATGTGGATAACTGGTGAACTAATGTTTCGAGGAGGAGTAATTTGTAAAAAGATGTCGTGACGATGACTGTCGCTGAACCTATCAAAATAGTATTTTACGGAAAAACGGAATTTATATTTACCCTATTAGCACCTTCGTCATATAGCTGATAGTTTTTTTAAGGTCTTTGGTGGTATACCAATTTCCAAGTTTGTGGGATATTCTGTTGCTATTCAGACGAATGCATTGCATTTTGAACGTAAACTTCTTCAATCATCTAGGATTCAACGTCCTACCGTCAGGTTCACGTGATTCTCATTGCTATCTTCCGCAACACCTGAGTAACAGACTTACTAGTAGTATGAAGTTTCTCAATAACTACTACACGTACTAGCGCGCACCAGAAACAACACACAAATATTTCCAACGCTCACAACGACTTCTTATACTTAGCCAACGAACGTAATTAGTGTACGTCGTCTGTATTTGTGGGATTCCTGTTTCAATTACTCGTTGAAAAAATTTAGAGTCATATTCGGACTCTGCTGACTGGAGAACCTTGATTTGAGCAATCGCTATCTCATAGTGAAGTCCATGTCGGCAGAAGTCGTACTGAAACCCGTTGATGCAATAGTACTTCCATCAGTCATATATAGGAAATAGCAAGACAATTCAAAAGTTACATTTCGCTACAGAAAATAAGCAATAAACATCAATTGAATTCATACACCAATAAGAGCGTTTTAAAAATGATTTATTGGCTGCAAATGCATGTTTACCAGATAATTAATGCTGTATTTAATCTAACCAACCACTTCGTGCTCGCCGCCAATTCAGCACTCTAAGGTGGACTGAAGTTAGGTATTTCGAAACTGGGGGTAGCCTTTAACATGTCTCTCTATTACCTTCTTTTGCGCATCCGCGTCAGACCACGACTGGGTACTCTGTGTCACGTATCTCTTCCAACTACTATCCAGCTCAAAGCAGACGCTTCTCAGTATATTGAAAACTTTCCAATTATATCTTCGAACTTCTTCATTCCTGATACGGATGCTACAGGCATCCAAAGTTTGACAATGCCTTCACACGTAACACCTTTATAATAGAAGTATGCCATCTCTGTTAAATCAGAAGTCAGAAATGAAGGGGTTCGACGATATATTTGGCTGTCGATATATTGAGAAGCGTTTGATGTAGACTGACTGGAAGTTGCACGTAGCACTGCGCACCCATTCGTGATGTGGTGCAGATGTGTGGCTAAGTGACTTCAGCTAGGGTATGACTAGTAAAACTGATGAGGTCGGCATCGACGCCAGAGACACAGGAAACTGTTTATTTTGAGAAGTTATTTACTCCTATCCTGACTCCTGGTTTGACAACTTCGGTACCTTCTGATCATAAAAGTGTGAATGACAAAGTGTTGTCAAGTACTGAATGCTAGAAACATCTTTAAGCTGGTTCTATGTTAAAATGGGGCTATTCACTGGAAAATGTACGTAAGCCATTCTCTGTTGCTTCTGTATTGTCCGCGATCTCCACCATCATTTGAGAGGCAAACACTTCTGTAAATAAAGTGGGAATTCACTCGAACATTCTAGTTCTGTAAAGAAATAGTCGCTTCAGCTTCTTGGCTGGACAATCAATGATGTATTAGTCACTGTCAGCAAAGACTTGAAAACCAATGTCTATTGACTTGGAACAGATGCTTTACGCTTCATGACACTTCAGTGAGTAAATAGAACCTTTGACTACGCAGATGTTATTACCTTCATGAATTTACTCTCAGTATTGTCACGAACAAAGCTTGATTACTCTATAGAAGTGCTCGGCTGTTGTATAGCGAAAGACCAGCTATACTTAACCTTCTCCACTACCTTTTGCCCACTGTCAAGTAGACTGGTTATAAATGACTTAATCACAGTCTTTAGCCTACTATATTATGGGCTGATATTTCTTCTCCTGGAAACCGAGTTCTTAATTAGACTGAAAAAATTCATAGCCCTAGAACCAAGTTCATCTTAGCTGAGTGATGACTTTCCCATTGCGCCATCAACCGGTAAAACTCCTAACCCCAACAAATGATTGAAACTCCATCTGTCAACACAGTGAAAAAACCGAATCATTTGAAAGGCCTCAATCGTCTGGATTATTAAATAGCGTCCAGTACATTCCCTTCTCAATCTGAAATTGAATCGGATTTTTCGATGTTAATGTTTGCATTTCATCTGAGCAAGACCAATTGTGACGATATGTCTACTCCAAGTAAACTCGCAGGGTCCAATTGTATCTTATTAGACAAGACTTAAAGACCTACCAGCCTTTTTATTTTTATCACTTCAGGTGTCGAATCTCACGAATGGTTGTTACCACGGTACCGTATACACCGCGTTATATGATGGCTCAAGTAACAAAATTCGTATTTGATCAACATCTTGAATAGACTAAGTTCGATGTTTCAGAATCAGTGAAGGTAGTGGTGAGATGTAGACCACTAAATGAAAAGGAGGCTTCGGATGGTCACAAAAAGTTAGGACCCTTGAACTCTTACACCTTTAGGTGTGTGTTTGTCGATTGTTCGAATGGGACTATCGAAGTTCGTAATCCAGTTGCCAAACTGAATGATGATCCAAAAAGATTCAGTTTTGACGCTGTTTACGATGAAAGGTAAGAGGTCTTCAAGATCTCTCTATCTTAGAAAGTTCGAAACAAAGAGATTTATACGATGAAACTTTTCGGGACCTAATTAACAGTGTTCTAGATGGCTTCAACGGAACCATATTTGCTTACGGACAAACCGGAACGGGAAAAACCTTCACTATTCAGGGTATGGCTTGCAAGCTGACTCAAATATTTAACAGGCCTTCAGGATGACCCGGAATTACGAGGTGTAATGCCAAACTCATTCGTTCATATATTTGACCATATATCGAAGTCTATGGATGCTCAATATCTTGTACGAGCGAGTTACTTAGAAATTTACAAAGAAGAGATTCGCGATCTGCTTCGCAGAGACCAATCAAAGCACTTAGAAATCAGAGAAAAACCAGACAGTGGAATATTTGTAAAGGTAAGCACATTTGAGCAAGCAACTCTATTCATCTAGTTGTTCGACTATAAGCCTCTCGTTAACATTCTCTAGATTTCAGAGGATTTCGCTCTCAAAGGATTTCTGCCAAAATGATCAGATTATTTTAGTATGTAGGAGGCTTGTAATAATATAGTGTACTGATGAAAAATGAAGTAATAATTCTTTGTGTCTTTAACAGCTTGTACCAAAATGTAACTACTAGCGTGAACTCTTTACGTTAGCAGGTGATTAATACCCCTGATATCGAAAGACTAAAACAATTTAAACCGATCGTTTAGACCCACACAAATAAATTTCATAGTCTGTTTCAGTTTCATTTTGAAAGAGAACCTTGTTGATCATGTCAATTACTTGTCGTTACAAACCAAAACTTACTAGTATACAGCATACGAATTTATTATGGTTGGTTGAATCATCTGATGAGCGGGCAAAGGTCAACAGTTTTGTTGTAATTCGCGCAAACTATTGCTTTTTGGACCATTACTTTTGTCATGAGTATAAGAAACTGATAATACAAATTACGGGTGAATTTTCATTGCATTCGAATTCAACTCTCATTACGTTCATCATATGTTTATGATAATTTAGTAGGTTTACTTCATCATGTTTTACATGCTTCTTACGTCCAGACTCTACAGGTGCCTACTTTATGTTATGTCTTTATGCAGATAAGAGTGATTGTCAAAATTACGGTTGGTAGTGGCAAGGATGGTGTGGTTAAATAAAACTAGTCCCGCGAAAGCTGTGTTGTTTTCCAGCTTAATCCAAGTGTTTGACTCGACCTTTTATAGACGATGAGCTAATTATATCGATAGAAGTTGGAATTAGTTTTACAAGTGGCATTTTACAATATCATTGTAGGCTTGTAGTAACTTACCAGTCCCACGGTCTGTTTCTTGTTCCACAGTTGCATCATTTACTTCAGATTTCTGTGATAACTAGTAATACGGTTAATCAATCTTTCAGGTATAATGAGTAACTTGCTGATCACAAGTTCTCATTGAGAACGTAATGTTCTGGCCTTTTTGTAAAGTGATTTCATTTGATCTTACCTCATTTTATTTCTTATGATCAGGACTTGTCCTCTGTTCTTACCAAAAGTATAGATGAAATCCAGAAGGTTATGAAGATTGGATATCAAAATCGTGCAGTTGGGTAAGTAATTAGTTATATTTCAGACTACATGGCATTTTAGAGCCACTAATATGAATGAACACAGTTCGCGATCTCATGCTATTTTTATTGTAACTGTTGAGAGTTGCAAGGTATGGTTAGCCATTTTTTAAAATAGTTATAGACTGGGGCAGATGGAGAAAAACATATACGAGTTGGCAAGTTAAACCTCGTCGATTTGGCAGGTAGTGAACGCCAGTCCAAAACACTATCAGAGGTATGTCCGAACAAATGGCTCAATAAACATTTAATTCATGTTTCTGTCTGTTCACTTTCTTTTTCCAATAGTTTGTATTTGGGAACTATAGATAACAGGACAGTAAAGCCTTTATCCATCAAAAATTTGTTCTTAATATAAAATGGTCTAATACTGTTTGGTATCAGCTTAGTATGTTTTCATTGTTACAACTGGTGAATTAACATCTTTGGCGTGTGAACAAATGTAGTGAAACGGACGTTTTAGTGTCAGTATAAAAATTCTGTTCATTAAATCAAGCGCTTTGGTTATTTCAGTTTTATGTTTATTTTAAAAGTTATCTCCGATTTATACTTTAGGGAGAACGCTTGAAAGAAGCCACTAAAATCAATTTAAGTCTTTCCACCTTGGGAAACGTGATATCTGCACTGGTGGATGGCAAAAGTACACACATACCCTATCGGGACTCAAAACTCACTCGTTTACTCCAAGGTGATAATTTACTTGTTATCAGTATATTGTGAATAATGAACTGTTTATGCATTTTGTTAGTTACGAATCCTATCTGTCCAAGTTCTTCGATACAGTCACATACATAACTAGCACTAAGCCTTAACTTCTGATAAAGTTATCAAATGTTTGTTCTGACTTTGATAAATGTATAAGTACATAAAAAATGTTTTTGCAGAGAAAGTTATACTACAAGTGTCAATTTCCTATGAATTGGTAGCTTTTTTAGTCCGAGTATTTCACCCCACTACATACATACACTGAACCTCTTAAGTACTGTAGTTGACTTCAAGAGGTTTGAAATACATATTCCATTAAAATACAAAATGTGGTCAAAATTAAATTGTCATTCCGATGAAACCACTTATTATGAGCTGGACTGCTCATCTTAAACTAAGCGAGCATATTAAAGTTAATCAGGACAAGATACTGCCTATTATCAGTTTTCTTATTTTTCCTGTGCTACCACGAGAAAAATATGTTTAAACAGAGTAATATTTTAATATCATGCCATAAAATACTGATCGCCGCATATTTTATACAGCAGACATTTGGGCTTAATTAAGAGATAATTTTCGGTAGGACTTCTCAAGGAATTTGACGCTTAATGTGGATTGTTTTTAGACATCTAATTTGACGATAAATAAATCAGTTTCAACTTAACTTTTCTACTCTTTCAAGCTGATTTTTCTGATCTTGCGAGTTGTATATTATTCCACACCACGAAATGTCATATAAAGTGGAGTACAAACACAAAGTACTTCCTGTGTCTGTATATTGAATAAAATCAAGAAAATTGATTCCTAAAAATGCTTCTTTCTGTAAATCTGTTAATAACCACTCAGAAGTCTAAATCTAAGTATATTAGTAAAGGTAGGTTACTTTCTCACATTTTGTTGAAGAGTATTTGACTTACATGGCGTTTTTATTCGAAGATGTGCCTGCTCAGAATGCTACTATATAGATATGCATATTACAAAGCGTAAATAAATTATTTTACATAAATATAACCTAGTTATATCCATGAAGTTAGTCATATAAATAGATAAAACCAAATGATGAAAATATTTATGCGTACACTTTTGTTATGAATAACACGAGAAAACAGTTGGGACAGTAATCAACGTATAAACCGAAAATCCAAAAATTTCATTAAATTCTGCGACGCTTTGTATCTAAGATAGCAAGTGGCATAAAATATCTCATGTTAGATACTGAAATTATGTCGCATATAAGTTATGATTTCATCTTACCAATATTACTTCTTACATCGCAGATTCTTTGGGGGGTAATTCAAAAACTATCATGATTGCAAATATTGGACCGGCGACCTACAACTATGAAGAGACCATAAATACACTAAGATACGCTAACCGTGCTAAAAATATTAGAAACAAACCAAAAATAAATGAAGATCCAAAAGATGCCTTGCTGAGAGAATACCAAGAAGAAATCAATAGGCTTAAATCACTACTGAGAAACTGTGTCGCTGCCATTCCAAAACAATCTCAAAAAAAGAACGGAAAGCAGAGATCTCAACAAAAACATATATTGTCGGATGGTACGTATAATTATTTGTTGCTTTAAAAGTTTTATTAAATTCAGATGCTAGCCCAATTTCATATGCTGGAGTAGCAATTCCTTTTGGGAGACTGCTGAGAAATAAAACAAATCATAAGAAGCTGAAACTGGTTGAATTGGTTGTTGTTTCAGTCATTAAATTGGTTTAATTATCATGTTGGTCTTTAGTTTATGAGACATAGATCAACTTGCCTATGTTCACGACCATTCGCTTCGTCACGAAAGGTTATTTTAGCACTTATAGGTAAAAGGTTGTCGTCATTATGATTAACTATTCATCTTCCAAGGACGTACTTGACAATAATGCGTTTGAAAACATCGAAAGTGCCTTATTTCCATCAAAAAGGTGTTCGAATTACTCTCTTGTTGATAATCAGGACTGAGCTTTTGTCAACCTTTACTGGAATATGTGCATGGCAATATAGCCATTCTGCCAACACTTTTTACAGTAGATTTATTATATATAGTAGGGGAATCCGGGATGGTTTTTTCCCCTATTTAGGACTCTGGTGAATATGGCTGGATCCTTTTGTTGACGTTAACATTGAGACTTGACACTAGTGTATCAACGCCGTAATACATTTGAAGAGTTCAAAGTAAAACAAAATATGCATACTAGATCCCACCATGAGCCGAATTCTTTTCGGTACGCATTTTGTTACTTAACGTTTTGTCATGAAAATATTTGAAAGTCTAAGAAAGTTTAAAAAGGCCGTTTAAAACCGTATTACATCAGGTTAAAAACCATGTAATTATAGACAGTGTTTTATTCTATATATTAGGCTCTGAAGCTAACAGCGATAGAGAAGATGATGCAACAAGCATAGAAAACTATATGAAGGAACAGCAAGAAAAACTATTGGCTGAAAAGAATGAAGTCTTAAACGACAATTCACTTGTTGCAGAAGAAAAATCTCGTATGTTGAATGACCTTAAGGTAAAACTTACCATTTTTGAGAATGTTTTTCTTGTATGAAACAAAATTATAACACATTTGTAACTCGACCATTTTATGTTGCTACACTTCAAAGATTGGACGTGACATTGAAGGTGTTGAGATATCTGATTTGGATGGTCCAGTTGTGTAGCTGTTATTGTTCTTCTGAATATGACATGCTGGATTGTAAATTTAGCCAAGAAATCAGTGGAACAGTTCACTGTTTGTGAGGAAATATTTACTAAGTAAATCAATACATCATATTTTAGTGATGAAATCAAGGATTCACTTCTGTAGGTTAGGTACTTATAGTGATTGTGATATTCCTGTTCTTATGACATTAGTAAGTCATTTTCTACATTAAGCTATTAATCAGTTGTAGGTAGACTAAGCTACACTTTGAAAATTAAAATAATATGTAAAATATGTATAAAAATCATAGTGAGAAACTCTGTTGATCTCTTCTTGATGTAAAACTAGTTCTCCTCTTCTGTGCTGCATCTTGCTTATCTCTTGTGTTAAATAACATCAATTCCTTGGCAACGTTCTATCATCCTATCATACAACGTCTTAACTTTAGTACAAAAATTGGCTCAAATCTTAGTGTTTTATGTAAAAAAAGATAATTAGATAGGGGACAAATATCGGGTTATCTATAGACAAGAGCTATTTGTCTATAAAATGATATGAACTTCCAGTTAAAAGGTTACTTCTTTACTCAAATCGTGTAGTACACTTAGTAAACTGCTTTCTCTAGTTAAGCTCAATTGCTCTGAATGGATTGAAAACTTAAATATATTAAGTGAGAGTGTGCAATTTCTATCCATAGTTTGAGGGCTTAAATTTTACATTGAAAAACTCTAGTTTTTATATAAAGTCCGTGAGTTTTTATTGGGACTTATAGTTTCCTATTGATTTTATAAATACTACATTAGATAGCTTAAACTATTTCCATCATTTAATAATGTCTATATCTTGAAAATTCTGCCTGTTTCTTCACATATAGTAAAATTGTGTTCAAATGGATAAATACGTAAGTAAATTCATACTAAGATGATTAGATATAATTTTTTCTTCCATATCTAAAAGAAGAGAGAGAGAGATGCGCACTTATTAGGTTTTTATTAAAGAAAGAGGATGGGTAATGCCTGCAGTTGTTTACTGATTAGTAACTAGTTATTTGAAGTATGAGTAAACCATAATTACCAAGGTTAAATAAGATAATGACACAATTTTCAGGTTAACGAATTCCAAAGGGTAGAATAACTGATGAACAATTAGTAATAGTGTTTTCTTATTGTTATGTAAAGCCGTAAAACAGCATAGTCCAACTAGTTGAACTCATGAGTCAATTGAACTAGACCACTATGGAAAACCTGGAAACACTGACAGGACTGATAGGTACTGGGTTCGATTCTCGCAGGGGACAGGATCCTGGATGCATACTGTTGAGGAGTCCCATACTGGGACGAAATGGTCATCCAGTGCTTCCAGGTTTTTCATGGTGGTCTAGCTTCAATTGACTCATAATTTCAACTATTGAAATAGCTAAAATCTCTAAAAAAAACCACTTCTGATAATAGTCAAAATAGGTTAACAAAATGTATTTTAGTACAAAAATGTATTTTCATCTCATAAATACAATGAATATTGGTTTTTTATACATCCGCCTCAATGTCTGAGTTGATTTCAAAACAAAATAAAATATCAAAAGTATCTGATATACATGTGTGTTCGGTAAATCTGACATTAAAAAAAAATGATTTAAACATTTGATATTATTTCTAAATTACTTTTATTTTTACATCAACTAGTCATATACACAAATGTATAATGTTTTCATTAAACCGCTTAACCAAACCGCCTATAGTTAAAAAAGGATAACGGGTAAAATTCAGGTGTAAACTACATATGGTTCGCCTTATCTTTAACTTTAATTGTTATGTAAAGATTCGGTCGCTAAAAACTTGGTTAATTTCAAATACCCATAATATGGGAACTTCGAAAATTCTATTTTGAATCAAGTTATTTGTAAATGATATGTTTCTACTTAAATGACAGAATAACAATCCGTTTATGGTAAGTGTTACCTTGATTTACATTAAAAACAATATTAAAACAATACAAAACAAGAATATTGTTTTTAATTACTTGAACATAGCCCTACTCATCATAGCTTAATTGTTAGTGATAACCTTGAAATGTGGGATAAATTTTGTATATTTTCAATAATGTTAAATCAACCCCATTTCTAATGCTAATCTACAACGGGTTATCGACATTTATATCAGAATTTAAAATTCTATGAAATTTAATAAACTTATCATCCTAATTTACATCTTATTTAACCTTGACGAATGTTATTTACTGTAGATAAAAGAAATAAAACTTCAGGAAGAACAAACAAAAACGCAACAGTTAGAGTCCAAATTAAGAGCTATGGAGAGTAAATTACTTCGAGGTGATCAATCAATCGTTGAACACACTCGCATGCAAGAAGTAACTTTAGCTCAACAACGGACACAAATGGCTGAGCAAAAGCGTCGTGAGCGTGAAATAGTAGCTCGTATGGAAGAAGAAGAAGGGAGTATGGCTAATTTACAAGAAGGTTTCACATCATTAAAACAAGAAGTAGAAGTAAACACTAGAAAGTTAAAAAAATTATTTGAAAAATTACAAGTATGTTGTATTTTGGTTTTCTATGTTTAAAGTTTTGGAGAAAACCAAATATTTTTTTAGGAATAATATAGAATACTAAATAGTTATCTCTGAGCAAATAAAAACAAAGAGAATTATTCATTAATAATTGATTTGTTTTACAGATAAACCATAGATATACTGAAGTTCCACTTATACACTGAAAAATCTAGTAAATTACAATATAGACATGAGTGTCACAATCAATAAGTACATATCTAAGTACTAACAAGTGTGAAATAAAAATAGGATAGTGAAACGAGTTGGTGGATATAAGAAATAGGCAATATTCAAAAATAACAAATACCTAGTAAAAATTATCTGTAAGTACATAAAATCAACGAATATTTAATCATATTCTTAGTGTATATGGCCAAGAGTGGAAGCTAGAAAGTGCATTTCGTCTTGTTTCAGACTTATCAATCGGATGCACCTGCATTCTAATGTTGACAGTAGTAGTGAGACTCGAACTCAAAGCTTATTAACAACTAATCTTCTGAGTCCACAAAACCAATAATTCATTTGACAGATATGAGTTTCTTTGTAAGGGTTTGTATTTTCTAAGTGTTAATATTAAGTAATAAAATTTATCAGTCTTTATTGGTATATTTGCATTCACAGCAAACTCTATCAATCTTAATTTTGCTTTTACGATGCTATACTTCAATATCACTGTTAGCGATTTTTGAATCTTCCATAGTAAGTACCCTCTTCATATTGAGAGTTCACAAATAACTCTGCCGTAACTAAAAGTAACTTGGTGCTCTACTCATCGTATTCTTCTTAATACGTTAACTGTGATTCTCTGAAGACACATTTTAGGTTAACTTTATTTATTATTACCAGTGTATACTCTTTTATGCCATCTAACCAACTACCTGGTCAACTTTCTTTTTTTCCTATAGCGGTACTGTATGTAAATAAAAGTTCGGCAAATCTATATATCACGCCTTTTATCACTTTTTCAGGTAAACAAGACGACACTGAGGATAATTATTTTGTAGGCTTTAGTGGCTGTGTAAACAAACTGAGGATGTCTTATCAAATATTTAATAAATGGTAGATTTTAAAATTCAAACTTTCTTTTTGATAGAAAAGCTATTATAGTTGGTATTTTTACCTGCTTAACAATATGAAACCGAGTTTTTCCATCTGGGTTCCTAACTTATTAAAATAGAATGAGTTTATGCACTTGTTTTCTTCGTCACTTTCTTAGTCTGCTTATATACTATTCCTATAATAGTTTTACTCATATTTTAAATATTTTGAAGAGATTAATTTTTTTTAATTTTACATAGTACTCATTACCGGGTGATACTAATTCAAATATAGTAGAAAACCAGAAAGTACTGAACTGTAGCTTCTTCGTGGAATGAAAGTCTTCAGCAACTACTTTTATTAAGCTTGATTTTCTAACAAACAGTTTAGACAAATCATTATCAGATAGTCAGTTCGACGATATCTTAAACTGGGTTTACTAGTTTTAATCTTAATGTACCATGATAAAAAATTAACCTGATATAAACTAGAAATATTAGACTAAAATAATTTGTTTATTTATTCATTAATCCAATGAAATCATAATCTGAGTTTATAAATAATGAAAGATATTTGTATACATTAGGAAATTAAACAGAAGACATCTGATATACAAGAAGAACATACTGTAGAACGTCAAGAACACGAAAAAATTCAAGATCAACTAACACGTGAAATTAAATTACAGTTGTTAATTCTGGAAAACTTCATACCAATAGAAGAAAAAGAGAAATTAGAAAAACGAATTTATTTTAATGAAGAAACTGAAAGATGGCAACTGAAACCACTTTTTCAGTCTAGTGATGATGGTACAAACCTAAATATTCCATCCTGGTAAGCAATCATTTCTTTATATTAGTGGTTTATAATATGACTTTATGTCCGGCTTTTTATCCATCAATCAAAATACGACTTATACAATCTTACCACTGTGACAAACCAATGACGTTCGACCGGTATGGGCAGCCTAGCGTCCTTATTGGTCCTATGTCCGCCTAGCCCGTCCACTTGAGTTCAGAACACCAATACCAGCTTCCAGTATGCGAATGGAATTGAATCATTTATTTCAGACGTACTGGGTTCATATATCAATCAAACAGACCACACAGATCATAAAATAGGAAATAACATTTGTACACAATAAAGCCGAAAAGTGACTGTGAATGTGGGAGGCAGTAGTCAATAAACTTAACACAACTTAGGAACTGTAAATCGTACAATAATAAATTATGGTCCAAAATAAAGCTTATAATAAGAGGAATATAAATGTATATAATCTAATTATTGAATAGTTATACCATAAGAATATATAGATAATATTAGTCAATTAATATGTCTCAGAAGTTACCCGTGATTTAATCTTCACTCAGATATAACAGTTTATAATTTGATAGCTTCATATAACCTCGTGTAAATCATCCACTAGTGCTTTTATCATACAACAACACATATTTGTAGCTCACAACCATGAAATTTAAGCTTATTTTTTTCAATATTTTACTTAGTTAAAAATAGACAGATTATTAAAGATTGGACGCTCTGGATTTTATTAAATAATAACTGATAACATCATGAGATTTGAGATGAAAGACTTAGTGTTGTATCAAATGTCCTGCAATCTATGAACTGTAGGAAAATATTTCAAGATCTAGATTTTAACCAGTGGGATTACTTTATTGGATGTTACAAGCAAAAATATTGCCCCATTTTGTATCGTGTCAACCAAAAATAACTCTTCAGTGTTTGGTAAACTGTTTAAAATCAGTAAGAATCATTTACAGACTTTTTATTTATCTCCTAAGTTTAATTACATTGTTTTGAAGATTTACAGACGCATTAGTCTCAGAACTATTTCTAGTCCATTCTATGCTTTCTAGTCACACGGCAATTGATTTATCAACTTTGTAATAGCGTGCTTCGTGAGATGGTCAATAAGTTTTTCGATATAAATATTATTGAGCCAAACCAATAAGCTTTGATCACAGAAGTTCCGAAATTCGAAGTTTGAGTAGATCGTTAACTTTTACATCTTCAGTTTGATGTATTAGTACATTTTTAATCTGTTTCGCGATTCGATCAGATTACAAGGTAGAGTATCACTCTGTGCCCATACATATGGATGTTTTTAAAAAATTCTATCTATAGCTACCTATTATATTGAACGATTTATGATCATTGAAAACGTCTTACTGTTTACTCACTCAGGTTTAACTACCAGTGCATCTTATTTTAGTCAGTCGGATTGGGTAATACTACCTCTACGGTTCTTGTTATACATAGATTCGAAGATCGTAACGTGATGCTGCAATGTTAATAATGATCTGGTAAAATTTTATGAAAATAACTCACTTCGTTCGGTTTTTCTCTATCCGTAATGAAAGATTTACCCTCTGGTACAAAACACTGTAGATAACACAATACAGTTTATGCATTAACACTAGACTGGAAAATACTGCTGGAAAAACGAGACCACAATATTAGATAGGAGATAATCAAACCACTAGACTAAATCCAGCTGTACACAGATAGATAACTGAGAATGAGATTATGGACACAGAATAACTGTTTATTAACGCAGTACAGAGTACAGCACAGTGAAATCAATAATGGTAAGGAGTTTATTATAACATATAGTGCCTTATACATCTGTCTTCGCCTACTGGTCATTCACACCTTACTTTCACCGGTCACACAACATATTTTTTGCATCCAACTCACATTTATAAGTTGGACAGAAAATGTTTTAATAAAGTAGTTAGTTTGTTTTAGTTATTAACAGAACGAACAAGTAGGTCACGGTTCGCTTCAGACATTAACTTTGTAAACTACTATAAATTGTAATCATCAACAATTATCAATGAAAATGATGGCCCCTATTGTGAATAATACTAAATTGTTTTTCAGCTTGATTGTCCTCTTTTCTTGATATTACCTCAGATTAAGTGGTAAGATCTCGGTGGGTCTCATAGATTACCCAATAGGATAGTAAAACTGTGGCCGCAAATTATGATTTTTTAAGGTCCGAGATTTTTAAGCTTGATTTGTCGTCTCTATATAACTCGTACAGTAGCGGAATTACTTTTTTGTAACTTGTTTTATTAAAGTTGTGCTCCGTTGATAACTTTTATGGGATATTACTGAGAAGGTTAGAAAATTACACGAATCGTGGCACAACGATAGGCTACCGTGTGAAATATTGAAATCAAAAGACTCGATTATTTCGGATTATCGTACTATGAAGTAAAATAATGTAAACAATATGAATTAACATACCTCTAATTGTGAGTTATCTGAGGATTTGTTAGGCCGTCAATTTATATTCATTTAGAAAATACGTACACAAAATGAAGTAGATAGGAAACTCTTAACGCTTTTAAGAACCCATAGTATAGCAAAATGTCGTGCCAAACGCTTTCTAAAGATTAATACGAAGAATTGGGAGCCATACTTTTACGGTAGACAAGCTGTCTCAAAACAAATAAGGTGTTAAGTGGTGGAATGTATGATAAAGGTTACGTGAAAAAGAGTAATGAATGCTGTCTTAGGCATAAGCGAGTTAAAACATTATAATAATTTGTCTATGGAAATAAGAATTCGTTTCAGCTACGTATCTGAGACCTTGGGATGATGATCGAATGTTAAATAAACATGAGTTACTGATGATTATTTAAGTAGTATAGTGTATCACATAAAAGGAATGGGTACGAATCGAATGAAGATAGAGGTGTAAAGGTGATATGATCGATAGAAGATGAGTACATTATAGTTGTCTACGAATTGTATTATTGTAAAAGATAGGTGTGAATGACTGATCATTATTTATCGGAGTTCTTTCCTCAAATAGTTTCCGTTTCTCCTGCCGAGTTACGTGTATCCAGTTCATCTCTAATTGCTATTAGGAATTCAAGTGGATCCAGTCTGATGCCGATTCCTTAGCTTCGTTGGAAAATAATCCGAATCAGTAAAAATTATAATAATCTTTCTAGGACCTTGTAATACTTTCCATTTCTGAACTTACAGACCCTATCTAAGAAATATTCATTTTACTTGGCCTTCCTATGGCAAGCAGTATGTAAATTTTAAATAAACATAAAATTAAATGTTTTCTCACGTAATTCTGAGGTGATAATAACACAGTGAAGTTGTACGGTCAATGATGGCTTTGTGCTTGAAAATGAAACCATATTTACTGGCAACAATATACTGTCTCAATTAAACGATTGGAACTATTCATTTAGAATATAATATTTGCGCAAGTATTTGATAGTAATCTTGCAGATCTTTCTTTTCATTGCAAATCTCGTGTCAGCAATGTATCTTCTTGATAATTCACTGTGACTAGACAATATAACTATTATTTAGAATGAATGTAACCCATACAAATTATTATTTATTTACTACATTGTGCTTCGCTATGTGCAGTCATGCTATTTACACTTTGATTTTGTCAAAGGTATAATGTTAATCAGTCTTTTTGTTGTACTTTGAAAAGTAAACAATCTGTTTGTCGTTATGCACGAATGGCTGCCAACTATGATCCAAACCCTAGATTCCGAAACAAACAGATATTAACTTTGGATATGGACTTACCTGGACGTACTACAAGGGATTATGAACCACCACAATTGGCTCCACAGGTGGTGGCTGCATTGGAAGCTGCACTACAGGATGAAGAAGATTTGGAATTGGATGGAAGGTATTGAAACTGTTGTATAACATTGATAAACATCTCATCTTATAATCTATAAAGTTTTCTTTCAAAGCAACTTTTTAAGGAAAAACGATTCATTATTTCCACTCATGGTTGTTCATTTAAAAAGAGTTAATCATAAAATTTCTCAACAGCTTAATCTGCAAAGAACTAACGCAGTTGCCATTGATTAGCACAACAATAAATTATTATTACTCTTAATCTATATAAAATATTTGAAGTGCCGAAATTATACGTTGACCGTCTATAGACACGAGGATCTTTAGTGATAATAATAAGTTTTCTACAAGCATTTTGAAAAATATTTTCTTGAAAATACCAAACAGGATATTGCAATGAGTAATCTAGATTTGTCTCATCCGACCAGTGTATTTTAGCATAAGGATTACACATGAAGCTAAGATCTGCCTTATCTACAACCCATTACTGGAGAGATTTTATAAAGATTGTTCAGGTCCATAGTTCATATCACTAACTGACCCTAATTAAGCAACCAATTAAAATCAAAATCACCGGAGAGCTGTTTTGTTTACAAGATCTCAATGTCTTGAGTTTGATTCCTGATGGAATCGTAGATGCGAACCACTAAAAAGCCTTGCATTAAAATGAATAGGCTATTCAATGATTACAGATTTGTTTAGGTCAGATCAATCAATCTTGTTAACTATGATTTGTAAATATCTTACACTTTGACAATAATGTAGAGTAGTTCATGTTGATTGTCATTAGCAAATAATCAGAAGGGGTTTTTTTAGAGATTTTAGTAATTTCAATAGTTGAAATCATGATTTAATTGAAGCTAGACCACCATGATAAACCTTGAAGCACTAGACGGCTGTTTCGTCCTAGTATGGGACTCCTCAGCAGTGCGCATCCACGATTCCGCCTCCTCACGAGATTCGAACCCATGGCCTATCGGTCTCGCACGCGAGCACTTAACCACTAGACCACTGAACTCGCCGGCATCCAACGGTGTTGATATTTTATCTTATAAATGAGGAATCTTATAATTCATAATAAAATATTCCAATTAACAATTAGTAATCATGTATGAAATTGTGAAAATTTATAGGTTGACTTCCTTATGCTTTTTTTTGCAAATTCTTGCATTATTTTTTTTCTTAACTTTCATATTTAGCCCTTCACTATTTCAATCTTCATTGTCTAAATTGAAGAAATCAGAAAAACGGTAAGAAAAAAATTGTCAATTTTATTTAAACTATTTATATTCCATAGAGTTAACTCCTACTATTCATTATGAAATAGTTGATTTTTCATATCTATTTTTGTTATTTTTACGATAAAAAGAAGAATATGCTGATGAAGTTATACTTTTTCTTGATAAGTTTTTGACAGTTCTTTTCTTTATTTTTTTTACTTTTCTTTTTCCTTGACCCAGATCTACTTTATTCCAACATTCTTTTTTTTCTGTTTTGTTAACTATACAGAAATTTATTTTTGTCATGATAATAATTTAAAGAAAAAATTTTTATCTCAATAACTTATCTTAGTTTTTACGATATTGCTGATAGAATTTTTTATAATTTCTAAAACATTGTTAATATTTTCGGTGAGATTATAATTTATGTAGGAACCAATCACGTCTAACATAACAGGTCTTGGATTTTGGCGCGAAATTCACCCATCTATTTGGCTAAATAAAGTATTGGCATTATAGGTGATGTCAGTTCGTGATGAAAAATCTAAATCTAATTTCTAACCTTAACCATCAACTGTAAATCATAATTTTAATTCCTCATACAGATTTATAACCTTCATTTTGTCTTGGTTATTAGATAGACACTCTGAAGGTATTAGAAATTCTGACTTTGATGTTGGCAGTTGACAGTTGTTTTGAGTTCCAGATATTCTTCAGTTGTAGATATGCTTCTCTCGCTTTGCCGATCCGCGCTTTCACATCTGCACCAGATCTACCGTGTTCATCAATAATGCTGCCCAAATATGTAAGGGTTTTTACGTCTTCTAAATGTTCTCAATCAAGTGTGATTCGATTGGTGCATCCTGTGTTGTATCGGAGAATCTTGCTTTTCCCTTTGTGTATATTGAGACCTACTGCTGCTGAGGCTGCTGCTACACTGTTCGTCTTCTCCTGCATTTGTTGTTGCGTGTGCAGTAGAAGAGCCAGTTCATCTGTGAAGTCTAGAGCGTCCGGCTGCATCATAGCTGTCCACTGTATCCCATGTTTCTCTCCAAATATTGACATCATGATCCAGTCGATCACCAGGAGAACGAGAAAGGGTGAGAGTAACCAACCTTGCCTGACACCGGTCTTTAATTCGAACGAGTCTGTCAGCTGTCCTCCATGCACGATTTTGCAGCTTAATCCATCATTGGAATTCCGTATGATATTGACCATCTTTTCAGGCACGCCGTAGTATAGAAGATGCCTCCATAGTGTTATCCTGTCCACTCTATCAAATGCTTTCTCATAGTTGATGAAGCTGATGTAGAGTGATGACTTTCATTTGATTAATTGTTGTACAATGATCCGTATTGTTGCGATTTGGTCTGGACAATGAATCTTTGAATAAAAGAATTGTTTTTATCAGGAAATTTCGACTGTTATTTTTTTTTTGCAGTTGCTCATTGTTTTAGTTTGAATTCATAGTGTCAATTTGTGTTTAAATACATTTAATTAGTAAGTTTAAAACTAAATAACATTTTATTAAGTATTCTAATGAATGTTGCAAAATTATAATATTACTGAGAAGTTCTTATCAGTATTACTGGTAAACTTCAATATTTTTACAGAGTATATTGATCTATTCTATTAAACTATCTAGAATTCAGTATAATTGTAAGGTTTACTAATTTCATTCAGGTTCATTCAATCACAATAAGATTAGAGAATTCAAAAGACTTTATGAAATTAATTTCCTGAATACATTTAGAGAATACAAAAACTACTATGCCTATAGACAGGATAAATTTTATGTAATTTGAATAGAATATGTCATATTCATCTGGTCATTTTATTTTATTTTTTTAATTTTATTGATAGAATACATAGTGGTGCAACACAAAAAGATGATACTCAAATATTTCCTCAATCTAAAGGACTTGTACCTAAATAAAACAGGAGTTGTTCGATCAAGATTTTGTTCATCAAACTTTTAAAATTTTGTTAACTATTCAATATATATATATATATATATATATATATATATATATATAACTGTATAAACAATTATGAATTTTTCACATTTCAATGGGAGTTATTAAGCAGCGGATGTCTATTCATCAATGAGGTCATTGTTGGGTCATCTCATAAATACCTCGATAATCTTAGTTAGCCCGCCAACAGTTAGAAATCACCAAAACTGAACTAATGTTATACTGGTAGAAAAACTTTTGTTTGGTTTAAAATTTAAAACTCTAATCTAATCCATATTAATTTAGTTCTGATCTAAATGATAAACAAAATTGAATTATCAACTGGAAAGCTATCATGGCGACATCAATTATTTAATATGTAACTACACGAAATAATTATTTATTCGGGTCAGTGTTTTTTTTAGCAAGGTTGGATAGAGAATGCTAGTGGACGGCCTATACTGCTCCATGAGGGGTAACAGGCTTAAGTAAGTAAGTACACAAAATAATTAATGTCAACAAGCTAGATATTGAAGTCCCTCTTCGTCGTAATACACATTAGATTCTTTATCTTAAAAAAATGGATAGTGTGAATCCTTGGTTGACAGATTAACTTCTATCTATGTAATGATAGAAAAAAATTGATTTAACGAAGAGCCACTCCCAGCACATTGGCACGTCAACATTCCCCTATAGATCTGAAATCGATGCTCATTTTATATTTTTTCAATAGGCTTCTTACATCTTGAATACTCACTGCCAAGTTTAAATGGTTAGAATTATGTTTTTGAAGTTGAATGTTGTGTATTTTTATGTGTTGAACAAACCAATATCATCTATCAAGCATGCCTTAACAACATTTCAACCATTTCGATAACGTAATAAGAAGGTGGAGATTATCACAACTTTAATTGGAACACAGTCTTAAATCAGTCATCAACAAAACGTATTGCGCAGCAAAGGTCATTATGAAAAAAGAACAAGGTGCATGCTTCATCCAAAACCTAAAAGACAAAAAAAGGTTATGTTACATCCCACTGTGTTTACCAATTTAAATGTGTGTGTGGTCACACATACATATGGAGGAGCAATCGTGATTAGGATATGTGAACATGTACCCAAATGTTTGCAGAAACAAATAGAATCAAGTGAACCGATAAGAGTAAAGGACAAACATCCATCATCCTCTATTGCTAAACATTTAATCTAAACAGGCCACAGGATTGATCTTAACTCGGCTTTTGTGGTGTTGTATAAAAGTGTAAAAGAGCGTGTACCAAGGTTTATGGAAGCCTTAGCCGTACGAAAATTCAAACCCCGTTTGTGTATTCAAAAACAGTTTGTTCACACCCTAAACTTAACCTGGTAATATTCGGCTTATTATCCAGAGTGATGAGGTTCCAAATTGTGTTCACATTACTATTATTACTCTTATTATTATCCTTGTCTCCTCTTAATCCATTTCCAGTCTAGTTGACCTTTTATTTTTATATGTAAATGTTTTTCCAACATGAGAAGGGGTTTTGTGGAGATCGCAGTAATTTCAATAGTTGAGATCATGAGTTAATCGAAGCCAGACCACCATAGGAAACCTTCAAGTACTGGACGGCCGTTTCGTCCTGTTAGACAATAACACTGTTGGCTGCCGGCTCAGTGGTCTAGTGGTTAAACTCTCACTCAGCAGACTGGCAGGTCCTGGGTTCGAATCCGTGAGGCGGGGTCGTGGATGCTCACTACCTAGGAATCCCGCAACAGGACGTAACGGCCATCCAGTGCTTCCAGGTGTTCTATGGTAGTCTGACTTCAATTAAATCATGATTTCAACTATTGAAATTACTAAAATCTCAAAAAATCCCCTTCTTATATACTTATTCTTAACAAGTATATATGTGATCAGATTGTTCGAAGTGTATTGTCCTAATATATCACATAGTTCTGATAATCTTTGTCTTCTTATCACACTATCAAAATTTATCAAAGGTACTAATTGCTTTAAATTTCAACCATTTAATATTATGTAATAAAGAATTTAAGACCTAAGAAATAAATTTTTTCCTCTTTTTTTGTATAAACATTATTTTTGGTCACTAAATAAAGGAGAATATAGAAAAGAAAAGGGTTTAATTAATCAATATGAAACTGTTTTACCAATAATGATTCATAAAATCATAATGTTTACTAATATGGTCTACAATGTTAACTAATAATCATTCGTGGTTAAGGGAATTTTCCTCTGAAAAAGAAAGAAAAAATAAAAGAAAAGAAAAAAAGAGCAACATACTGATAAACTTAATTCATTCAAAATATGAAACACAAATATACACTAAACTGAACAAATAATAATGCGCAATAAACCAAATGTTATACCATGTATAACATAAGTGGTTCATTTTTCTTTCTTTTTTTGGGAAAAAAAAAAGAAAAATGTTATCATTGAAATTAATTCACTAATTCCAGTTGGTTGTAAAATTAAATAAAAAAAAGAAAAAAGAAAAAAAAATATTCAACTATGGATTTGTTTAAAGTGAATCACTTTAAAGAAAATTCATTTCAACAGGGTATGGCAAATGGAAATTATTAATAAACATTTACTAGTAATTCAATTCTTTTACAAAGTAATAAGATGGAATTATATGAAAAGTTGTCAAAACATTAAAATGTAAATGATTATATGGATAATAGTAATAAAAGGGTGAACAAAAATGTGACTAATTTAATTTGTTACTAGTCTAATTGATTAATATAGAATCAACTACAACTTGTATCAGCCGGTGGTAGATCAAGAAGACTTAATGAACTACCATTTTCTTTTTGATAATTTCCTAATTCATGTCGATTACTCCATTTTGGAATAGCTGTTTGAAAACGAGTTTTATGTGGAGAGGCTGGTAATTCACTCATAACACTAAATACGGATCCTTCACGTGTTACTGAATAATTTCTTGTTCTAGTTGGATAAAGACTACCAGATCGTTGTCTATTGTAATTTCCATAAGTTGTTACATTATCTTCTTGAGCAGTTAAACCTATACGCCTTTCAGCCATTTGAGCACGTAAATCTGCATCATCCACTTGTTGTTGAGCTTTACGATATTTCATTGAAGCAGTTTGAGCAGCATTTTCCTGTAATTAAATTAAATTAAATTCTTAACATAATTAGTTATCAATCTATCGTAAAAATAAAATCATCTCATTTAAAAAAAAAATTCAATCATGTGATCAGATGCATCATTCACTGTAATTTGTATACTTCTCACATGGAATAATTAATCTGTCATTTTTACTTCGATAATGCTACCAGAGAAAAATAAAACATTCATAACCACTGAAAGGAGTACCGACGTTCTTAAGGAAATAAGTATAGTACACATATATTTGCTATTGTTACTGTATCAAATCAAGCAGACAGATTTGTTGTTTTAAAGTAAACAACTGTACTGTTTTCTAATAAGCATTGGGATTAATCTATTCACAGTGTATTACTTATTATTATTTACTAGTAATTGATTTAATTGAGCCTAACATTTTACAAAGTACACATACTGCTTCTTCTAACTGTTTCCTGGTTTGTTTCAGTTTTGTTTGAGCTCGTTCAACCATCTCACGTAGTTCGTTTACCATATGCCCAGCATCTTGTTCAGCTTGTACTGATTCTTTGAGTGCTCTCTCACATTTTCTATAAAACAAAAACCATAAAAAACACAAATTATTGAAACAAAATCACATAAACTTAACAAAAACTATCGACTACTTTTTGGGGGTTATCCTTGTTTGAGAGAATTTCGGTCAAATGCCTTCAGTTTTATATTGCAGTGGTAGGTAGCTTCCCTAAATAAATGGCTTCGCATACGTCCGACATCGTTTATGATATTGTTAGTCTTAACGAATACAATTACTTGAGGGCACCCCGGTTTATCCATGCTTTAACATACATGAAACACTTCCTCTATCCTTTTAGATAACCAGCAAAGAAGATTCAAGTTATTTTACACAAGCGTGTGATCAAGTATATTTCCTCATTCGACACTTTTCATCCTCCTACTCGTTTGTTTTACTGGTAAGATACTTAAAAGGGTTGATATCAGGATCTTCCAATCCCGTATTATCTAAACTACTTCACTATAAAATACTTTTGTGTTTTTCAACATTCTCTTTAAATTCAACTGTCATATAATTGCTCTGGATAAGTCTTCTAAATAGTGGACTCTAGTTGAAGGTGTGATGTGTTGTGATAGATTTAAAAAGTAGCACAACTTATGCATTGAAGTGCCTTCTCTTGTCTTCAGATGATTCTACAACCCACCTTAACTCTGGATGTCCGATGCAAGCTAACTCACGAAGTTCTTCTTGATACTGGAAGGTGTGGAGTCGATGAGAATCGATTTAAAGGGTTGCATTAAGTTCAATATTGGTATACAGGCTTTCTATGTGCAAATCAAACTTTTTACTGAATTGAAAAATCGAAGCGTGAATTGGAGGCTTTTAATGATTAACCTGAACTGATATATCTAATTGATTTGATGCATTACCCACTGTTCCTGGAAAATAAGTCTGGAGTTTCGGATTCAGCTACAGGAATTGAAGTTGGCGAACATCATCTACCCCCCCCACCTCCACGGATAATATGCAATATCCATGGAGCATCTTGGTTCCAGTGTCCGATATCTTGTAGCTATCCACATCTGACCTCTGAGAGTGACTGGTTGAAACCGTGTGTGCATGTCTGTGATAACACACAATTCATTGTAAGATTCCCCGGTGATATGGTATTTAGGTTTCACAATTTGATCGTAAAATTTGAGAAAACATTTGTTAATTAAGACAATTTTAATTGGACGACTATAGTCATTCCTTACCACAGCATGTCACAGGATAAATACTAGACTGATCAAGTTTGTGCGACGTTTTAAGTGAAATCAAGGTAACATTAAAGACTATATCCAACTGCGAGGTAATAATTCATTCATCAACCTTGATGAGTACTTATTTAATTAAAGAATTGGAGTTAGATCCGAATAAAGTATACACAAACTTTATCTATTTTGGAACTTAATAAATAGAACTTGATGCATGTGATGCGAATTTATGGTGTTTATAAATATCTTCTTGTGACTAGTTTCATCATCTCTCACCTTTCATTTGGCCTTGAACTGATATGTCTGGTTGGCACAGTATAGCAGAAAACTGAACCATGAATGATTTAGAAAACAAAAAACAAGTAACGGATATCGAGGAAGCTGTGTTATTATTAATTCATTTTCGAAACCTAACAAAGTAACTATGACAGACTTTCAAAGAGTCACTAACGAGTAACTTAATATTATTAAGCGTGGGAAGTGTTTCTGTAAGAGTGCAATTGGTTAAGTAAAACAATTTTGGAATCCACCCATCAGTTGTTTAATCACTCAGCAAGGAAATAATTTACGAAAGGCTAAGCGACGGTTCAATAAGTTGGGTCACCTAGATAGATCAGTCATTTTCCAAAAAACTAGAATTCATTAAATAAGGAATCAAAAGCTAAGTATTTATATGATCCAAGTTATAGAAAGTACCCACTAGATAAGTTACTATCGAAGGTAGCGGCAAACATCAACATCTATCATGTCTACGTAACAAAACAAATCCTGAATCCTAGAGGTTTTCTGAAGGCAACACTGATTTCTAGCGAGGAATGAACTTTACTTATAAGAAATTCCTGCAAACTTCATAAACCTAAAACCCGTATATGTGCGAACCTCAGTCTCACTAACAGTATTAAAGACGGTCAGTAGAAATCTAAATAAACTAATGTCATCGGAACGACGAAAAACTTGATCTTGAAGACTTTTCTAAACAGTTGACAGTCGATGATGTGGCATATATTCGTTTCATAGAGTGATATAAGTAGGCAAATGATATGTAACACAACCGTTTATACCGCGTACATAACAGACTGATGCTTCTCGAATTCATGGTAAAACTAGTCATCAACTGGGACAAGAAAATACTCTAGAACCTTCCTACCAGTCTTAGAACCTCAAATGTAATGGGATTTCACGGCTCATAATGGAATAGCAGACCTTCTTAGACTCTTATAAAGCTTTAAACTTGAAAAAACATCTAATAAACTGAGCTGTCTAACCTTAGTTGAGTTTGGGCCTCTCTTGACTTTCTAGATTCCTCTTCTAAAGCTAGCTGCAACTCTCGTATTTTAATCTCGGCTTGACTTTTGGCATCATCAGCTTCACGTTCTGCTGCATCAGCTGCTCTTCGGCTTTCTAAAATCTTAGCATTGCAGTCTTTTAGTTCAGCTTCCAATTGTCTTCTTGCAGTATCTGCTCGACGTGACGACTCCTGCTCAGTTTGAAGTTCTTGAGCCAGACGGTTAACTTCATTTTGAAGTCTGTCTGCCCTCTCTGTAGCAACCTGTGATAAATGTAAAAAATAATAAGACAATACGTCCTAGATTCTTAATTATTTGTCAAGTGCTTTAGATAGGTCAGCATAATAGATTGGAATGAACAGCTCCCACACTTTAAATCGATTTTATTTGATAAATTTTATTTTAGAGTAACTGTATTTTGGAAATATTTTGTAGAAAATTGTAATCTTATAATCGAGATATTCATTATATGAGAACAGACTAAATTAAATTGCGATGGGAAAATTTTACTGAAGAAGACCAAGTTTTGATGTTGAACTATATTTTTGTTCTAGTTCAAAAGTCAAGAGCGAAATGGGGTTATTTCCCATCTTTACACATTAGAGAATTATTTATAGATTACTTTGCTCATATTCAACGGAAAAATTCATGGAATCATGAACCAGTCAATGTTAGACCACCGGTAAAAGCCTGTAAGCGCTGGGCGACCGTTTCATCATAGTATAGGACTCCTTAGCAATGCGCATCTACAATCCCGCACACGGGGCTCAAACCCAGGGTAGTCGGTCTCGAATGAACACTTAACCTTGCAAACCATTTAGGCCAACATACAACGATGTTAATGTCCAAATCGTCTAGTTGCATTCAAACAGTTCATCGTATTCCGTGCTTCCCTTCAGATGTGGAGATCTTCATGATACAGTCAACCACCAGAAGAAAGAGAAAGTAGGAGGGTAGGCAGCCTTGTTTGATACCGGTTTTCACTTGGAATGTATCTGTCAGCTGTCCTCCATGCACGACTTTACACTGTAGTTCATCGTATGAATTCCGTATGATGTTGACTATCCTCTCAGGTATACTATAGTGTCGAAGAAGGACCCATAAAGTTCTCCTGTCCACACTGTCAAACGCTCTTATACTTCCTCCTAAACCTTCATGTATAGAGTGTGGAGCATGGTTGCAGCTCCATAGTAGTTTCTTCTTTCAGTAAATCCTTTAGGGCTTGGAACCTATTGGTTGAGTTTATCAGTATCTCGGAGGAAGGCTGTATTAAACCTTCCTAGTTCTGTTTCTTCAGTTATTCAGTGCTTCTTTAGCTTCAGTTTCATCCTGGCGACCATCAGGTGGTGATCTGTGGCTATGTCAGCTCCTCTCTTGGTTCTCACATCTTCAGTTTTAGCGATGTAAATATGATCAATCTGGTTCTGTGTAGTGTGATCCGATGAGACCCATGTAGTTTTCTATGTGTGTTTGTGTGGAAATATAGTGCTACTTATAACCATTTCGTTGAATGCACATAAATTAACAAATCTCTCTGTATTCTCGTTACTTTCTTCCAGTCGTTTCATGTCGTCCCAATGACATATTCATATTCGGTGTTGTCCGTTCCGACATTGGCTTTTAGGTTTCCCATTAGGATGGTTGGGCTCTTTCTTGTAAACTTCTCTATAATTGATTGCAGCCTCTCGTAAAACTGATCTTTATCGTCTTCATCGTTATCATTGATGGGTGCATAGCACTGAATAACATTCATTGTGATTCCCTTCACCCTGATTTTGAAGGATGCTTTGATAATGCTGGATCCATGAGATTCCCATTCTACAAGTGTTTCGTGTGCTTCTTTGGACAGCATCAGAGCAACTCCCTGAGTGTGTGGATCATTTTCTTGTTTGTGACCAGAGTACAGCAGCATCTCTGATGAATCCAACCTTTTCTGTCCAGCTTGGGTCTAATGGGTTTCACCTATTCCGAGCACCGACAATTTGCATTTCCTCATTTCCGTAAATGTTTGAATGGTCCTCCTGGTCTCACACATTGTCCGAACATTCCATGTACTTATATTAATTGTTGCTCTGGTTGTTAGAAGGAACATCGGTCTCATGACTTCCATAGATTCTCATCGTTCACCATGAGGCACCATGATTCTTTTAAAAGAAAATCATTGTATTTGCAGGACAGAGTTTAGGTAGTTTCAATGATTTTTTCTGGTTGGTGTTTTTTAGCAAGGTTGTTTTCTGCGGAACGGTGTGATTAAAGCCATACTCAAACCTCCTCCTCCACCCGGTCTTGGGACCAGCAGTAGCCGTAGAAGAGCTACAGGTCAAGTTATTTGAAGAAGACAGATATTATCATTAGTGTTTTAATTGACTCCATCTTGTGCACAAAAATGTCCACATTAGGAAATTATTACTAGTCTATAAATGGGAAATTACTTTAAACTATTTAGTTCCGTCAAATTTAAATATATTAACTGCATATGAACAGAGTAAATATGAATAAGACATAAATTAAGTCACTTAAGACTGTAAACACTTCATTAATAGGCTCCAATGAAACATGAATTCGACCCAAATTCGTGTTTTAAATGTAAGCATTATTTGGTGTTAGAAATATTCTGCAAAAGTGTTTCATCAATTGATTTGTGATACATAATACACAATGAAATCTACAGGTTGTATATGTCACAGGAAATTTCAATATGCCAGTGTTCAATATTTGGTGACCATTTTTCTCGAACCGCTCTATCAACCAATGTTTGTGTGATGTACTCTCGGGGTTTTCAATCATTACAATACAATGGAAAGTATATACAATCACGTTGCTTAACCCTTAAATACACCAGTATATTTGAGTTAAAGTTGCCAGGATTTCAATAGACATTTCATTACTTATAGTGTGAATAAACGAGTTATGCTTGTCTTGAAAATGCAATAATAACTCACATCTTTTGCACCTGTAGCGTCGTCCAAATCACCTTCAAGCACAGCTATCTGACCCTCAAGTTTTCGTTTTTCTGCTGTCAAATTATTTATTTGTATTGTCAAACCACCAAATTTTGACATATTTTCCGATGACTCTTCTTCCAGTTTTCGTTTTAATCTTTCTGTGATTTCTAATTGACTCCTTAAGCTTTCTACTTCATTTGATAAAGCAGATCGACGACTTTCGCATATCTAAAAATGGAATTATTCCTATTTACATTCGTTAAGTAAATATAAAAATTATAAACAATTAATTTCATCATAAAAACATTGACTATTTATTATCAGAAGGGGTTTGTGGAGATTTTTAGAAATTTTCACAGATTGAAATCATGAGTCAGTTGAAGCTAGACCACCATGGAAAACCTGGAAGCACTGGACGGCCGTTTCGTCCTAGTATGGGACTCCTCAGCAGTGCGTGTCCACGATCCCGCACCACGCGGGGCTCGTGGACACGCACTGCTGAGGAGTCCCATACTAGGACGAAACGGCCGTCCAGTGCTTCCAGATTGACTATTTATGTTTGAAAACAAGTATTTATATGGATTCATTCATTAGTAACTATACTATAGAACAATGTCATTAATTTACCTGTAAAGTGGTTGCAGTTTCAGAAACCAAATTATTTAGTTCTGTTATATCTATTTCTAATTGACAAATATGTGCTTCTGCTTCTTGATGTAATTTAATAGTTTCTGAATGAGCAGCTTTTTCATCTTCTAATTGAACTTGTAAATTATTTATATTTCCTTCTAGTTTCTTTTTAAGTCGGTCTAATTCATTTTGATTTTTCATTTCCATATCTGCTACAGTTGCTTTAAGATTTTCCACATTACGTTGACTTGAACGTCTATAATTAGAATGTATGAAATGTCAGAAGCCTAAAACTTCAAAAAATGATACCTACTAAAATAATCCTTTTAAACTTTACTAGAATTCACTTTTTCAATGTTAACATAAGTAATTTCAAAAATAAACAAACAAAAAGGAGATACTGTACATTATTCTATCATTGAAACATGAACATCAATCTACATCACCTTAAACTTTCCATTTCTTCTTCTTTATCTCTTGATTGACGTTCAAATTCATTTCTTAATGTACTTAAAGCTGAATATGTTGTTTGGTAACGAGTCTATAAATAAAAAAAGATAATAAGATCTTTATCAATATATTGTTTATATAGGGAGTTGATTTTCATTGTTATGCACTGGTAAGAATTGGATACGTATAAACGGGTAATGATGAGATACAGCACTAATGGCTGGTGAATAATTACTAACAGATTGTAATCAGTTGCCAATACTTATTATATAAGAAGTAATCACTTCACAATATAAAACAAACTTTGAAATATGCTTGTTTAAACAAGCTTTTACCTGTAACGTATCAATTCAGATATAATTCAGAATATTAATAACTGACTGAGAGACACTTTAAACACACGACTGTAGTAGCCAGATAGATTTTATTCACGTTTGTTGTATTTTAAAGTTTTGAAATATTGTAATAATGAACAATGTTAGGGATTTTCTAATGTATAGTCATACACTTAACACCTTAAAAATTGCATTAAGAATCAGATAGTATGTTGGAATTCAATGAACAGTTAAATGTATGAAGGAATTTGCCTCATTCATCCAAAATAAAAATGATGTCCTCAGAATCGGCACACAAAAAGCTTGATAAAGTGTCTCGAGATTCATTGGATGTTAAACTACTTACAACGATATCCATTCTAAACCCCATGTATATATTAATTAATTTCATTCAAACGAATATTCTGTTAATTGGAAGCTTTGGTGATCCGTCCTATATTTACTAGGCTTTCAAATAGTAAACCGTCTGTCACTTTTCAGAACATTCATTTTGAGTTAAGAGTCATGGTATTAAAGCTATGTCACTGTATGAACCTGTATTAAGTCGCTTTCTGTTAAGAGCAATAAATTTGATTCACTTTAATTATGGGTATTAAGTTACACGATACTTTTTATCATATTACGGATCATAAAAGATTAAAGCATCAAGTTATTCATCAAAGTCTGTAGTTGTCTGTCAGTTTGTAGCAGTTTTCTTAATCATAAGAAGAAACTAAACAAACTATTATATTTAACTGTAATTAATTATTTCATTTAAACTTTTACATATTTTCTGAAAATATAGAAACTTACTTCACATTCATGTAAAGCATCTTCTGTATCTTTTAATGTAGAGTCTAGATTATCTCTTTCCGTTTCTAGTCTTGCTCGAGAACTCTCCAAATCCGTAACTTGTCGATTAACAACTGACAAACGTTCTTTAGTTTCTTTTAGTTTTTCTTAACACATATATACAATATGAATAATGATAAATAGTAAATGATTGATATAATTTCATAAACTGATTATCACTAAACAAACTTTCTTATATAAAGTATACGATCTTTGAGTTAAATTGTTCAGTACAAACAGTGACTTTATAGGATACAATGAAATATTACTTAATCAATATTATGAATAATATTGGAAGTAGGATGTAATCTTATTTAAATGTTTTAACTATTAAAATAGATCTTATCAGAAAGGGTTTTGTGGAGATTTTAGAAATTTGACTGATTGAAATCATGAGTCAGTTGAAGCTAGACCACCATGGAAAACCTAGAAGCACTGGACGGCCGTTTCGTCCTAGTATGGGACTCCTCAGCAGTGCGCATCCACGATCTCTCACCCCCCTCGTACCAAGCGCCTAAACAACTAGACCACTGAGCCATCACCCAACGGTGTTAATGTCTAACTTCAATCAATCCACGAAGTTACGCCGTCGTGCACCATTGTCTTCAGTGAGCTGATATCTCACAACAGACCTGGTTGAACTCCACTGGCAACGGATTCTCAATAGAACTCCAGGAGTATCTCTTGAAGTCAGTCACTAGTGATCAGATGATTATTATCAGAAAAGGTTTTGTTGAGATTTTAGAAATTTTACTGATTGAAATCATGAGTCAGTTGAAGCTAGACCATGGACTGATAGGTCCTGGGTTCGAATCTCGCAGGGTGCGGGATCGTACTAGGACGGAACGGCTGTCCAGTGCTTCCAGGTTTTCCATGGTGGTCTAGCTTCAACTGACTCATGATTTCAATCAGTAAAATAGATTTGCTAAGAACAAACATTATACATATAATCACATTTTCTGAATTAGTGAAGTTGGTTTTATGTTTTACATTGAATTTGTTAAAATTATATTAAAATCGGATACGAATATAAATCGTTTATTTATGTAACTGTATACATCTAGCTAGTCCTAGTAGAAAATTAAGTAATAGTCTATGTGGTGAGAATATAATTTATGGACAACATTTGAGCGACGCCAGATTGATCTTAAGAGTGTTTACCAGGACCAAATGAGTGGTATAAACCAGTATGGCGAAATAGAATGATGATTTGAAGTTGATGATTAAGGTTAAGTATTAGACTTAGATTTTTCATCACTAACTGACATCAGCTTCAATGTCATAAATCTATTTAGCCAAATAGATGAATAAATCTCGCGCCAAAATCTAAGACCTGTTATCTTATACACGATTGGTTCGTCCATAAATTATAGCCTCGTCGTCTATGGATTTCAATGGAAAAAATTGAATCAAAAAGTTCGATTTAAAGATCGTTAATATAAGCACTTTTTAGGTTAGAATTATTTAAGTGACTTTTAAGATAATTACAATGAAAACTTTTTTATTTGATTATGCAAATAAAGATGAGTATAGATGCATATTTTATGAAGAATCAATCATATTTAGCAAAACATAATTTTAAGCTGCATGACACTTTGTACTCCTATATGGGATTTTAAAACTTATAAGCTTCATTACGGTTTGGAGAAGAACTTAAGATAAATAAAAAGAAATACAAGTAACCATATATATACATATACATTTACTTCTAATTATATACAAATTAAAAAATGTTAAGTTTTTTTTTGGGGGGGGCTCTCTGATAATATCTAATTAGATGGTTTTTGTAACACATATAACTGTTTACTTTCAGTAACTGTGACTATATGCTATTTCCATGAATGTAAATGTATGCGTACTAAGATTTTTTAACTTAGTTTATCAATACATGTAAGTAATAATACTTTTCTTAATTCAGAACAATAACTTTTTTTACTACATAACAATAATGCATTTATTACAGTTTAACTGTACACACATTTTGAACTTAATTCTTTAACTCTTTCAGACCTTCAATAGCGCTTCGTTTATAAGATTAAAAATAGTTTATATCACAGGTTGAATTTAACAATCTTAGAAAACAAGGAGTCGGTGAACAATTTCATCGTTATAAATGAGAACCTTAAGTAATATATACCGATAATGACGTCAGAGATCAAATTCTAAGTATTCACGCATCAGTTGGCATTTAGTAGTTTGTACTTACAACTTCTGTTGGTTATTCAAACTGACCACATGAAAAATATGTGTATAAATACTAACTCAAGGAATGCTACGTAAAGACAAGGAGATAAGTAATAAAAATGATTTGGATCATCACAATTCCACGTGTAATACATTTTAGTTCTTAATTGTGATGAACTAGCCGTAAAACACTACTATTTTAACTCCAGAAAATGTTTCTAGTAATGAACTTTTTTCGGTTACTTATGGTCTGAAGAAGGGACTTGTACTAGGCGGCTAAACTTCAAAAATTCAGTTTTATACTCATTGGGATATCACAAATGTTCCATCGTCTTTATTATTAACAGTCTGAATAGTTTCAGTATCCTTTAAAACATATCGATGGAACAAAATATGACTGCTCAAGTGAACAGTTTTAATCTGATCTTATTGTTAGTATCATATTTATAATTCTTATTCTAATACCTATACTAGTACATTTTGACATGAATGTATGATTAGTTACTTTTTCGCAACAAACTCTGAAGTAATTTAAATTCATGTGTAGCTGACAAGTCTCAAATAGGATGAAACGAGAGTCCTGGATTTCACTGAAATCATTGAATAAAAGGAGTTAACTATACATTTGACTATGCAACTAGTAAAGTTAACAAATTTACCAGTATTTTGTTTGTTCTCTTTCTCCAACACCGTCAAACGTTCCTCTAGTTCAGACTTAACAGCTCTGATTTGAATAAGATCCCTTTGTAATAAACCGCATTTTGTTCGTAAATTACTTTCTTCAGTTTGAGTTTCTTCTAAAACCGATTCCACTTCTGTCTTTTGACTTTCCAGGCTTTTGATAGTTTGAACATGTTCAGTGCATTTAGCAAATAACTGAAAATGTTAAATAATGATATAATATCTATAAATTAAGTTGTCTCATTGTTTTAACAGCATGGCGTTCAGTATTATTACCAAACGTTATCAATAAATTAACACTTTGTCAGTATTTTAGAATTAATACTCCTCCATCAATATTAACCCATATTTCGTTACTTCAAACGTTGTGACGTTATCTTATGAGCTACTGAATCACGATAAAAATTGTTTTCATCACAGATGTTAAATATTTGCCAATAAACATTTTTTACATAAATCCATAACAGTGGTGAAATTCAAATTGTAAAAATGTTCCTTATTAATTTAACTAAATGTTTGTATGAAAACTGGGAAACAAAGTGCTTATGCTTCTCATGATGTTCAATTTATAGGTTTGTGTGAACATATTCTAGGACAGGTTTAACGTTTCCAAACCATAAGAAAAGATCATTTTGAGGGATCTAACTAGTTCAATAGTAACAAAGCAAACATTGCTTATATAAGTTTATTTAAATATCAGTCACATTGTGGTGTGTGCTACTTATATTGATATAAGTAGTATATGACGCGAGTCAGAAATGTAATGTCTGGCAGGAGAAGATGGGGTAGATCAGGAAAGGAAGAGTGGGAATAGAAAGCAATTAGTATGGAAATGCAAGAACAACGAAGTTCGAGACAATTATTGAACATTTTGCAAATAAAGTATTATAGTATGGTTTTTCTATTTTACCAAGTAACTCTGTAATGTCGATTGCCCCCACCAGTGTTCTGTTCACTACAACACCACACTTATGGGTTGTGTTTGTTAGTTTCAAACATTAAAATGTACTGTATGTATGTGATTAGTAAATTACGTAGAATCTGAACTCACGTTATCTAATTGAGATTGTATTTCTTGACATTGATTAGCTAATTGATTCTTGGTACGTTCAAGACTAATAACTCGACCACGTTCAAGTTCATAGGATTCTGTTAATTCATTGATACGATTGTTCAAACGACGTCTAACAGTAATCAATTAATAAAATGTGTTAAAGTTTATTATCATATACTGAATAATATTATCCTAGATAGTACAATAACTTACTATTGATATAATATCTTTATTTAGATTATTCAGTATATGCATTATATCACTGAGGTAAACAACAGCTGAAAAGTAAGGTATATTGATTAGTTCTTTTGTTCTAGTACTGTTAGATATTGACTTATTTATGAACAATGAGTTTTAAAACTTCTTCATTAAGCTGTACAGTTATATATGTAAAATTATTTTTGTGTTACAGTGCACAAAATATATTAAATTCGGATTAATCCATATTATTGGTAATGTCAAGACAGGTCATGCATAAAAGATAAGAACTGTATACTTTAAGGTGATGTATGGATCATGATCATTAAGCTAATATTGTATATAAAGACATTTTAATGTAAAATAGGAATTGTTGTTTCATAGTTGTCATGATAGTAAAAATAATAATAGTACTGACATGAATATTAAGTAAAATTGAAAAGATGAATGTATATTCAAAGAAAGAAGTGCAAGTCATAATGGGAAGGATTGGAGAAAATTGTAACGAACAATCACACGACCTTAATGTAAGCCAAAATAAACAATGAGGTTGAATGTATCTTTTTTTGTATACATAGGTAAGGTTTTTCTGAACTGATATCGATTGTTTCAGCTATATGGAGTATAAGTAGTCTTTTTTTAGAAATTACTGAAAACTTGTTTGATAATTGAGAAACAATCTTCAACTAAGAAGGAACAAATGGCACACTTGAGGTTAAAAAATAACATTAACCAAACTAAGTACATGACCAAGACGAAATTATGTCTTCAAGTGTTCTCTTTAGAGCAGTCATAAATTTTATACATTTATCTTACATGACTACTAAATGAAATTGCCATTTCACAAAATTTCGGCATTCATTTTATCAACAAAAAGGTCATTAGCTTCTAGTAAAAATTAACACATTTCTGAAATCCGTCATCACTCACACCGTCTTAATTTATGAAAGCAGTGTAATTAATGCTGTGATAGTTTAGTTGGTTTGATAAAACTATGAAGATAAAACCATAGGCTAACAAATTCAATATAAATATTTCACCAAGATAATACAAGTAAAGTACCTGTAGGCAACAAGTAATTGTTAAATGATGAAAACCAAGGTCATAAGCTAACCAATCATCACTAAATTTTTCCCGTTTTTATTGATCTGTTGTTTTGTGTGTTTTTTTTCTTAAAACGGTTAGACCTTTTTATAAACTTCAATATAGTTATGAAAAGAAGTTGTTTTGTAAAATATAAAGTACTGATGTAGTATACTTTGAGCAACCTGGTCATAAATTTACTTGTTATGACATAAATGATCAATAAAATAAATTACGTATATCATATTAGAGTAAATTATGTAATCATTTACTAAAGAATCATTAATAATTAATAAGTTACATACTTGAGTTCATCAAATTCTTCAGTTTTCTCATTGAATTCTTTTTCATATTTTGTTTTAGTTTGTGTTAATTCACTTGTAAGTCTAGTAACTTGAGTTTGAAGTTTCACTACACTTTCAGCTTCATCATCTGCTCTATGAATTAATGTATCTAATTCTTGTTGTACTGTATTTAATTTATTTTGTACTAAGGTTCTAGTCTATAGAAATTGAAACAAGAAGATTTTTTTAATGAATTGTGAATAGATTGAAATCATGAGTCACTTGAAGCTAGACCACCATGGAAAACCTGGAAGCACTGGACGACCGTTTCGTCCTAGTATGAGACTCCTCAGCAGTGCGCATCCACGATCCCTCACCCCGTGAGATTCGAACCCAGGACCTATCAATCTCGCGCCAATCGCTTAACCAACTAGAGCACTGAGCCGGCATCCAATGGCGTTAATGTCCAACTTCAACCAATCCACGAAGTTGCTCCATACTATGACGAAGCGGCCGTCCAGTGCTTCCAGGTTTTTCATGGTGGTCTAGCTTCAATTGACTCATGTGTTCAATCTGTGAAATTTCTAAAATCTCCACAAACCCCTTCTGAATTGTGAATAGTTAATTACCTGTAATAATAAAATGAACATTTCTTTAATTTGACGGGTTTAAGAATAACGTTTAGCTGTCTTTTTTTTCTGTCATTACAATTTAGTGTCCAGCCTCACTATTAATGTACCCTTCCAATAGATAACAGGACATAGTCCTGAATGAATATAGGTACAACTGATCTCCATTTTGGTTGAGATCATGAAGCGATTTTAGTTAGACCACCGTTGGAATCCTGGAAACACTGGATGGCCGTTTCGATTCATGATCTCAATCAAAAACTTAATAATCTCCATGGCCCCTATACTGATAATTAAAATGTGCTCACTAGTGATTAGCTTCGTGAGGAAGTTCTCGGAGTTCTAGTGAGATGCCGTGACCAGTGGAGTTAATCTGTGTCGGGTAGAGACAGTTCAATGGAAGATGATCGCGCAGTTTCGTGGATTGGATGGTGTTAGACACTAACACCATTGGATACCAGCGCGGTGGTCCAGTAGGTTGAGCGTTCGCGCACGAGACTGAAGGCTGTGGGTTCGAAATCCTCTGGAGCGGGATCGTAGATGCGCACTGCCAAGGAGCCCACAATAGGACGAAACGGCTGTCCAGTGCTTCAAGGTTTTCAACAGTGGTCTGACATCAATCGGTTCATGATCTCAATCAAAAACCTAATAATCTCCACAACCTTTATGCGAATGATTTGTATTTAGAGATAAACAAACTCCGTCTGCCGCTGGTTCAAAGCCCGGATAAAAGAGGAGAGTTGAGCATGAGGTCAGCAGCCCTATCCCAAAGAAAATAATTAGATCAATTATCAACTTACAGAATAAAGTTTGTTATGGAATACATATAAGTCTTTATGTAATCTAAGTGTTTACTTTGATATTTTTGACTTTCACAATGTATCATTTGTTCATTTCTTTTGATTATCTAATTGTTTTTGTTAATTTAATGCACTTACCAATACATACAACACATCATAAAATGGTAATAGTTACAATGATTATAAATTCATATTCCATTACAATAATTACACCATAAACCTATTTATTTAGATTGTTCATAGATAAGAGACTGAAGTGAAAATCTATTATCAAGTATAATAAACATTTTATGACAAAATTTTAATAAAAGAAAGAGAAGACTGAAATTATTTATCACCTTTTTGGATAAATGTAAACACATATTGTTTACCTTTGAAAATAGTCATTAATGTTGCATGAATAAAAGCTTATTATTGTTCAAAAACAATCTTAGTTTTTTTTATTTGTTGCCTTTCTTGGGCTGGACTCGTTCTTAACGATCTGTTGTAAAATGTTCACTGTAACGTAGTTCGATATGTTGGATCAAAAACAAATGATCGGGACTCCGAAGTCGTTTTCATCTATTACTTCAAAGGTATCGACTCAAACCTACAATCTTCAGGCCTCACAACTCGTGTTTAACTTTCGGAGCACGATTCTTGTAACCAATTTTCTAAATAAGTTATCTCAGTCAATTTGAGATATTGTATGACCATCATTCATGGTCACTGGTGATATTTGTATCATACTCAACTTAGGTGGGTTCCAATGATCACTGTTTCTTATTAGAACTCTTGAATCTAACTCTCTCAGTTAGTTACGAATAAGAACACAATGATTGTTAAATAAGGCATTTATAGGATTGCTGGATTAAGTCTTCACATCACTGACTGACTTTGTTTCGGCAACCATGATAAAGCTACAGACTAAGACTTCTAATAAGTCACATGCTAGGACGGAATAATTATCCAGCACTTTTTAGTTTTTAGTATTTTTCCAACTTACGTTAGATTTGTTAAACTTTAAGTGAAGATCATACCAATTGACTTTTAATAACAAACGAAAACTTAAACTTCAATATTCAGTATAATCATATTGTTAAAACTTAACAAATCGGATTTGGCTGACGTTTTATAATAAGTTCTTTTGTTTATTAGTTTGTCCTTTTATTTTTACTTTATTTTTATTTTATTATAACATACCTTTATTTCTTCTTCTAAAGCTCTCTTATGGTCTTCTCCTACTGATTCAGCAATCGATTGTGCTCTCTGACAACTTGCCAAAGACGTATTTAACTTTTCTATAGTTCTAGCCTGTTCAGTTGCTTCAGCAATGAGTTGAGCATTTTGTGAATTAAGTTCTGTAATACGTTTTTGACTCTCTTCATAGTTCGCTCTCAATCTTATAGTTTGAGATTCAAGTGTTTCTTGTTTTGATTGAGCAACAGTCTGGTTAGCAGAGAGAATAAAAAACATTTTTATACGGGGATTTGAAAATTGGTTAAACATTTCTATATTGACTAAGCGGATCACGGCGTCGTTTAACAGTAGACCGGCATAAATAAAATAAAATATTTCATACGCATATATGTTTTAGGGATTGTAAGTCAGTTGCTTTAATAATTTTTAACAGTTTTTAACCTTTTGGCATTAATGAATTAGTTTCAGACAACATTTTATTGATTATTCAGAATTAGACCATTATTTAGCATAGAATAAACGTATTTAGATTAAATACACTGAGATATAGTTACAATCTGTCTTTATGGCCAGTAAATATATCTTTGTCGGTCTTCTGACCTACATGGAGTCGTGTATGGTTATTTTGGTCTTCTAAACAGAAACATTGTATTACAGCTAAGCGGGGAAAACTTAATTGCTTATACGATTCAGTATCAAGTGACGGTCAGGAGTTCAGAAAATTAATATTTTTTTCATTTGTCGAACATCGGTAAGACTGCTAAGCTGATTAAAATCAATTTAGTAACTTTTGGGCTTTGTGTTATAATGCAGCTTGGCATCCATATCGTGAATAATTTTACAAAGTATACCTATATTTATTTTTGAAATAACTTGGAACTAGTAAGACGTTTACTGCGTCATCATAACTCCCTATATACCCTTGAAAATCTCATAGGATACGTGAAATCACCATATTGTTTTAATTTTCCTTACTGTTTCAGCCACAATTTTTTTATCTTAACAGTCTGTAGTATCATTATCAATAAGGAGTATAGAAGTATGAATGTTATTTACAGAGTAGTTTCAATTCGATAGTATAGTAAAGTTTTATCTAAAAATTACACATCCATATCAACTTCATCACTTCAAATGGTGATAGATTAGTTTTGAACATATTTTTTTAATTGTTGATCAAATTTAATAAGTATTATTAGTAGAAAACCAGGAACAGTTTGAAACTGGAGAGCTGCATTTACTTGAAATAATACATACTAAATTTTTTCAGTTTTTCAGTTGGTGATTTTTTCATAATCCGTTTAATTAAATGGTTTTCTCATGTAGTTTACATCCATCAGCTGGTTTTAATATTTTAACATACTTTAAATATAGATGAACATTTATTTTAACTTTTCATTATGTTATAGTAATATAAATTTATAGTTGTATGAAAGTAACTGAAAGTATTCAAAAAGATTTTTGTTTCCATGAAATATAACACAATCACATTAGTTCTTGGAAATAAAACGATATCTATTTTGACTAATATTCTCACTTTGGGGTACATTTGTAATATGAAGAAAGTTTTGACTGAGTATACTGTGAAAACAACATCATTTGGTCCCTGCTAGCAAATTACCTAATTGAATGTTTTACAGTTTGAATCGTTAAATGTTAAGTTCATATTCAAGTGGATAAGACTAAAATCAATGGGTTTCTGATACATTCAGTTATAGAATGAAAACATATTTTATATTTTTATTTTGCCCACCATTAAATACAATCAGATATTGTAAACAGCAATTTATTACAATAAATATATTCAACAACCAGGCAAACGATATCCTAACTTTAATTCAAGTTTACATTCATTTATCCGTAGTAATCTGAACCTCATTGAAAAATAAGCATACGGATTACTGTAGCATATTTCCCTAAATCTCTAGACTACCATTTTGGTATAGTATTATTAAGAATCCATTGCTTAACTTACAGTCCATAGATTTTGTTAAGTTTTCAATAGATGCTTTATTCAACAAATATTATGAAGATAATTACCTTCACTTAGTAAACTAAAGTTTATTTACAATTGCATAATTAGCTGACATCTTTGGTTCACATAAACGTTACATGTTTAATGATGTATCGTTTCTAGCACTAACCAAACAAATATACATTTTAAAAAATAATAACTTATTGCTTACTTTCGCCTTATTAGCATCTTCAACTTCAATAAAAGCATTTTCCAATTGTCTAGCCATTTCAGATCTTTCTTTTTCAGCTCTAAATATTTAACAAATTCAAATACAATTATTATTAGCGTTATTGAACATTTTAACGGTAACCCACCTGAATAAATAAATAATGAAAATTGACTGAAATTCAATGGCTATTTAAAATACATATCACTAAGGTGAAATAGGTAAAGAAGGTCATTCAATTTGTCTTTACTGTATGTCAACAACGGACGAATTACCATGAGAAAAAGAATTTATGAAAACACAACAAATTGGATTCAATTTTAAGTGATTTAATCCTTAAAGAAGCAATATTGACTAGCATATCTGATCCGGTTTAATATCAAATGTATTTCGAAAATAATTACTAACTTGGATTTCGCTTTTTGAAGAACATTTATTTCAAGATTAAGATCATTGACTGTGGTTTGATGACGACGTCTTAAATTTTCCAAACTTTCTTCATTTGCATCACGAATTGTACCCAGCTCTCTATGAACACGAGCAAACTCTTGTTCCCGTCTTTTGATAGTTTCCTCCTTTTATAAAATAAATGTAATGTATTTGAATTTATCAACCTTTTTTTAAGCATGAAACCAGTTAATATTCCTATATTAGTAATTGAACTACAATATATTATCTACGAATGAAAATCGGAAGATCTGGTTGATATGTTTGTAAAAATATTCTCTGCAAAATTAATATCTCAGACATGTAGTGTGAAAATGCTTTAACAATATTAATAAAGCTACGTTTCTTACCAACAACTATAGTACTGTTGTTTTGATCATTTTAATCCATCCTAAAATGTCGACGTTAGGATTATGAACAATGTATTCTGTGAATTACCTCTGTTTCGACAAATAATCACTTTCATAGTCAAATAGAACTCCTCAAGTTTATCAGAATGCTAAATTCTTCAATCAAATAATTATCAAAGGCATTAAGTGAGAGAATATAAAACGATGTTTGTTCAGTTTATACTTACAAAAACTTCATTACATTACATTTCAGTATCATCCATGAATAAATCAAATTACACATCTTATGAGCTCAATATAAATTTCTATTGACTAGTTAGATTAGTACTTGATAAGTTGATTAGTTAAATAATTTCGTAGGAAATCAAGTTCCTGTTTTGCTTTTTTCCTTTACTCCAACAATTATAGTGTCTAAACTGAAATTAAAGTAATATGATATTGAATTAGAAACACTAATTTAGTTTAAGGTTCAAATAACCTGTTAAATTTATCATTCATGAAGGTGGCTATACGGATTCAAGTTTACAAACTTCCTAGAATGATTTTTATGATCAGCAAATAGTGTTACATTTTGGTACCTAATCTTTACATTCAAATATATATCTCTATATACATTGAATAAGATAGTTAATTTATTGAACTGTTAATTATTTGATATAATTAAGCCTTCTTAAGTTTCAAAGTACATTCAAACATGTTTTTTGAAAATACTGAAAAACATTCCTCTTGCAAGTAGTAAGTTTGAACTTCTCAATGATTATATCAACCATAACTATCACCTAATTACACTTGGTATTGTTTGCTTGAATATTCTCATTGATGTTTACGACTGCAATTCATCAATCTCTCATTGGCATATTTGCATACTATGTGCATTGCCTCAATATTGCCTTAATTCACAAGCTTGGTAAGCAAAGATGGATAGTGGGTAGCAGTGGAATCCAGAACGAACGTTTCGTCTTATTTGGGACTCGTCAGCCGGATGTACCTGCATCCTAGAGTTGATGTGCACTCCGAGACTCGAACCACAGTACCATTCGCTTCAAACGCCTTCGCGTTATCCACTCAGCTACTGAGTCCTGATAGCCACTTTATTGTGCAGTAGGGTGGATTTAAATTCATTTGGTATGGTTTACTTGAATCTTATGTAATTATTAAATCAATACAGATTCACAATTGTACTGTAATTTATCTTTATGATACAGAAAGAATTTATACTCACTTGTTGACTTATTTGTTCTCTAGCATTTTGAAAATCTGCATTTAATATATCGAACTCAGCATTAATTTCAGCAAGCTCCCTTTCCGTCTAAAGTTAATGTATACAATGATAAATATTAAATTTTATAATGATAATATAAATTCAATTTGAAGATTATTTTTTTTATTTTTAAAGTTCCAATTGTTAAGTTAGAATATAAAGGTTGGTTCAGTGGTATTATGTAATAGAAGAAAAACTTTTTTATCACCTAAAAATTCGTTCTTTTTTTCAAATATAGACTCCTTCTTAAGTTTGAGAAATTGCTTTGTAAGAGTACGTTACGAGTTACCAATGATCATAAATAAGTCTCAAGGTGGTTGGGTAAAATGGTCAACAAATCTGTTAGTAGTGACAAACTTTACTGTATGGTACATAGTGAACATAATATAAAAAGAGACTAAGCTTTCACAGTTTTATATCAAGTCTAGAATGATTTCATAAAGGATTTAAGATTAACCCCCTTTCCTAACTACTAAGCTATTAATATTGGCTGGAAGAAACCAGACTCATGTATGAAACCAATTTTGTTCAAAAGGCCACGCAATAAGGTTCTTCCATATTGAACACGGTCAATATTTGCAATATACACTGTTAACCTTTACTCTCTCTCTCTCTCTCTTGCGTATATCTTTATCCTACATCTTCCTAAGACATTTCATTAATTACATATTTATCTTCTTTAGTTCATACGTTATTACGGTGATAGCAACTCCCCATATCATTATCATAATCATTATACAAATTAATATGACATATTACATATATTCTATACAGTTTTAATCTCTTGATTTGAACCCATTACCTTAACGTATAATTTTTACTTATACCATATAATCTGACCTCTCAACTTTATTAGTGATGCTTTTTGTTAGTATTAAAGACATAGTCCATATGTTATCTACTACTATTTTATTAATAACACCAATTAATTCAATTAAGACTTTTAAATGTGTACCCTAAAATACAATCTTTTGTAACACTATGTTTACAGATTTATCGCTGTAGAAGAATTCACTGAAAACAATTCTTCACTCATATTTTGGACTCTGAATATGAATAAATTGTTAATACCCTCTCTAACTATGTAGACTTTTCTCGTATTTGCCAGTAAAGAGACAGAGGAAATATTTTTAGATTTGGAACTTCATTTTTACTAAATGTCTAACGATCTATTTCATTCACAGATTTAATGGCACGTTGTTTATGGGAATTAATTTTAACGATTCAGAGTGTAATATAGATGTCCTATGCAGCAAAGCTGTGAATAGCGTTCACTAATAGGAACTTCTTTCCTGTATCCATAAAGAATAAGCTTCGCCGTTTGGTCACCTCCATACTCACCTTCCAGTTCACCTACTCTTGTGGAGTAAGGTAGATAGGTTGTATCCGGTGCTCGCTTTTAACTTAGATACGAGAACACGTCCCAGTGTGGTTCCATAGGGGTGCACACATACAACCTTTTATTGTTACTATTCATATGACGCAATCTAGTATCATAATCTTTCTATTACACCATTATGCTTATTCCTTGTTCATATGTCCTTACAGGACTAGTAGTTTAACAAAACATTTTCATATATATACGATTGTACAACCCTATAATAAATTTGTTGAAAAGAGATTCCTTCGGTGAACTTCGTGTTTTTAATATAAATGTGAAACACATGCATGGATTGTTGTATGCTTATCACTAATGGTGGTTGCGCAATATCCGAAATTGATCAAAGTCGGAAATGCATATCATCGGATGTTAACTTAGCAGTCTAAAGGCTAAACGATTTCCTAGAGGCATGAAGGTTTCGGGTTCGATCGTTGGTCAGGCCATGAGTGAGTTCAGCTGTGAAATCTCATACTAGGATTCAAAGACTACCATGTTTTTCCTGGTTTTCAGTATCTGTCTAACTAAAGTCAGTCTGTAATGTTAAACTACAAAAGATTTGGTTTCTTAGACATTGGAAATATTTCACAAATTTTAGGGAAATTTCAATCACCATTAAATTATTCTTATTCGGTATCTATGATCTAATTTGATAACAAAATTAAACATAAAAAAATTTGGAGAAGAGACCAATAATAAATAGAAAAAATTCATATCATGTCTTGAATGAAAAATGTTCATCTTGGAATGATTAGTTCGGTTATTTGGCTCAATTTGAATTCTGACTTCACTCTGAATGCATATCTATTCCAATAGAGTATAGATGGATACACCCATAAATCTCACTGTGCTATACAAATATAATAGAATGAGACTTTCAGCTAATTGGAAGACTATAAAAAACTGAAATAATATACAATTCTTTGATTTCACCGGATACATCACTACTACTAACTTGAAACAGAACTACCCATATCAGTACATACCATTCCAACCATTTAAAATAACATAAATTACGATATATTGTTTAGACTGAAACGTTGCGATAACTGAAAGTTCCTCGTTTTCTCCTAGTCTTTCTCTTATATTTTATCGTACTGAGCGAACAAGACGGTAGTTAATCAAACTTAAATGTGCCTGTAATGATTAATTATTTGGATGGTCTTTTTGTACTAAGATAATGTTCAAAGAGCATACAAATGTCTAATACAAAGTACAATTTTACAAAAATTTTATTGAAGAAAAGTCACAAGAATTTGGTTACACTGGTGCATTAAGTTGAAAATGAAAACTGGGGGGGGGGTAATATTATGTATCCAATATAAGATGAGTGTCCAGAAAACTGATTAATTCTACACGCCTATATTGGTTTTAAATCTTCAGCGGTTCATATTCTGTGTTGAATCAACAGAATGATATGTACACGATAAATTTTTATGATCTTACACATATTGAATAAAATTTACACTGGCTAGGCACGTAAAATGTAAAAGTATTACAAAACTTCATCTAAACAGAAACGACTTAAGAAAAGTCCAATTAATGTCACACATACACTTTATTCAAGATAACTTTTAGCAAAGTAAGCGTCACACAGAATGACTCAGATTTTGATTTCTGCTTGTAACCAATTATTTTAATATTTTCAATTTTAAGAATGACCGAAATCTGATTGCCCCCACTTTTGATCTTGTCCACTACAATATGATGTGACATCCATCACTGTTCAATAATATATTTCGTACATAATCTATTAGTCTCAGAAGGGGGTCTTATAGATATTATAGTAATTTTATTAGTTGAGATCATGAGTTAATTGAAGCTAGACCACCCTAATCACTCTTTTGATCATACTGATCGCATATAATGAACATGGAAATATGGATCAGTCTTATCATAACAATAATAATGATGATAATCACCATTACTATTATTATTATTGTTATTATTATTATTATTAGTAGTAGTAGTAGTATTGCTTTTAAGCAACGAACAACAACAAACATTGAAATGAAAGAAAAATATTCCAGTTGTTCAAATAAATCACTGTCGAAATTACAAAATCGCAAAACTATTTTTGTTGTTGTTCTTTTCACTTTACAAGTTGTTAACACAAAGTACCCCCAAACATTACACTAGATTCCATACTGATTGTCATCATAAATGTCAATACTAAGTTACATTACATGTTTTTCCTCTTTACTTTTATCTTATAATTTCCACAGGAAAAATTATCATTCAAATGACAACATTATTCAGATAGAAATTGTTTGAAGAATAGTTAAAGTTTAAAGATAATCCAAAGTATGAATTAAAGTTAGATGAAAGAGGGAAAATGACAAATTTTGGAAGCTACTTTTGAGATCAATAATTATATTTTTAAAGTACATTTATCAAATACTGATTTTATAATGTTTTTGGATCTTTCCAATTATAAGCTTTCGTTTGACTAATTATCAACTACTGTTTTTATCTTTTCCGTTCTAAACATACCGTTACTTACTAATAATCTTATTTTTGAGTCAAATATGCAGTGGTTATATAGTGTATCTTATTTCCCTATTTTGAACGGGTCTTACGGAAAAAGATTCTCTGTGAAGCAATGAATTATATTATGTTACTTAGTTGAGCATCAGTATTACTGTTATAAGCAAAGTAGTTTGAGATTATAGGAATAACGTTCAACAAACAATAATTAAACATGTAGATTTTTATTAATAAACTATACTTTTATAGTACAGTGCTGCAGTGGAAATTGTCACTTGTTTTCACTGGTAAAGCTTTCATAACATTTCATGAGATGATAGTAGGACACACTACGAATCATCGTCGAACAATCATTTGAGTGGAACTCGTCACTGTGCATCAACTTCATTGGTTATGAAAAGGCATTTGACAGTGTAGATTAGGAGGACGTTATGGAAACTTCTTCGACACTACGGAGTTCCTGAGTAGATTGTCAATATTATCCGGAACTCATACAACGGACTACAGTGCAAAGTAGTGCATGGACGACAGCTGACAAATGCATTCCAAGTAAGGACCGGAGTCAGACAAGGCTGTTTACTCTCTCCCTTCCTCTTTCTTCTGGTGGTCGACTGGATTATGAAGACCTCAACATCTGAAGGAAAACACGGAATACAATGAACAGCTCAGGACCAATTAGACGATTTGCACTTCGCAGATGACCTAGCCCTCCTATCACGTACACACGAACAGATGTAGATGAAGACAGCCAGTGTAGCAGCAGTCTCTGCATCAGTAGGCCTCAACATACACAAGGGGAAAACCAAGGTCCTCAAATTCAAAACGAAGAACAGCAATCTAATCACTCTTGATGGCGAAACTCTGGAAGATGTAGAATCTTTCACATACCTGGGAAGCATCATCGATGAACAAGGAGGTTTAGATGCAAACGTAAAGGCGAGGATTGGCAAACAAAGCAAGGGCCGCATTCCTTCAGTTGAAGAACATATGGAACTCAGAACAACTTTCAACCAATATCAAAGTCAGAATCTTCAATACGAACGTCAAGACAGTTCTACTGTACAGAGCTGAGACTTGGAGAACTACAACAACCACCATCAAGAAGGTACAAGTATTTATAAATAGTTATCTACACAAGATACTCAACATCGATTGACCGGATACCACCAGCAACAGCCTTTTGTGGGAGAGAACAAACCAACTTCCAGCTGAAGAAGAAATTAGGAAAAGATGATGGAAATGGATAGGACGTACATTACGCAAATCATCAAACTGCATCACGAGGCAGGCCCTAACTTGTAATGCTGAAGAGAAGCGAAAAAGAGGAAGGCTAAAGAACACATTACATCGGGAAATAGGAGCAGACATGGAAAAGATGAATTACAACTGGAAAGAACTGGAAAGGATTGTCCAGAACAGGGTTGGATGGAGAATGCTGGTGAGCGGCCTATGCTCCTTCACGAGGAGCAACAGGTGTATGTAGGTAAGTAAGTAATCGTAAACCGAATATATATATATATTAGTTAATTTTATACCTTGGGATTCTCTCTTAAAAACATCAATATTTTGTTAAGTAACGACACAGTAATTTAATTAATATAGTCCCATATTTTTATGTTTTTGTATGCCTTAATGACTGTACAACAGCATGAATAAACAATATCTTAACCAAATTATATAAAATATTGAAATTATAAAAAAAACATCCTCAAACAAGATAAAATCATGACTTGTTAACAAGTGATATGTTCCAATCCAAGTAAAAAATTTTATTAGAACTATTAATTAAATAAATAAATAGTTTTTTTTAAATACATTTTAATCATACCTTTATTCGTAGAGAACGTTCTTCATCCAATTGATCTTCAAGATCTTTCACTCTTGTCTAGAATATAGAAAAATATCATACACAAAAATGAATATTATGGATGAAAATGTAAAACGATGATTAAACAGCGTGTTTAACTCCTTTTTCTAGTAGTTATCAAATGATATTCATCCTTAGATTTGTTAAAATTAAACTCTGATTAATTATTTAGTTTATTTATGTGGTTGAACGATATTGATTAGTTTATTTTTCGATTTTGGTTGATCAGTATACATTTTGATTTTGTTGTTAAAAAAAATATCTTTAAACCATGATTACTACAAAGCGAAGATGGATGTGGATCAGCAGTGGAATCCAGTACTCACGTTTCGTTCTGTTTGGGTCTCATAAGATGGACGTACTTGCATCCCAGAGTTGATGTACACTCCGGGAATCGAATCCAGTACCGTCCGCTTCAAACGCCATCACGTCACCTACTTAATTACTGAGTCCTGACAGCTACTAGTCTCAAATAAGACGAAACGCGCGTTCTGGATTCCACTGCTATCCATCATCCATCTTGCTTATAGTGTTTATGACTTAAGGCAATATGGAGGCAATCTATGCAGCATGCACATATGCCAATGAGAGACTGATCGATTGCAGTCGTAAACATCAATGGGAAGATTTAAGTAAACGATACCAAGTGAATTTCAATTGTCTAGTTAGTTCGAAAAATTATTTACAAGTTTAACGTAAAAGTTGTTATTTTTCTTGTTAGTTTTCCCGCTGATGGTTATACTGGTTTGTTATAAATGTTTTACATATCTAATGAATGTATAGATAGTTTGATTTTCTCATGGAGAATGAGTTTAGCTAATGGAAAACTTGGATTTTGGCAAGGTATCGAGTCTGATAAATTTAAGTGAATTACCATGACAATCATTTAGTTTAGTAGAAATATTTTCTACTTTATTGTCATCATTATCTATTTATAATGATAGAATAAAATGTGTTTAATCCGAGTCGATAACCAAAATGCTTGAATTTAGTGGATAATCATTTTTTTACCAAAAGAACATAGCAATGGCAAATCTGACATTATGTTAGGTTAACGTGCACTTTGCAAAACTATTCAATGTGTTAAAATGATCTAGTCTGGACTATAATTAAATTCGAATTTTATTTCAATGTTTTTATAACATGTCGTTTATCTAAAATCCTAACAGTCCATATGGCAATGTGTTCACAGCCGTTTTAGATGTTGTCTTAAGTAGATGAAATTCATGAAACTTTGATTTTTTTTGTTTATACAGAAAAAGCCAGTGAAGTTGTAATGAATAAGAGTGTGTTAGAAACATAATTGTAATTTAATCAATTCTTAAAAGTAGAAATTAAAGCTAATTACTTTGATATTGTAAGATAAAGGGTTATCTAGATACAAAAATACATTGTATGACAAATGCATTTAAAGTTATTCATATAATAAGAGATTCGAAAAAGTATTCGCTTGAATGAATATTTTAAAATAAATACTAAATCTACTTTGAAAATATGGTGTAAACTTTACTTTTCCAAATTTATTGTATGGTGAACGATATAAAAATATAGAAATCATAAAAGAGTAATAAGCATGAATTTATTTTGCATTGTTTACTTGAACCTTCCCATTGATGTTTACGACTGCAATCGATCAGTCTCTCATTGGCATATGTGCATGCTGCATAGATTGCCTCCATATTGCCTTAAGTCATAAACACTATAAGCAAGATGGATGATGGATAGCAGTGGAATCCAGAACGCGCGTTTCGTCTTATTTGAGACTAGTAGCTGTCAGGACTCAGTAATTAAGTAGGTGACGTGATGGCGTTTGAAGCGGACGGTACTGGATTCGATTCCCGGAGTGTACATCAACTCTGGGATGCAAGTACGTCCATCTTATGAGACCCAAACAGAACGAAACGTGAGTCCTGGATTCCACTGCTAGCCACTATCCATCTTTGCTTATAACATGGATTCCAATTTCCTAACTTCCTCTGTATCATTAAGATAACATCCACGTCGTCATATTTGTCAAAGTTCTTTCTTTTATTCAAAATATAATGAAAAAATGAATTTCCTTTCTCTTATTACTAGAAGAGAAAGCAAACATTAGGATCAAATAATGATAATGATTGAAATTTGTTAATCCATTATATTCATATTAGATTAGTCAATATTTTAAACAAGTATTTGCATTACTCACTTTACAATACAATCCATAGTGTTTGCTTCCCAAAGAAATGGTTGAATATTTAAAAAATGTCAAGTGTTATTAACAAATGTTTGTGTTAGTGAACAAAATAAATCAGATAATATAATAAAATGAATTTTTCATTTGAAAAAAATATCTTCATTGTACTTTTGTGGCTCAATGATCTGAATCAGATTTCGGTGAACGAATAAACATGCAATAAATTTAAATTTTCCATTTGCACATAAGCTAATCCGGTTTGTGCGATGGGGGTAATCAGATGTCAAATATGGATTCAGTTGGATGAGTCTATTTCATCCAGTCTTTTATTCAGGTAAACATAAATAATGGAAACCGGAGTCGATCATGCAAACCCCGTTTGACAAGTCATGACTTATTATTTATAGCCAGACAGAAATATACTAGAGAAATGTGATGAGCAGCATAAGCGATACATACATATGCACTCAAACAAAAACAGTCAAGCTTATAAGCAAATAATTGACGAGGTCAAAATTAATTAGTCTGCCGAAAACTCAAGTAGCCCATGTATGCATTATTTAGTACTAGACTTTACAGTACAACCATAGACTTTTTTCGGTATTTCAGAGAAAAATCCATTTGTTTCAAAAACTTTGTGTATTTTAGGATTTCCTATTAAGCAACGATTATATAAACAATCATTGCAACAAGTTGAGCAACAGACTGGTTCAGTAAGCTATGGAGGAACTATGAGGTTACAATTTTCAAATCCTCTAACCCTATTGTCAGTAAGGCTCGTACATAATGTCTCGGTAAATGTTATTAAGTTAACTCACCTCTAGTCTTATTGTTCCAGGAGATGAAGATCTATATAGACCTCGTCCCATGGCGATAGTCCGATCACGATCATCGAGTTGAATGGCTGCCATTATTCACTATTGAACTATAAAGATGATCCTTCTTCAATTCGAGTTTAGAAAAAAACAGTCACCGAAAACCTCGAATTTCAATGCTTTAGTTTAGAAAGTCAAAAGGATGAAAGTACTTGGTATTGTTATTATATGGATTTATTATGAACTTAAATTGTAACAATAAACAAACTTTTTATGACTTATTTTGATGGTGGTTAACTTATTGATTTGTCATTGGGATAGTAATTTGGGGCTGTCTAAATATTAAAAAAGGGATTAGTTTCCAAAATTCACCCCTCAGTATTTCTTTCAGTGGTTTATCTGTAAAACTAGTAGCACATGTGTTTTGCACGTAAATCCCCCATGTATCTCTCACCTCTCATCGTACACAACTTTCAACTTTCCTTAGCTCTTCCTATTCGACCAAGCATTGTACCCCATCAGTCATTTAAACTAATCAATTTTTCTATTGGTTGTTCAGAAATTCACAGTCTGACTTCCTATCTTGAAAGGTAGGATAAGTGATGGAACAAAATATTTGATCGATAATGTGATAGACACATTCGATCCATCCGTATTACTAAACAAAAAGATGTTAATTTAAGCACATACATTATGAATTACTACTTCCTTAATTAGTCGTGCATCAATGGTGCTAAAACCAGTCATCCCGTTGGAATGACTTTACAGTTTAGGCAATCTAGTGAGAAGAAGAATTTTATTAGGAATATATGTTATATGAGCACGATGCATTTCGAACTGCTTGATCATACATTAAGTTATTAGCTTCTTAAAATCTTTTGGTTCTAAACACCCTCATTTATATGGATTGCCTGAAATTCACGTCTGATTTTTACATTGTATTGGTTACCTAAAAATAATCTTGTAAAAGGGTTATCAAAACTACTAAAACCTATTCAAAGATGTTTATTTAAATATTATCTGAAGGAGTCGTTCGAGTTGACAGCTTACTCAGGTAATATCAATGCTAGGAAAAAGATAATACGTTCTTTCAATCGAAACCGTACTTAGTAAAATAATGTTGGATATCTATGAAAGTTTAGAAACTGTTTGAAGGGTCATCCTACGTTGAGATATATTATGCTTTTGTCACCTAAGTAGTTTGTCTAAATCACTTAACCATTCAGAACATTGTAGAATAGCGTTGTGTGGAATCGATTGTCAATAGAATGTTCTATTCAGCCAAGATCATTACTACTCAGAAAATAACGACCATGCTTAATCAAATACCTAAATAGCAATTAAACGATTGAGTGACCAAATGAAGCTACTTGTTTAAGCTTTCTAGTCCCTGCTACATTAAATCATTAAACGATTTGAAACTAAATAAATTGTAGACATTTGCAAATCTTATCAGAGAAATATATAGCGATTTCAGAGGTTAGTTTACTCAAGACATTCATATAAGATTTATTGTTTATCAAAGACTTAGGAATATTACCAAGAATCAGTAGTCTAATCTGAATTATTGAACTTTTTTTAAACAAAATAGTTTTTATTGAAGTTGGGACGTCATTCTGTTAGTATTCATTCACTCGGTAACTAGTGTAAAGTGAATACAGTTTACTGTCAATAATCAATATTTTATGGTAAGAAATAATTCTTATACACAGAACTATTCCTTCAATAATCCTAGTTAGAATGGTGTAGGATAAATATTCGTTTATTGTTATCGGAGGAAACATACCACACTAAGAATTATGCTAGAAGTATCCTTCCCCCAACTAAATATTAACATAAAATGATTATTTCTTGGTGTGTTACAAATGGAGCATTCAAGATTTGCATTAATTTCTCATAAGTAGTATATTCAATGCTGCTTAAGTGACCAACTTGAAATATAGTCAAAAACTGACACATTATTGTGGCTGTGTTCCATCGATTAGTATGTACCTAAAAATATCTGATTACGCAATTACAATTATCTTTGCTTATAGCCTCATGCTTTCCGTGAATTAAATTAAATTATTATTGATTGATGTGAAAAAATGAATTAGTTAGAACGGACGATAAATTTTATCACTAACCAGATCAGAAATGAAATGCCATAAATATTTGAATAATTTCTCACTATGTAGTGCATCGTACACATTGTTCTGTTATTAATAATGCCTTAACAAACTGCTCTGATAGCATTTTATTCCAGCTTGGTAGCTAAGTTATAATTATGGCCTATTCAGGCAATATATATATATATATATATATATATATATATATATATATATCTAGCGTATTACCAAGCAACTCGATCGTCATAATCGGCGGCTTTATTTAGTGAGTGATATACTTTCAGTATACCTCATTTTGAAAGATTTTAATCCTCTTCGAAACAATTTATAAAGGTCTTGATGAGATCCCGAGCTGTCATAATATATGAATTACTAAAATCAAATGACAGGGAAATAACAGAATAGCATATTTGCGTGCAGTGAAATGCGATGAATAAACTTATTTTGTAGATAATTTTTTTCATTGCTAACGTTTTCTGTCATTCCATTTAGTTTTTGCAATCATTTTCATCGACCAAAAGCTTGCTGGATACGTTTAACTTCGACTTTCGCGGCACCCCTTCTTCGTTTCACATACATGGCACACTGATTGTTGTTTACAAATGTACATCTGGTCCTGCACTCCTTGTTCTTAGATTTAATCAGCTGTCACATTGACAGGTCATCAAAACAATTATCACGTACATTTACATATCAATTTTTTCCTCATTATGGAATTAAATCTGACATATTAATGATGATTATTTGCTACATTCGGACTTATTAATTATACAATAGAATTGTGAATCTACTGACCAAATCGAACACTTTTCCCCCTGACTGAAAATATAATGTCTAATTTTTTATCCGCGCACTTATACTTTTGTATATAATCAATTGATTCTGCACTTCATTCACTTTTGGTATCTGCAAGTTTTTGCACCACCACAACTACATCAACACACAACAGCCAAGGTTAACTGCATGTCATTTTTTAAAATTGATTGAGTTTAACCTAGTTACTGAATTTTAACAAGTAGTATAATTACTATACAAAAATAGTCTGATAAAGGAGTTAAGATCAGATGGGTTTTGTGGAGATTGTAGTAATTTCCATTCCATGGTGGTCTAGCTTCAACTGCCTCATGATCTTAACCATTGAAATTACTACAATCTCCACAAAACCCATCTGATATTAATTAACATACGCTCACTAGTGACTGACTTCACGAGGCATATCCTGGAGTTCTAGTGAGAAGTAGTAACCAGTGGAGTTCAACCAGGTCTCTTGTGAGATAGTAACTCACTGAAGACAATGGTGGATGTGCCGCTCAATTTCGTGAATTATTTGAAGTTAGACATTAACACCGTTGGATGCCAGCTCAGTGGTCTAATGGTTAAGTGCTCTCGCGCGAAACTAGTAGGTCCTGAGTTCTAGTCTCGCAGAGGGTGAAGTCGTGGATGCGCTATGCTGAGGAGTCCCACAATAAGATGAAACGGCCGTCCAGTACTTCCAGGTTTTCCATGTTGGTCTAGCTTCAACTGACTCATGATCTTAACCATTGAAAAGAGTTAAGAAACAAACAGATATAACAATATGTTGTTCAATATCTTCCGATCTTACTAAGATTCTATGATAGACCCAAATCAGAACAACGTGAGAGGTATTTCTGCCATGTGATGTTGATGGTAAGTCATAATAATGTAAAATTAAATATTGTTCATAAACCGTTACGTCCAGTCAGTGCTTAAGATCACATGAGTCCAGGCCATAGTTTTACTTAGCAACCACTTGGATTAGAGAATCCCATGTTTAACTGGATCACCCAATAATTTTCAAATGCATAATATACGTACAACTTCCCTCCTTGAGGATTTTGATCTATCTACGTGAGATTTAAAAGTTGAGCATGGATGGGTGGTGCAACATATGTATAAAAGGTACAAACATTCATATATAATATTCAATTATTCTCGGAAATGAACGGAATGTTGTAGTGTATGTCAGTCTGGGGATATTTTTTGGTAGAATGTTCACTACCTAGACCTAGTGGGTGACCATCTTCATCAAATATGTATCCAAGGTATTTAACAGATCCAAGTAAAAGTTTATGTTTTTTCTTTTGTAACTGGAAACCAGTTTGATATATTTTGGCAGGTAATAGGTCCAATTGACTCATTAAATCCTCCTCAGTTGAACCAGCAGCTTTAATATCGTCAAAATAAGCTGCTTTATCTTCCAGATCCGATGTCATAGCATTCATGATTTGCGGAAGATATCTGGTTCTGGTTTTACACCGAATGTCAGTCGGTGAATGTGATGGAGTCCATTTTGTGTACTAATAGTTAGAAAATTCCTTGAATCTCTATCAGCTCCCATTTGCAAGTAAACTTCAGATAAATTAATTTTTGAAAAAAACATATCATTTTGTAGAACAGACAAATTTTCTGCCAGGGGTAGAGGATATGAATGATTTTGTAAAACAACATTTAAAGCAGTCAAAAAGTCCACACAAAGACGATCAATGCAATTTGCGTTCTAAACTACTACAACTGCTCGTGTTGAACAATATCCGGCTGTATTCCACTTAGCTTGTTTATTCAGTCTAAATCACTACCAGCTTTATCAGTGGCAGAAAATAGGACTCGGCGTTTTGGACAAAAAACGGGTTTCACACCTCGTCATATGTATGATTTCGCCTTTGCAATTGTGCAACACCCCAACTTGTCCTAGTTATATTCGAAGAAAATCAAGTTATGGGTAACTTTGGGGAATTATTTATGGACTGTATTATATATATTCTTATGGCATAACTGCTAAGTGACTAGGTCATATATATTTATATTCCTTTAATCATAAGCTTTCATTTGACTACTGTTATACGATTTACTATTCTTAAGTTATTCCCAATTTACTAGTTACAGTCTCTCTCAATCACAGCCACTTTTTTTTGCTTGATCTTGTATAATTGTTATTTTCTATTTTATGGTATGATGTGGTCTGGATTG